TGCCGTTAATAAATTGGTTTTACCAACGTAGAAAACGGTTTGTTTTGGCACCCTCGGTGCCCTGACCGTTGTCCACAACTTCATGCAAATGAGTTTCAGAAAGTAATTAGCCAAGTTAAATTAAAATGCTCGATTACAATTTCTGTTTCCCTTTCATTCAATATAGTTTTCCTTCCCAAAATCGTTAATTACGCAAAGCCGCCCCGTAAAAAATTGATAATTTGTTTAAAAGAATATTTTTCAAAGCCTTCCGCTACATAACAACTATATTAATTGCTACTCACTACTTATAATAAGCATTTATTAGTCACATGATTGAGATAAAGTTAATAGTTTACTTTCGACTCCACGTGATAGTCAATTCGCGAGAATCGAAATGAACAATGTATATTGTTTAAATGTGACAATGTTTTGCTTATAAATTAACAACAAATACTTTCTGCAAGTACGTCATTTAATTAATTAATAAATTGCCTCAAATCGATATTTAACCATTTAACGTCGTGTTTGAATTATCGGTCATCTCGAAACAGCAAATCATTTATGTATGTACATGATATTGCAATTGGATTGTTCACATAATAAGAAAAAGTGGGAAAAACTTCGAGATTTATCTCTTTTTCTATATATTTTTTTTAAATAATTAACTCTTTTTATAACTGCAGGTAGTCATTGCGTACATTAAGTCAATCCAATCAGGTTTTTACTTTGCTTAGCACGTAATGGGTATAAGTACCCACATTTTTACGTTAATTATATATTTTATTAAATTGATTTTGCATGCCAACGCAACTTTCTTCGTATATAAGAAATAAATGCTAGAAGATGAGTACACAATTACGTATACAAAAAAACACCGTACAGCAAATTTGCATGTTAACCGTAAAACAATTTTTCGCGTCGAAAAAAAAAATGATGCCTACTTTTTATCCGATCTGGAAAAAGGCAAAATTCCATATTTATGAAAAATGAAATGTCAACACAAGCAAATTGGAAATTTCGTTTTGTACCAGCAAAATCCTGAAATAACAAATCGGATACAAAGAATCCTGCGAGCACATAGCGGACAAAAAACACCGGCAGGGTAGAATGTCTCTTTGTTATTTGGATCTGGATTAAATTTAAAAAAAATCTGTAAGGACACGAAGCGAAAGAAAACGAAATATAACGGGATGTACTAAAATATCACTATTGTGGTTTCCTGATTTTAACCCAGTAGAAAACCTTACATACAAATCGACAGGAATAACCAAAGCCGCCAAGGTCAAATGAGCAACGCTATGAATTTAATGTGCCATTAAATTGGCACATTCACTTCGAACTGTGCTGTGCGCTACACAAATTCGCATGTTACGTGGAATGACCACCTTTTTCTCATATAGCTCTATAAATAATAGAAAAAAACCCGTACATAACACAAGCAGTGCGTGTTTTTAGAGAAAACGTTGGTGTGACACGCTAAAATAGTTTAAGTTCTCTTTGCGTGCTGCCATTGTTCAGTTTTTCTGTTATTGGCCGTTTTGAGGAAAAAAGTTTGTCGCACAGGAATCACTGGAACCTTGTGAAAGGTTTGCCGTGTACGCATACAAAGTTGAATACTGAATTTGAAAGCAGTGATAATCTTTATCAATTTATTATAGTCCATTGACCTTGCCGGCTTCCTTTAAAACTTTAAATGTCGATTGTAGAAAAATTGTGCCTAATTGGATTTTAGATATTCCAATTTAGCATAAAGTATTATATTGGGTAAAATGTTTACTGCCAAGTGTGTGTGTGTGTACGTGAATACATGTAAAAAAATTCTCACACGATAGCCTTGGCCAAGGCTGTATACCGTAACGGGCTCAAGCGTACTTACAATACAACTGTGCTGTATGTCGTATGCACAAGCGTATGTACTTACACTTACAGCATATGTGTAAACACCTACTAAAATTTCATAAAATATCCCTACTCTGCTAATTGCGATTACTCGCTGCAATTATCTCCGTTCTATCCGCAGAGAAACCGAGGTAAGACTGCATGCAATTTACCTTTAATATTAAATACATCAAAGCGATTGCATTAGAACATCGCAAGTCCTTCCCTGTAGACGCAGATTTAATAAACCCGTCAACGTAAAAGCTATATTTAAATTGCGCAAAGGACTTTCGTACTCCAACCGCATTTGCGTTCTTTGTACTCGCACTGTATGTATGTATGTATGTACCTACCGAACATCCAAAGTTGGAACTTCATAAAGGACAGTAAACATTTTAGCATAATCAAATGCAACGTTCGCTTTGCTTTACTTTACTTTACTTTGAACGAATCTGTCGAATTTCTACCCAATTCAGAGCTTTCTATTCCATTATTAACTTCCCGGCTTCCTTATTGATTCTACCCAGGGACTTTCTGGAGGTGGTAGTTTTAATTAAATACATTCATTTACTCACTTTTGTTAATTCATCGACAAGGCATTGAAAATGTTCCTTGCAAATGTATTTGTAAGAGAAATGTTTAAGATGGCTTCTTGTAGTGGTCGAGACGTTTCTGTTTAAATTTCATCACTGTAATATTAGTTTAAAATAAATCCTTAATAGTGGTTAAGTGGAAAAAACCGCATTGCTGCATTTACAACTCGTTAATAATCGCATAGGAACTTGATGTTATGTCTGAGTCATTTTTAAACGAGTTGTTAACGGCAAGATAAAGCGAAAAATGTCATTTTTAGATACATGGCAAACGTTTCCTGAGTACCTATCGATGTAGAGGAATTTTGTTATAATGAAAATTAATTTTCGTTTATTGTAATAGCGGATAAACGCGCGCAATGCCCGTAGGATGAATATGAAATAATCTAGTGGAAGATTATTATAATAAACGTATCGTACTGATAAAGCGGTGAATCATTTTGCTCGTAATTGTCGAGAACTAGCGAAATTATTTATCGAATTTTATGTTATAATAATTTTCGAAACAATGCCAATTAATTCTCAAATGCAGTTGTAGATATAGTAGGAAGTTGTATTATTTGAACAATTCCAAGGCAAACAGAAGTGAATTCCAAACAACGATGTCAAGTATAAATATTACGCCACTTAAATAATACTTATTCTATAATTTAGAGTATTCTCGAATCTGGTTTGATCGATACTATTTCATTTTTTAATTTGGGCGCGGTTTCCATGCAAATAAATGCGGTATGTAAATTTAAGATAAATCAAATTTATCGATAAGGCTAGGGGCAGTGGAAATCCCGAGGGATTCAACCTGTATTTTCGGGGAAAATTACCTGCCTCGGCTAATTTATGATGAACATTTTCTGAGCAATAATTACATCGTTCTTTCCTTTGTCCCAATTCGCCGGAGAAAGTTCATCGTATACATTAATTTGCATTTAGCGAGTAGGTACGGAATCAGAATTTTTTCATTAGCATTTTTTGGAAAGGGATCCCTTATTACCCAATGATTCTTCTTAGTGGTTTGAGGAATATGTTTATAAATCCAACATCTGCCCAAAACTGGCCTACATTAGATCAACAAATACACTTCTGTATGTTTTAAGAATGAAATTCGTGGGTAAATAAAATAAATAAAGAAGATTGAAGATTGTTTTTACGACGTGATATTACCGATATGAATTTTGTAAATTATGTCATGCCTCATATCGTTTCCTATACGCAAAATTTATTAGTTATAAAATTGCGTTTACTTAGTAGGTATTTTTGCCATATCATACAAATGGTGTTAACTCGTTTATCACCTCTCAATTTGAAGGTATTTTATTACAAAACTAACAAATGTAATAGGGAAAAATTAGATGTAGGTATTCAGCAGAAAGTTAAACAAATCAAGCATCCTGAAAGTATGTCTTGATTAGCCTAAAGTAATGTAATATCTCAAAACTTGTTCTTACATAATTATTGTAAATGCCGCGTCGTTAACTTCCAAATTCGGATTTTTTTAACATGTATATTATGTAGCGATTAGCAAAGAGTCGGCGTAGGCTGGAAGAAAAGTTTTCTCTTCGCATTTCGATCGGCCGAGGGATGGGCATTCACAAAAATTTGTTTATACAATAACCCGAAGTCGAGTGTATCATTGCGAACCGATGGCGTTACGAATTCGAACGCAGCACAAAGGCCGTCTTCGCCAGTCGCGGCGTTCCGTTTTTATGATTCACTTGAAATTGCTCGAAATCGCTCGAAAATCCGACTTCCTGCAGACGACGGTTTTGGTTTTTGTTTGCATCGCCTTCGAAGGGGCGCTGGATTCCACGAAAATTGTTACTCGAATGCAAAAATTCATCTCTACCCTTGTTGAAGGATATTCGAGAGAATTTAGGGGTAAATGTTCGACCTTCGAGTCGCAAGATGTTCAAATATATGGTAATTAGTAATCAAGAAAAATAGCAGATATTCTCCTCGGCACACTTTTTTCTATTGGGTTCACCTTGAGCACCACGTGTAAAATTAAGGTCAAATTGGATGAATTTATTTTCGACAAACTTGCAGTAAATCAATCAAAGTTTAACGATAATTATATTTACAAATTCTGAATTTTCTACTGAAAATGAACGCTTTGAAATTTTCATTGGACTTTAATAGCGAGCGAACGCTAAATGAAAGAGCAATTTGAATGCTATTAGTGGAATTCGGCTTTTTAGCACCTATACTACCACCATGATATTTATTTTTTTGGTTTCTAGGTGCTTGTGGTTCGTGTAAAATAAAATACATTTCACTTACCTTTTCTTTGAACTCAAGTAATGAAATAATAAAAATTAATGATAAGTTTAATAATTAATCACTGATAAAAAAAGACATTTAATATTTGTCTAAATGGGTCATTCAAGTATCATTATTTTATTTTAGTAGTTAAATAAAGTAATCTTTGAATTATAAATTACAATTTTCTCTGGACAATAAATTTGTTATAAAAGGTATTCAGTATCTAAACACTGATAACAAATCGTGATGTAACGTTGAAAACATCAGAAACACAATAAACCTGGATTATAAAGCGAAGCAAAAAATATTGATAATAATCTTCATATACTTAGCTTATTTGTTTTTTATATGAATCATTATAAAAATAAAATGGTTGCTAATTAATTGGCAAAACGGGAATGAATTTTAATCATTCGTTTAAAAATAATTCTGAGGTTTCCAGATAATTTAAGATACATAATATATTGTTTCCTTGAAAACATTCTTAACCATGGAATTTATAAAAGGCGAATTGGATATTCGATTAAAAGTAGATTATCGGCTACATGAGGGTCAAGATAAATATATGAACAGTATAATGATAGAGTACAAACGTTTGTTGTGGAGATTATAATTAAAAAAAATATCAACTTTTCCACTTAACTTTATTATAATACGTATATATCACAAATCCTTTTTGGCTCTCAGAACACACACTCTATCAGCAACATTTCATTACAAAAACATGTATTAGTTATAACAGGCACGCATCTTCAAGCACACATCACTTTTTTGATTGAAAAAAGTTCCTATGTAACAAACACAGATCTTTGATAAAATTGCTATAATATATACAGAATGAGCTCGACTTAATATTTTTCCAATTGTGAATATACACTGGGAGGCCCCAATTGGAAAAAGTACTTTTTAGGCCGACAGAAGTACCGCCATCCATGTTCTTTTATCCATAACTTGCAAATTTTCTCTTCAGGCACTATATCATTAGATCTTACTGTAGATATGGTTCAGTTTAAAAAACTAGTAAATAAAATACATTATTTTTTATGCAATATTTCCAAGATTTTTTGTTCAATGTATAAAAATATAGAATATCGTGCACTTGTAAGCAATTTTTCAAGTATACTAGAATGAGCATTTACATAGATAAATCCATAACAGTTCACAGTGCTAAACTGAATACTTAAATTAATGTTACTGGATACCGACCAGCATACTGCACACAGACCAGATAGGTTGAAATTCGAAATTGAGATTATGACGAGAGATGATCAGTTTAGCATTCACAGTTAACACAAAGCAAGTGTCATTGTTCCCAACAACAACAACAACTAATTATTATTAAAAAATCGCAGAATCGTGGAATTGTAGATGGTACATTAACTATACAGATTGAAGATAGAAGTGAAATAATTGTAATTAAACAAAAAAAAAGATATATAAAAGAGGCCGTTATTAGAGCACAGTACACCAACAATAACTTTTTTTCTCTTTTTCTGGACTAAAGTTCATTTCGCGGACAATTTCGGCGAATACCTCGTTCACATTGGTCTTGTTCTTTGCACTCGCCTCGATGAAAGGACATCCCCATTGCTGGGAAAGGACATTTCCTTCGGCATAGTCTACTTCTCTCTGGTGTTCCAGGTCCACCTTGTTAGCGACTAGGAGGATAGGGACCCGTTCTGTCCCTTTCACTCTGGTAATTAAATCCTTCATGGGGCGGATGTCTTGGAAGGTTTGGTGATTTGTTAAACTGTACACTACGACAAAACCCTGTCCATTCTTTATATAGAGGTCGCGCATGCTGGCGAACTGTTCGGTACCTGCGGTGTCTAGGATTTCTAACACACACGGACTATTGTCTACCTCGATTTCCTTGCGATAGAAGTCTTCAATGGTCGGATCGTATTTTTCCATGAAGCAACCAGATACGAATTGAACAGTTAATGCACTTTTCCCAACCCCACCCGATCCGAGAACAACTACTTTAAATTCACGCATTTTTGATCGGCTTTCTACGCTAATTATCCTTTATATTCACTATCAGTTTGTTCACTACGGGATTGCGGATACACCTAACGACGACACTTGCAATATTTCTCCACTCCATCTCAATTTATATACAATACAACTCAACGTTTCGCCATCTTAGTGAACACTCTCATAATGTTTTCCTAAACGATCGTGCAGCCACGAGGGCCAGTCGGTTTTCGGTTCATGCAGGATGGGGATATTCTACCACTACAACATATCACGGCACTTGCGCATTTCGCCAAATTCATCATTCATTTATAAACGGCTCATGCCATCTACGCTTCCACATTTTCATTCATAAAACTACCTATCAATTTAAAACATTTACTAACAGATGGCGCTGTTTTTTTCAAATTAAATACCTAACAATTGTAAGTATTTTTATTAAAAAAAGAACACGATATTACGTTTCCTAATACTTGTAGAATAACGCTTTTTAAATTAGAGTTGGTAATATTTTAAAAATGTAACTAAATTGTAAATCACTTACTTATTTAGTCAATTATCTAATTTCTCCACCACCACCTTCGAGCTGTCACTGCTTCACAATCACCACGAATTTTTTGCAACAATTATCATCAACGAATATTCATAAATTTATAAAAAAAATACAAGAAATTTGCAAAAAAATATAAAAATTTAGAGCGTCATCTATGAAGCGATGGCTTGACATTCATTTTTCAATCATCGCTTACTGTTATGCAAATGTCACAAATGCACAAATACAAAATAAAGTTTGTGTTCCATGCTTCGTTGAGAATTCTTCTTATTCAATATTATATTTATCATGGTATATTCGGGCATACAGTCAATAAATATTTGAGATAGTAGAAAAGAAGAAGATTTGGTATTATTTTGTTTTTTTTGTGTCAATCCCTGTGATTTGTATTTTGCGTGTGTGACTTCATTTGTTCAGTGTTAGAGACTAGAGAGTACACTAAAATAACCTGGCCTACTATAAATAGCAGTTTGTTCATTTTTACAACAATTTCTGGTACTTAAAACCAAAACTACATCTTGTTATTCTCATTATCTAATAAATGATTCAGAGATAGTAGGTGGGTCTTCATTCCACTTGGAAAAAATTCATTCGTTTGCTATTTACAAATAATTCAATCGAAAGATGGCCTACCATCAACCCGGTTCGTATCCAACACCTTACAACAGTAAGACAATTATTTTATTCGTTAATAATGGTTTTATAACGATTTGTTTGTAGGTAATTATCCTCCGGCGCCAGCACCCGGTTATCCAACGCCCACTGCTCCTGGTTACGGGCCTCCACCCCAAGGATATGGCCCACCTGCTCAGGGCTACCAGCCACCTCCAGGACAGTACCCTCCACCCGGAGGCTATGGAGGGCCCATTACCAATCAACCCGGAGGACCAGCAGGTTTGTACTAATTACTAATTACTCATTGTAAATATGTAAATGTTTTGTAACTGTTTCGAATTTCACTCTCTAAATAGGTAATTACTAATAGGACTTTCGTATTGATTTGAACTGCTTCTCTTGCAGTGCTTCGAACGAAACTAAATTAGTTGTAAATACGATAAAAATGTTTACTAATTTTGTTTTTGTCCACTGTAGATAGTGCAACCTACATACTTGATTTCAAAAATATTTCCATAGTTGCAGATGTATTTATATTATTTTATTAAAAAGTACACCGAAGATAATATTATTCTGTTTGTATTACAATAATACTTCTAACGAGTCCTTTTATAGAGGTGATTTAATTTGAACCTTGATTACTTGCGGGTACTAATCCATTGGCGTGTAATTTATGAGTATTAATTACATCTATAAATAAAATTAATTCATTAATAAAATCTTCTATGCAAAAAATGAAGCTGTAATTCTCACTTTATCACATCGCTTTAAGCCCTTCTTCTTATCACAACCTCTTATCGTTTCTTTAAAAAGTTATTAAAGATATTTTGAAAACAACCGTTGGATACAAAAGCGACGTTCCGATATATTTAAGAACCATTTACTCTTGTTATTAAAAAGATAACAATAATGTTTGCTGTAGATACATGAGAACAAAATGTTATTAGATAAGACGGTTACATTTTATTTTTAAACAAAAAATTTTTAACGTGCTCAATAAGGTCTGTCGTCTCGGCTGACAACGCACAAGAGGCAAATTCAGTGAGTAAATATGCCGGAATTCAAATGTGCGTTAAAATTCAAGCCGCACAAGCTCTTTAAGAGGCTGAAAAAATTTTTCAAGAAGAAAAATCCCAAGAACAAGGGGTATTTCAAGTTCTACACGGAGGAGGAACAAAGGTAAAACTAAATTTTGGTAAATTTAAAGCGATTTTTGAATGATATTTCGACACCACGAAGCAGAGAGTAAAAATATACTCTTTTAATCAAGTTCAAAAACCCGATTAGAGATAATGTATGGCGTCCCGAGTTGTTTATGTACATTGGAAATTTTAATTGAATCTAAGCGTTATATTTTTCTCTAATTTATCAACTAATATTTTAATGCGTTAATTTAATTTCTTTTGTATCATACTTCGGTTTATCACCTGTTTAATACCGTTTAAATAACGTTCAATGTTTGTGCTCCATTGTGTTAACAACTAAAAAAAACCCATAAATTACGACATTGTTTATATCTAATTCAAACACACATAATCCTGTAAAAACATTGACTGTACCTTTTTAATGAAGCTATATTTTCCTCTTTTGCGCAATAAAACGTTCTCATTTTATGGAAATTATTTTTTTTACAGGTGGCTGGATGAATATGCCTCAAGGCATACCGAACTGTCCGCCAGGCTTGGAATACCTTACTATGATTGATCAACTGCTAGTACAACAAAAAGTCGAAGTTTTAGAAGGTAATTTTCCAAAAAAAATGCTTCGGTATTATCCGTTTTTAGACCGCAGCAGTAAATTAAATCAAGTATCAAAACCGGTCGCACAGGAAGGTGCACCTTTGAAACAGAGCCAAGAATTCCTCAACGCAATTTTAGCAGGAATCGTTATGTCCAAATAAACAACCCGCTTTCTCTTCCAGCTCTCACCGGCTTCGAAACCCAAAATAAGTTTACGGTAAAAAATAATTTAGGACAAAAAGTATTCTACGCCGTCGAGGACTCGGACTGCCTGACGAGGAACTGCTGCGGCCCCCTCAGGCCGTTCGACATGAAAATCCTGGACAACTACAAGAACGAAGTCATGCACCTGCACAGACCGCTCGCTTGCGACTCCTGCTGCTTCCCCTGCTGCCTGCAGGTGAGTGTTTACCACCTTCACCTGAAGCCGAACGATTTCGTGTGTCTTTTCGTTAGAGCATGGAGGTGTCCGCGCCGCCCGGCTCCATTTGCGGCACGGTGGAGCAGGAATGGAGCTTATTCTGCCCGAGCTTCGCCTTGAAGAACGCCAGCGGCGACACCGTGCTGAGAATAGAAGGTCCCCTGTGCACGTGGAGCATCTGCGGCGACGTGGAATTCAAAATCATGTCCGGCGACGGTGCCGTGCAAGTGGGGAAGATCTCCAAGCAATGGTCGGGGTTGATGAGGGAGATGTTCACTGATACCGATTACTTCGGTATCACTTTCCCCATGGATTTGGACGTGAGAATGAAGGCTGTTATGCTGGGCGCTTGCTTCCTTATTGTAAGTGTTGTATATTACTCGATTCGTTTATTATGTATTAACTGTGTTATTTTTTTGTTGTAGGACGCTATGTTCTTCGAGACGAGTCAAAAGAATAATTCTTAGAGTGTTATTTACTTTGACTTCTTACTCCAAGTTGGATCGAACGTTTTTTATTTGTAGTTTTAAGTTTTGTTGCACCCCTTATATTATTGGATATTACTTTTTTGTTTCTCGAGGTGGCGGCTTTTTGTGGAATATTGCGATATTTGCAACTATACGTATTGTTACAAAAGACATTTTTTACAGATTTTAAATCTCGAATACTTATTGTCTTGAACTATTTTACTCGTAGATTATATTTCGCCGGCTCTCTTTTTAGCTTTTAGATTTTTATAAGTATTTTTAAAGCTATAAACATTATCGAATATGTCTCTTATGTATACGTTTTTCATTTTTTACATTGAAACTTCGCACACGAGTTACTTGTTTTGGCTGCTAGCAATTATTTTTTTCTATACTGTAACTTAATAGGTAGCATAAGTTTGATTTAATCTGCTTCATTTTCGTGTTAAGATAAATGTCTTCTCGTCGTGTAATCAAAAGTCTTAAGCTGTTTAATGAAAGTGCCTTGCTACTAGCGTGTATAAGCATTGTTATTAGTTTTTTTTTCTCATAAGTAATATACTCCATCTAGTCAAAACTCACGAAGAAACTTCAGTATGTTGGATGTGAGAAAAAAACTATCGGATGATCAAATTAAATGGTATCCATATATTTCTCTTCTGCTCTTACCATATAAAATGTTTTTATGAATATTGCCTTACAAGATGAGATTCTTAAACAAATAATCTAATGTAACCCAGCCAAATTGAATGCCTCTTTAGCGTTTGAATCTGAAACCGTTTTATATTATATATTGTAACTTTTATGGATGTTTAAATATATTTATTATACATTTATGCGTTGAGATTTGATTTAACATGAATTCCTCAAATTCCCTCTCTTAATGTACCCTTCCTACTAGTAAATCGCCATTTTACTACAACTAATTTTACTTGAATAAAATGTAATCAACTTGTCTAGCTCATGGTCATGTTATATTGACTGAATCATCCCTAAGATTATACAGTTACATAACTGTGTTATGCAGCACATTATATACCTTTAATTTTACGCTGTAAATAGATGTTTCTCCCACAAAGCGACCATAGGCGTAGGGGGTAAATTGTATTGTATTGTATGAATATATCACTTCGTACAATCTTAATATAGAATTATCTCTAATGGCTCATTTAGCCTAGTTACATAAATGTGCTTATAAGCTGCATAAGTAGCATTAATTTGGCTGTATTTTTAGGAGATTTTTATAAGAAAAACCAAGAACCCTCTATTAATATCTCGGAGATTTTGGCACTTTCCAAGCTTCTGCTCTATTTTTATTTTACATGTTTTTAATTTTAACATTGTCACATGTTTTGTGCTAAAGATAATTGCTTGAAAGCATCTAAAAATGAAACGGAGGAATTGAAATCGATATTTTAAGTATGTTCCAAAACTTTTTTTTATCGGATATTAGAAGTTTCAAGCGAAATGGTTACTAAAGAAACTAACGAAACTAAAGAAAAAAGCGATTTATGAAAAAATAATTAGGTTCCGGCGTTGCTTAATAATACACGACCTGTGCCCTATTACATAAAAGTCCTTATCGATTAACCTACAATTGGTACAGGACGAAAAACAGTCCTTTTCCAGCGTTCCACGGTTTCGTTTCGGTTAATTCCTGGCGATTTTTCGTCGATTCCATTTCGCCAAGTTTTCGTCAATCATCGAGCTGTAAAAATAAGTTTCCATGGTGGGGAAGATTGAAATGCCAATATATTCCCAGTGATGTGGCTCCCTCTGGCAGAATCCTTTAAGGTTATTTACAAACAGTGTTGTATTGCTCCATACTCCATAAATGTGTCGTCATCAGCTGTTCGATCGTAGTGCGTGCGCAAGCAGGAGTATAGTAATACGTCAGCAGGAAAATGATCCGGTGCATTTCGCAGGAAATTTAGAACTTCCTGTTTAGACGTCATTTTCGCGTTTCTAAGTTCGTAAACTAGGAAATTTTTGTTTAAAAGCAGGAATTTTGATAGTTTTTGCGATTCTATTAGAGAGGTAATTTTAATTTGGTTCAAATTCGTTCGGTAAATTATTTTCGGGGCAAATATTTGTTGAATTTTGGAGTAATTGTACGAGTCGATAAATGTTTGTTGTAACGAATATATTTAGTTAAAGGATTTTCGTGTTGATTTGAGTGATGGTAGAAGGAAAAATTGTATAAAATATCAGGATTTTCCTGGACTAGGAAAAACGGAAGAAGAAATTAGTTAGGTGGCGCAAGCTCAGGCGATGCAATCTTTGGCAGGTCCGTATAGTGTATAGAGATAGGGTATATTCGTCGAGCGTCGAGACGGATCGTACGTCCTCGTAGATCGTGGATCGCGGTCCTCCATGCAAACCAATGACACTAACATGAATGTAGGCTGGTGGTTCACTGGTTGTGTGTTCACGTTCAGACGGGTGTATGTATATGACATAACGCAGATACAGATACGGGACACCGTGCTCGACCTCTACCTCTAGTCAGTGACGTATACTCATGGGGGAGTTTAGTTCTAGTGCTAATACGAATGCAAACATCGGTTTGAGTGTTGTGGAGATATCTGTGAATTCGGCCAAAAGCAACCCGACGACGTTATTCTACACCACACCTACGACGTCTTCGTCGACGTCGAATTCGAACGCGAATAGTGGAAATTCTAATTCCGTCACCGTCGGTCGAGACGGCTCGCCGAAGGGCTACAACCCGACGATGCAAGATGACCTCTCGGTTTCGATGTCCATATCCGAGAAATCGGCCCCCACGGTGTCCTCCATCGCCGGCGTCAGCGCCGAAGAACTGGTCACATCGCCTTCGTCTGTATCGACGTCGTCCATCGGCCTGGATAAGAACGTATCGGCCGCTGTAGCGGCGGCCGTCGCGGCCTCGAAGGACTGCGGTAACTCCGTTAACGATCTACCGAAAGAATTGAACGCGAAAACGGTGCCATCGTTGCAGCCGCTCTTCCATTCGGCCGAAGCCAGCACGCCAGCTGGTGCACTGTGGTCGACCGCTATCGAGGATGGTTACGCTCCGAATTTCACGAACGTCAACGGCGGGATGGGTTTCCAGAATTTCTCTTCGCCCACCCAGCAGCAGTTGTTCGGTGCTGGCGGGGGCGGCAACAACTTGAATCAGAACCACGTGAACCAAGGTCGAAGGGCCATCACAGCTAGTCATAACTTTCCCCCTAACATGGCGAGGCAACAGTCCCTTTCGAATCATCCGCTTTATAAAGGATACGGTTCTTGGGCCAATCCTCCGGGTCAGAACTGGTCGCCGGGTAATTCTTCCGTATGGAATCGCGGTCGTAGCGTACCGAATTTGACACCCTTGCAACAAATGGGAGTGGGACTTGCGGCCGGTCGGAAACCTAGTCCCACTTTTAATCAACAGCAGGTCATTTCGCCAGTTAAATTTCGCAGAAGTACTTCGTATCCAGGGAAAGGACCGTTTCCTCAACCACCCACGTTCGAAATCACCAACATGGATGAAGCTAGAGAAATGCTGCCTTATCAGGTAATGTGTACGTGTGCCACTTTTGCCATATGAGCACCGTTTTGTTTTGTTGTTGGTTTTTTTTTACTGTGATGCCCTTTGCCAAAGCTAGTTTAGCATTTTTTTTGTTTTATTTTTTACGTCATTATCAGGACGATCATTTGTTGACTAACATTTATTGTTTTCTAATATACTTAACGTTAATTAAGATTGCTGTGTAAGTAAGTTGACCCAATTTTTCGATCTCCTAGTAAAATCGAAAACTGCTAATTTCGCATTCGAAAAAAGGGCGTAGTTCGATTTTGCTTTAGCCGATTGTTATCTTCGTGAATTAAAATTTTTGCCTATTTTGCCTTGCTAATCGTTTATCAAATCTAGCTCTAATCAGAAATTCAAATATACCTACAAGATTTATTATCATCACGAAGTAGGTCAGTCGTAATCTCATCTAAAAGGCTAAATTAATTTTCCACTCTTTTCGCGACACGTTAAGAAAATATATTTTTTTTATATGAAAAAATAAATAATCGTTCTGCTATTTTTTGCTTGCTGCGCTAAATACGCTGTTTTTGCTCCTTTATGTACCTTGGCGAGTCTTTGAAAGCTGATCAGATTTTTCTCCAATAAATTAATGTAAAGATAATAAACAATTAGCAACTTCGATGTGTGAAGAACGCTTTTAATAGATTCGCCAAATACCTGTACTTTGTTCGATCATCTGACATTTTAGCACTAGCTGTCTAGTAGGTACACTCACCATTGTAACTGTGATAATATATTTTTTTAATAAACATTTAACTAAACTTTTTTGTTGTCTGTTTTTATTTTATTGATTGCAAAGGTGTCATTTGAGCACCGATTTTTTTAGTAACATTTTTTTTTTGGCGTCGCCTGATTATTACGAAATATTTCTCTTGTTCGTAATTGCACATTCTATTAATAAGTATGATTCCAATTATCTAACAAAGGCATCGTTATGGATTGTTTTTAATCGAAATTTAAACGAGCAGTTAAAAAATACAGGTTATTATTTCTTCCTGCTTATGAGTAATTATTTTTCGCTCTACGAAAATTCGTGGAACACATAGTTATGCAGATAATGTTACGTATGGTGTCCATAACACATTTTTAATGGGATGGAAGCTTTCACTGGTTAAAGAAAAGTATTTTTTATAATTTACGAAAAGAGCAATATTTCGTAATGATTTTTATGTGTCAGAAAAAGGTATGTATGCGCTATTTTATTTTTTTTTTGTTTCGCTTATAATTTTATTAGAAAAATAGGTATTAAATTAGATTTACAGGGTGTTCCATAAATGTAAATAGCAAATTCGAAGCTCATCAAATAACAAAATTGCTTACTCACTATAATTAATTGCACCGGTGTTATGCTTTGTTTTGTGTTAAAATGTTTGTGTGTGGAGTAAAGCCATAAAACAATATTGGTTTTATAAAATTTTAGCAAAAAATTCGAAAGTACCATTTTAAAATAAAAACTACCGATGCATATTGGTAATATTTAACAAAAAAAACCTTCATACACGCTTACATATTAGTTAATGTAAGGTAGGATAAGGAAAATTTTAAATTTTAATTACACGAAGTCGGTAATTTTTAATTAATTTCGTTATCAGCGCGATAAGAGCATTTACAGCGCATATTTCCATTTGCAAATATGTACTTACTGGATTGCCGTAGGTCAATTTGCAATAATCGCTATGAAATTTTACTCGTGTATTTTCTACGTAATGATTTTTTGGATGGGAAGTACCTCGTGTGAATGATTATATAACTTTCCTATTTAATCATAAAAATATACCTCAACCATATGCCTCAGATTTGCTCAAACTCGATACTTGGTGCATCAACACATAATTGTTAATTTCGTATTCCTGCTGTCCCAGATATTACATTTTTTACTCTGCTGACGCAACGTGATTGAAGCAGTTATTTATTGATCCAGTAATAACCAATTGTACATTTAATCTCTAAAGTAGTCAATTATGAAAAATCCAAAAATTGGACCGCCTGAAAATTTAATACCAATACATAGATGAGTTTGATATTGATCACGTTACGTCGCTGTACGATTAGATATCTGGTTCAAAGATAATAAATGATAGAAAGAGATCAATTATTGGTTATTTGGGGATATTTAAGAAAATGAGTGCCAGATTTTTGAGCCGGAAATTATGTTGAAAATTGCTTCAAATTTAGTAAACGAAGATTATATAATTAAAGGTAATTGAATTGGTTAAATAATATCGACTAATGTAATGATATTGTGGCCTACATATTGTAAGTTGAAAAATAAATTTGAATCGATACAAAATGTGTGCCCTACTCTAAACTACTCTCGTATATAAGCATTAAAATTATTAAATTTTTAAACCATGTAATGCCTACACACAGAGTCACGGAAGCCATTTTTAGTCCATTTCTCACTTTATATAACTTACATAAAAAAGTCAGTCTGCCAATACATGAGTTTGCATCACGAATTAATTCCAAATTTATTCGAAATTCGAGTTGATTGACGGGAAAAATTCGATGCATTTGCAAGAAAATGAATAAATCTTAGTCGTTAGTAAGGGAACATAAATCCAGCAAAACCCTCAATAAATATAGCGATAATTGACGTTTTAACGTGAAATTTTAGATGCAAATCGCGAATTTACAACGATTGATCCTTATGGAATTGGTGTAAGAAATTCATGCAATATTCACCATCAAACTACACCACAGTGCAGCTTCAGTTGTATCAACTGGAATCCAATAATCAATGTTTGATTGATTAGTGTAAACGGCTTTTAATTATGCAATTATCGTTTCCAGCGTACTATATTATGCAAAATGTTTGTTGTATAAGCTGGAGTAGCCATTAAAACGAATCCACCACACTATGAATAGACCAGTTTATCAAACAGTTTGTACCGATTTCGCAAACAGAGCTAATACTATGGTTATAATTAAAATATTCCAAGCAGGTTCGAGACGTCATAAATTTTTTCGACTTTCCAAGATGCCAAGGAAAAACGCTCTAACGTAAGTCCACAAATTTTTCCCATCGACTTGCCAAATCACGCCTATTCCGCAAACAATGGGAACATAAAATTCGCCGAACGAGCAATAAATGCGCTACTACATAAAATTAATTTTTAATTATTGAAATTGATTTATTGCAAAGGAATATCGGGAAAAGTACGCTGGCAACGTTATCTTCGCCTTTTTTTTTCCTATAAATTCACCGGCACGCTCGAATTGAATTTTAAACGGTCGTAATGATAACGAACGTTTCGAAAATTCTGTACTTTCATTGCTTATTATAAATTCGAAACGTATACACTTACGATTGTACGCCAGAAAGGGACGACATGCACGTATAAATGTGATGTTATTATTAAAAACATGGCAGTGGATTTCAGTTGGGGTCGCAACCACAAAAATCAATAACAAAAGTGGGCCAATATGTATGTAAGAATGCCGGCGAGAACTTTGAACTTTCTGTTTAGTGTTAGTTTACGAACATTACGTTTGTCTACAGGGCGAATTTACAATACTAATCAATCACCTTGTTTGTTGATATCAAATTTACTATCAACACAACCTAATGTCTTTTTTACTACAACATGTCTATCATGATATTACAGGATTTTATTATTTAATAAAATCGTAGCACGACCGTCCTAATAACAGCTACTTTATATTAGTTTATACAGTGTGATACCAAGATATCGTGGTTATAAACAATTTTCTTTTGGAACACCTTGTACATATGTAATAAACTTATATTACATATCAACGTTCTAATAACCATCGAATAAGCGATATAATCGCCGTATCGGATTTCAGCGCTGTGTGCAAAATTAAAAAGTACAAAGTTTTTAATGAGTCGGTTCTTAAGAACCCGTTTGTTATTTAAGCTTATCTACATACGAACGATATGTAGATAAAATGGCACGCTGTTAATTTGTTAATAAAATACCGACTATAGCTACCTTGTACTTACTATATTAGATAAGATTGTTACGTTTTTAAGGTTTTAGATATTGGATTCGTACATATTTTTTTGTATTACTTGAAAGTGACTTGCTTTCGTATTGAATTATGTATATGAAGTATATTATGCAACTATTTTTTACCGACTTTTACGCAATATCAGGACTGCACATGACAGATTATCGATAGAAAAATAACTCAGAAAATCATTCATTCGTATAAATTAATTTAACTAAATGTGTGTTTGACTAGGAGATTTCCAACAATGCATTTTAATTAGATTACGAGATTACAATACTCTTTCTTAATGCATCACGAGGCCTTTTTTTCTGTCGCTAATAATAGCAGCGATAATGATGAGGCAATAAATTCGTATTGGATTAAATGCATCGTGATTTTATCCATTTTTATAGAATTCTATTGCCGGCGCGGTTCTATTTTCAGCGATGCCCATTTCGATGTGTTATAATATGCGTTTAAAAGGTTTTCTTAATTGAATTACCGACGAGCTTAAACGGATTAGCGTTCGAAAATATTTAAATGTCGTCGGGATCTCCTGCAGGGTTACAAGGTCGCTTCATTGGAGGAATACGGAATTAATTCGTTTATTTATTCATTAATATTCCCGTCAACTGATAATTTAATTCATTCGAAGCGATTTGCCCGCCATTGGAGCTGTGTTTCAGGTCGAACGGCAAGCAGATGGAAAGCGTCTTCATTTTCAAATTTAAAATTAGCTCAGACGGTTCGTGTAAAACTTATTTTTGGATATTTAATTCATAAGAAACGGTTTTATTCAAAACAACAAAAATCCGAAAAACCAGATACCTACAGAGCAGAAGACCAAGGTGTAAAATATGAAGTAGGTCATTGTTTACACATAAGTATCCAGTTACGCATATCATCGATTACGCGGGATTTATCTCAGCGTTTGTTTAGAATAAATAAACGAGATCAATTACAAGCGATACGGCAAAAAGACTATTAGTGACCATGTTTGCTGGTTAAATGAAATAACACTTTAAAAAGAACATGCCGTGTGTTTTCGATTCGAACGTTCAAACAGCTCGCTTTGCCAAAACATGTCGTTATTCATGCAATTTTTGGAATAATCTAGATTGGTAGTACCGATGGAACTGTGGCAATAATAGCTAAAAGTTATTAACTAAATATGCTACATTTTTTTGCAAATTATCTTCATCTTGTTGTATGCAAGTTGAGAAATTGAGAGATGGGGTTAGCAAATGGAATCTTCTACAAACACCAGTAAAAATATTTACTTTCCAAGCCGATACTGGCCCAAAGTGGTGTTTATTTCACGTTACCCCACAATGGAAATGCAATAGTTGATTACCATTAAGATGCAACTAAAAGCACTTTTTTTTATGTAACATGTAAATGCTAATTTTAGCTTTTTCGAGCAATTATTTTTAGTATAAGTAATACTTTTTCAAGGCAACGCTACTAGATTTGCAATTTACGAGAATGTATCAAGGAAATCCTAATTTGTGATAAACGCCACGTGCCTCAAATTTCAATGCATTCAGCGGGCGAGGAGTTTTGGATTCGGTATAAAATGCGAAGTTGAAAGTTTTGGTATAGGAGCGTTTAGGCTAGACAGCGACATGGAGTGGCTGGAAATAGATCGTGGCCCTGAATAGAATAAGCTATATATACGTAAATAAGCAAGGACCTGGTATTTTTCGCCCAGAGCGGCAGTAGCGTCTCTCCGACACCGTCTAGAGAAAAACCTGGAAGCCGGGTAAACATGGCTCTTGTCGGGCGCGATGATTTAATACCTTGCGGTTGCCAAACCGAATCGTTACTCTCTCCGGAAAGTCTGCCGTTAATTGCTAAAAAGACTGGCGAATTTCGCGGTTCGTGCTAAACTTAACCAGATTCTCACTTCTCAATTCGAATTCGTACTTAAAATACACATCCCGAACCACACCTAAATGATATTTAACTGGCTACAAACCCATCCAGGATGCAGAATTTTAGATAACCTACCCCACCTACTCATTACAAATGCTTTATCTAATGAAAATAAATCAATAAAACTCTTGAAATGAAAACCTTATTTATTTGTTTCAGGATCGATGCGCCGTGGTGAACGCGAATGGTAGCAGCCCTTTAGAAAATATGAGAGGATTAGATTATTTTTTGAATGATATTATGAGTCCACACAGCAATACAAATGATATGAAAGGTAAGTTTGCGCTACAAGGAGAGTACAAGGAGAGTTTTTATCTATTGCAAACTGCATTTTTATCAGCGCATTTTATCATACAAATTTGATTAAAACAAACTTTGTGTTTGTTAAATATTTGGATTTGCCGTTGCATCACCGATGTTGGTTTTATAATGCTCTCTTGTTCTAGCTGGTATATCATCTGTTTGATATTAATATACGTAGTAATTTTCTCGTTTCATTAAAATGCGCCAATTTTTTTTTGATAATGTAATGAATATAACTAAAAAATGCAATTATTTATCGAAACAATTATCCATAACGTGCTCCATTAATCGAAAAGACGATTTAAAACGCACTTAACTAATTGAATTGCATAAAAACGATAAAAATTTTCTTAATTGAACATTATTTCATTTAAACGTCTTTTTTTTTGGCTCTGCATTTTAGATAAAAATATTTTCTTAATAAAGAATACTCGGCTGATAAGTCGGAAAATAGTAATCCGCATATAAAATTCAAACGCTCGGTCACTGGGCTCCTACATAATTAACCGAGTTGAATGGGTTAATAACACGTTTGTGATCCCCAGATTTGTTAATCAGACACAAAAAGTTTTTCAAACTATCACTTAACCTTCGTTGAATCAAAGAACCCGGTGCGATAAAACAAAAAGTAACACATATGTAATTTCATCGCCAGTGGCGTACGGATAGGCCCGATTGCAGGGGGTGCTACTGTATATCGATATACTATCGCAGTATTTGCAAAATAATATAGAACTATAATCTATGATTCGCCATTATCGTTAGTGTATCGGAATTATTGAAATGGAATTATTTAATATTTATTATTATTCATTATTCCGAGTCATTGATTAGATAATGTTAATGGACAAACAAATTTAGCATGAAGAAATTAATATCGTTCGATATAAGAGGCCCTTGGTTTGTTTATAGCGAATCTGGCGTATTTACTAAACCGTCTAATGCGGGAACGTGCCTCTTTAGGAATTGATTTTCTTCTCTCAGCCCGAGGAATCATTAGAAAGTTCTTATTCAGCTTTTTTGCGAGGTGTGTGCTCGAAGCATTTTCGTCTATCAACTTGAAAGTATTGCAGAGGTATCATTTTTAACGTTCCACAAAAGAGAATAGACCCTCGATGTGGAAAACGCTAAAGGCGAGGAAAATAAGCTTTCCTCGAGTGCTCCTGAAAATCACCTATTTCGGCGCAAGTCCGGAAGCCAGCGGCAGAGCCGAGTTTCCATCATTCATAAGTGGGCGTTTCGGCGTTGCGAATAAAATGGAAAATTCCGCCGTCTTCCACATTGTTGAATCGATTCTCTTCGTTTTGCGCCAGATGAAAATTAAATCCATCACACCGCTCGATTTTTTAATCTTCCGTGAGCCCGTTCCAGCGCATTCGAACTATCGATCAGCATGCAAAAACCCGGAACCTGCCACATAACATACAAAGTCCGAATAACATTTTTCCTGCTCAACTCGCTTCGTACGAATTTTACATAATTTACGTCTCCGCTATATTTCCTACTGAACGCAATTTAATTCTAAATTTTCCTGCCTAGGTTATTAATTACTGCCAAAGTGCATCCAATATTGCGAATACCACTTAGAATTTGATCGAATCATTCCGATGGCGGTTTCCCTTTTTTCCTGCTGAATCGACCTAATTGATTAATGGCGCTTTTAGCAGTACGAAAGAATGGGCCGAAAAACGCGTTAGCTGGTCGATTTGTATTTTTAACACGTTTCATAGCCCCGTTTTACTGCCGAAATTATCATCGAAACTACTGCTATCGACGACACTGTAGCCAGCTGTTTTGGTGCAGTATGCGATTGTTACGTCACATGCGCGCGCCAGTCGTTTAGATCTATCATGTAAACAGCTAGACAGTTAGTGATATCAAATAAAAAAGCGGCGTTGCCGGATCGCCGGAAAATTCCCGCGAATCGGGGACGATCGGCATGAAGCGTAGCGCCGCGGGAACGAGAAAAGCGGCGGTTCGGCGGCGACGGGGCGCCTGAGGGATAGCAGGGGATTAACCCAGTTAACGATCGCCCCGCTATAAGCGGGAATTTTCGACGTGGAGCGAACCGCGGCGGAGGACATCGGGGAAACCGGAGCGGCAACGGCGCCGCTCCGACATCGTGATCGCGCGACGTTTAACACTGTAATCAGCGCAGTTAGTTTTTGTGTTCGAAGTGTGTGTTTGCGGGCGTATTCAAAGTGCCCGAGTGTGCGTAATGTTTAGGGCATACGGTACTTCCCCAGCTGAACCAACCCCCCAGCCACATTGGGGGTTGTCTAACATCAACGCGCTGCCTAAAGGTGGGTTCACGGGCGCCGGGCGGAAAAACGCGCACTGGCCGCGTATTATTTTCGAATTGTTAATGATAAGATTGGAACCTCGTGATTCTCGTTTTCGGTGTAAAAAAAATTTCAACCGGATGATAAGCATCGTATGGTGGATTGCGATTAGTAATTATGTAAACAGTAATATTGGGAAAAAAAATAAATAAAATAGTTTTTATGGTCGAAGTGAGTGAACGAGTAGACCGTAACCGGTCTACTAGAAAGGTGACAATTTTACAAATAGTTTATGTAACTGTTTCCAAATTATACAACTATCCTAAAAATTGTTGCTCGGCGTTTGCGTCGATTCGCTCGGCATAGGAACCGTCGATCGGGCAATTTGGAATATTTTGTGCCGATCAAGTGAAACTAGTTTATTCTCTCAATGATAAAATTTAACAAGACTATTGTTATAGCTATTACATCACCATTTTAGCGCAATAATACATGTTTAAGGACGCCGGTGTAGGGACTTATTATGTAATGCGTTTGCAGGAAAATGCTCGCACCTTCCGGTAGCTCGATCCATAAAAAAAATCTCCAATCCTGACCGTCCTGAGCGCGTGAACGTACTTTACTTTATCCACGATATGTAAATACTAATACATTGCATTAATATTGCGTCTGACACACTTTTTTCCAACCTTGAATACGTATTACCGTGGATTATACTTTAATAACTGCTTCGGAGAGGATATTCCTAATGTTAACAAATTCGACCAAATCTAAATTCACAATCAATTTTTACATCACCCTCGTACATCGATTTCAATGATAATTTAAAACGCTCACAACACTCATTTCCATGTTCGAAAAAAAAAAAACAAAAACGCCCAAAATACTCATTACAATTGCTAAAATTCTCCGAAAAAAACAAAAATACCCAATCGACCGAATTATTAACAAACAACGAAAATACTCATTAACATTTTCCGTGCATCATTTCCGTCAATCATTAGCAATTATCTGCCAAATCGAAAAGCGCCGTGCAATATGGGGTAAAATGAACATGGATACGTAATTGAACAGCAAACAATAGGACCGCGTTCATGTAACTACAAACTGCAAAAATCTATCAATAATTTAACGGTTCGGTTTCGTGTCCTCCGAAGCATAGACGAAATGTTCAGCTACAATAGATTGGTCGGAGAGTTAAAGTCAAAAATCAATAATCCCGTTAATGCTAATAATAAAGAGCGCCGTTCGATTAAGGCCGAGAGCAAATGTAAATCTAATTAACTCGTGTGATTAATGTGTGATCAACGATAGTGCCTCGGATTTGCGAAATTGAGCAGCGAAACTGGAGTAAGATTGGATCTTATTCGAAAAAGTGACGCATATCCTTTCAGCTAGGCTCTATTGCATATAAAGGAATTTAAATTAATAAAATGCATTCGAATTGTCTTATTGTCTCGGGAACGTTACAAGAAGCAGGCGAAATGTAATTGCACTTGCGACACCCGGCATTTTTCAACTGCAAGATTCCATTATCCGGCCGTCGTTTGTGTCGCGCGCGGATTATTTTACAAAATTTTTAACTTTCCCATTTGCGAAAAACAATCCTTATCGATGCAATCGCCGCGTTACCGAATTTTTCTCTCCGACAAAAAAAAAACACAATTATCTCACAAAATATTTTCGACATTAACCATCTAGCCGATAAAATTTTTCCTGTTTTTTTTTGTTTCAAAAACGTGGTTTACCTTATAAATATTTTCGAAAAATTATCAGCTGAGTTTTATCAACATGCAGATTATTAAAAAAGTATGTGAGACATAAACAATTTTTCTATTTGAATAGTCATTAAATTTACGAGCGTGCTATTTAAATTTACATCGAAAATCATACACAACATACGAATTTTATTTTTGTTTCAGGCTTTATAAATACTGCTAACATGTTTCCATCGTTACAATTACATGGTAAGTAGAGCATTTATTTATTTATTTAATTCATACGTGACCATCCCGGGGAATCTTCCTACTTTTAAAACTATTCGATTAAAAATGCCTATTGGTTAACAAAACAAATCCAAACAAAGCGAATGGTAGAGACCTTGTTAAAAGGAAGAAAATGAAGCAACCACCTTGTTAACATTGACTTGATTAGAATAAAATGAAGAAACCGTTGGGGCTTATTTAATTAGAAACAATGAAGAAACCGCATTGTTAGAACCTATTTAACTCTAAATAAATCAAGGAACCCATCGGCAACATATTCAGTTAACTAGAAATCGATGAAGCAACCCAAAAGAGCTGGGTTAACGAAAACTGCTTCGAAATTCATCGGGCTGCATTGTGCACCGCGTGCACAACAAAAAAATTCGCGTCATCTTTTTAGGGAATACTCGTTTATATTTAGCCAATATGCGACATGTTAAATTCGTCACGTGGGACATGTGTATTGTTGGAACCGATGTACTTAACGTGTGTTGCTATTGCGTTTTAAAAGTTAAAGCATCGCGAATTTGCATTCGGCTCGCCGTCAATCAAATTTTCCACTTTGCATTTCCCACATCGTTTATTCCGTTCCATTTTCCGAGAGCAGGTACTGCCGGGCATCCGCTGGCTGGGACATTTTTAACACGCTGTAACCCGTGGGAAACGCTATCTTATCATTTCGACGGCTTGAATCAATAAAGCGCGGATCCGAAAAATCAGGTGCTTCGTAGGTATAAAAAAAATAAGAACGATAGTTGGAATACAGGCGCACAAGGTCAGTTTTATCAATTTCGATAAATTTTATTGGACACGGTAACGTGAAATTCGTTTTTAATTGTTGCACCGATATATTTGAGGACTTTTCGTTGCGTGGAGCAATACCTGCGAGACCGGACGTGCTCGTTACACGAATGTTATGAAATAATTAGATGGACCCAACGAGTGGGCTCGATTAAATCAGTTGTACTATAAGGCATGTATAATAGAAATTTTAATCTTATATGAATGAATTTCGCTGGGGGAAATGAACGAAAAAAAGAACGCCGAGAACGAGAGGATAGGCAATCTAGAAAAGTAATCCAGTCGGTTTCTAATTTAAAGAGCGCGGCTTCGAAAAGACAAATATTATTATTAAATTCGAATCGTTTTCGTTAATAATAATTCCACATCGCTTTGAAATGCGATCTTTAATTCGGACGGAATTGCAGGCGTTTTATGCGATTTTTCCTCCGTCGAATCCAATTAGACCGCGAGGATTAAGACCTTAATGCCGTTTGATGTCTCATTTTCCCTCGCATACGCTTCTGTTAATACTTGCCCTTTTCCTCTTCGATCGCCGCCAGCAGGAATTCCAGCTTTAGCCGTACCATCCGGTTATACCGAAAATAGAACCAACGCAAATAGTCCACTCACACACGATCAGAACAGATGTTCCACGTTCGCCCGCCCGAAAACTCACTCAAGCCGGCCCCCCCTTTTTTTCATCCGCAGGTAAATCACATTACTTTCCGAACCTGGAGGACCAGGCTGGACCTGTCCTCTTGGAGGAACCTCCTAGTCACCTAGTCGATAGTACCTTGGGCACGCAGCCGCTGAGCTCGCCGTCGCGGTCGTCGCCGCATTCGCAGGGCTCCGAGGGCGGCGAGCGCTTCTCCAGGAAGGTGTTCGTCGGCGGGCTGCCGCCGGACATCGACGAGGACGAGATCACCGTCAGCTTCAGGCGATTCGGGCCGCTGGTGGTCGATTGGCCGCACAAGGCCGAAAGCAAGTCGTACTTCCCGCCGAAGGGATACGCTTTTTTATTATTTCAGGTAAATTTTTGTCATTTTTTTTTTTTTAGTAATTTGGGCGTACAGTAAATTGGGCGTACAGTAAATTGGGCGTGCAGTAAATTGGGTGCATAGTAAATTGGGCGCCAAGTAAATTGGGCGTAGAGTAAATTGGGAATGCAGTAAATTGGGCGCCAAAGGGATTGCAGATTCTAATTTGACAGGTAAATTGGGCGCAGAGTGTCCGGAAACTAAAAAAACCACAAATAATTCTTTTGTTGATTGAAAATGTTTATTTACAGTAAAGTATTTTCATGCACATATTATTTTTCAATATAATAATTCTTCTACCTGCGCCCAATTTACCTACATTACTTTTAATGCTTTCATGACAGTCATTGGGTTAATTCGTGCTCGATTAGAACATACTTTTTGACTCTACTACTATCTAAAATAAGCTATTTTATTAGCAAATTATTGGTACATTTTCGTATTTTTGCGTGAATAATATTATTTAAAAAAAAAACGTATACTTGTTAAATATTGGGAATTATTTTCGCTGGTTGGTTGACTTTGAATTTGCGAGTTGAACGTGTCCCTGCGTGAATCTGGTCCGCTGCTCTACCGGGGTGTATTCCAAACTTTGTTCGGGGTTTATCAAAGTTTAACTTCGGCGGTGTTTATTGATCGTTTCGGGACAGCGGAGGAGCGTTTGTAAGAAATTCGGAACAGATTACGATTAATTTTTAATCGAGTACGTTAACCTTTTGACTCAAATCCGTTGATATCGTATGATGTAACGTCGAAATTCGCACCTTTATTGCAGGATGAAAATTCTGTACAAAGTTTAATAGATGCTTGTATAACTGACGAAGATAAGTTGTATTTATGTGTATCGTCCCCGACAATTAAAGATAAACCTGTACAAATACGACCCTGGAGATTATCAGACGCGGATTTCGTTTTGGACGCATCCATGCCCTTAGATCCTAGGAAAACGGTGTTCGTCGGCGGTGTTCCACGACCACTTAAGGCTGGTAAGAACGCGCGATGTCTCGATATGGGAAATGTACTACTGCATAAATTCGCCTTTTCAGTTGAATTAGCAATGATTATGGATAGACTGTACGGCGGTGTGTGCTATGCGGGTATAGACACCGATCCGGAATTGAAGTATCCGAAGGGCGCTGGACGAGTAGCTTTTAGTAATCAACAAAGTTATATAGCGGCGATCAGCGCACGTTTTGTACAATTGCAACACGGCGACATTGATAAAAGGGTAGAAGTAAAACCTTACGTTCTCGATGACCAAATGTGCGACGAATGTCAGGGGCAACGGTGCGGTGGCAAATTCGCACCTTTCTTCTGCGCTAATGTCACTTGTTTGCAGGTAAGAGATCCTTCGATCCTCCAGGATCGTTAAATTCGTTTCGCTTGTACTACTAACACTCCATCATAACACCAACACTTGCAGACATGATATGACTAAATTAACACATGGACATGTCTGAAGTTGAATTTTTAATGCTTCCCTGGTATATAGCGTTTTTGAATTACAAATGAACGTTGAGAAACATCCGGAATAGGAATAGATAGGGGACAGATAATGGTCCTGATATTGTCGGAAGTAATTTCCTTGCGCCCCTTGTATGAAAAGTGCCAGAAAGGCGGTATAAAGATCATTCACCTGAGCTGCGCTCGGTGCCCACAGCGAGGCAATATGTGCTCATTGATTTTTTTTTTGTTGGCTTTTACGGGTTTTTGTTATTGGGTTTGTTTCTTTGCAGGAAACGACGAAAATTATTGCTTTTAATTTAAGCGTCGATAAACGATTCATTTAATATGCCGTATTTATCGAGCCGTGTGTTTCTTCATTATTTGCTGTTATCATCATTATTGTCTGAAATATTACAATGCATATTTACTTTGTCATGGCATTGTATTCAATTTTTAAACGGTACCTCCGAGCATATCATTATGCATGTTGATTAATAAATGTTTAAAATTATATATTTATTAATTAGTATATGCCGACCATTAAATTTATATATTCGTTTTTAATCGGCTCAAAAATTGTATTTCAATTTCGTTGTAAATCAAATTTATTAAAGTTTAATTATTAAAAAGCATATTGACAATGACCTTCGAAAGAGTAGATATACCATAATATTGTCAATTTATTATTTTTCATGCGCAAAAATCTCATACGTATAATTTTCTAATGCAATAATTTTGTTTTATTTACACAAATACGAATTAAATCTAATTTCTCGTATACCAGGTGTTTATTAAAAACCGATTCTTCAATAACAACTTCCTAAAATTTAGTGGAGTTAATATAAATTTCTGTTTTAGTACTACTGTGAACATTGCTGGGCAACGATTCATTCGAGGCCTGGCAGGGAGTTCCACAAGCCGCTGGTGAAGGAAGGGGCCGACAGGCCCAGGGCTGTGCCATTTCGTTGGTGTTAACGCAGGAAGGCTTAGTACTGCGGCCGAGGGCTGCTCCACTTTTTAGCTTATTACCATACCACTGTGGTCGGCAGCCCGACAGTTTATTGCTTAGGCCAAAATTTTATAGTAGCGATTATACAAATTTTTCGATATATTTGAGATCATGAATCAGTCCGAAATATATGCGATATTAGGTGATTTTTTAGCCGAGGCCCTCTCACCCCGGCAAAGCTTTTTCTAACGGAAATCCCAATTGGAATTTGACTGTTTGTTGAAATTTTCTCCCACGAATCTACTTAAATTCCTTTTGATCAATCATTATTGGCGTAACGGTCATGCGACTAAATCTTTTTTTGTACATAATTTCAGTTTCGTATAAATATATTTTTTAACATTTTACTTTTTAACGAAGTAAATATTTATTTATATATTTATTTTTTTATTTATTATATAGTTTTTTTTTAATTGTAATTTTTATCGATTGACAAAAAGTGAGAATAAATTGAATTTGTCAATAAATTTTTACCTTCTTTATAGACTTGGCATTCTTAAACATAGAATAATATTATATTTTAGCCATTATTAAAATACACGTGTATTAGACACAAATAATTAATATACTAGTCATTAAATAATATGCAAAATCAATTAGACCAAATAATAGCTATAAAAAATCTTTCCAAAATTCGTTCCAAAATAACCACCAAATGTATACCAAAATAACAGTGTTAATTGCCCATTTCAAAACGACTTTGGAAAGATTCTAGTATTGCACTTGCGATTTCTGTTGAACGAGCTTCCGGGTACACGGATCTTTGGACATTCACAATCTCATAATAACTACAATGTAACCAAAATATCTTTTTGAATGGCGCCGGGTGGTAGCGAGGATGTTGCTAGTGTCCCAGCACGTGGTTTTTCTCGGATCAATTCAGACGTGCTACATTAAAAAACGCTAGATAATAATTTTGTAGCGCGCACACTTCAGGGTATTGTAAATACTAGTTTAATTGCAAATTGCAGAATGGGCCGTTAGTTAATTCTCTCGTCGTGCAATTGATAATTGATGCAACAGCTTGCGTTTTGCTGGAAAATTCTTCACCCGCGTTCGTTTTAGCTATAAAATTCTTTGTAGAAATTCGACGAATTTTCCTGTTTTTGCTGTTTTCCTGTCGTTAAAGTTATACGAATGTTGGGTTTGTTTGAATTCCTTAATTTTCAACGCGCGCGAAGAATTTTCCATTTTAATGCGAACGAGCGGCTTAGTAGGAAATCCCTTAAAACTCACCGATGTCTAACGTGCTTCTGTCAATTGTTGCGATTTTTGAGCTCTTTTCACCTCGATTAATCCATTTTAGAAGACGGATATCGCTGAGTTCAGGCGGATTTCCTGGAACAAAACCACCGCTGGGCGGCAAACGGAATCGCTTATAGTATTGACCACTTTGCTCCAAGTACCTGACTACCTTGTATCCTGCAAAAAGCGCTTTCTCACCTAAATTCATACTACCTTTTTTCAAACTACGAGTGCCGGCATGATCCGCCAACTTTTCGAGTTCTGCTGCCTTTCCACTCGATCGAGTTTTTACCGGACCATCTAATGGTTTGGCGAATTCTTAAATTAATCTCATGGTAAAAATGAACCTGTTCGTTCTAGACGAGTGGACACTCACCTAGTTTTATTAATTAATTTTTCGTAACTTACAAAATCATCCTAATGGTGATTTAAAGATGATGTAAATTAATAGCAATTTGTTGTTATTATTAATTATTTAATCGATTAAGCCCCCTGGGGATGTGGTGGCCCAAAGAGTCGATTTTGAAGTCAGTAGGGCTAGGGGGTTTGTTAAATTTTTGTATATAATTGTATAACCTTTAGCTTAATTATTTCGGTAAAGAAATTTACACCCAAAGAAAGTGAGATGAGATCTCATTAGATGATTTTTCGTTCTCTTTGTAGTGAATTCGATAATTTAAAATTTACTCGTAACTGAAAATTTACACACTTCTCTCCCTCAAGCGGATCGGGTGCAACCCGACCGGTTGATTAGTTAAGTTTCTGTAAATATGTTTTTGTCGCATAATCGAATCATATCAAATGATTAAGTACAACAAGTAAAAAAAATAAAAAAGCACTTTGTAGGAAATACGGATTGGTTTTGGTTTTGTTATTGAAAATCGAATGAGAAATGCAAGGGAAGTTTCTAAAACTGACATACAGGGTTTCGAAAAAATTTGGAACGTTTAAAATGATTTTTAGGAAATTTTACTATAATGAAATTTTTAAGTTGTTGCAAACGATGATTTCAAAAAGTACTTTCAAAAAGCTTTCATTGTTTGTAAAAACTGGACAAGGAGGAATTAACTAAAAAATCAGTTGCTTTAATTATTAATTATCATGAAATACTGTGATGCGGTGGAATATCCTAAGCAGTAAAGCGTTGTTTTTGAAACAATTCAAGTTAGGGATTATTACAAATTATTTTTCTATTTTAACTTGTACATATGTAGGTACCAAAGATGTTACATGTTTTCTATATTGTTGATGTGTAAATGTATCCAAAGTGATTAAACTAAGACCAGCTAAATCAATTAATTCTTAGGTATTAACGATTTGCTCATTTAGTCGGATTTTCGAATCGGAAGGCAAGCAAAATCGCGGATCATGTTATCTCTTCGAACTTAAATTCGCTTCCTGCTTAGTGTCCGCTATAATGTTGTCCTCATCCTTTTCACTACCAACTCTAACAAGGCAGTGGGAATCGCAATTGGGAATTAGAGTAACTCGACGGATTTCGTGATAGTTTAGAGTAAAAATGCGAGGAGGACGTTTTGTGATTTGTGATCGTAATAACACACTAAAACTTGTGCGGATTTATTGAGATAGGATTTGTTATTGTGAATTAGCTGATCGTTGAATAGGGAAGGCGAGAGCTGTAATATGTCATATGTTATAAGTGGAAGGAACGTGTTATCTTCTTCGATTTTCTATTTTCAAATATACCTACTTAGGAAAATTTTAAGTACCTATTTAGTGGAATAAATGTGAGACGAAATTGATGTATGAATTCCTTGCCTTGTAGGTTTTGGCGGTGTCCTATTTTCATCCCTATTATCATGTGTGATACCGATAATGATAAACGTCTTTATATGTATTAAATCAATTGCATGGATATGTATAGTAGTATATATTATATATAGTATCAGCTATTTTAAGACTTTGTATTTTTTAAATTTGAATTTTTATACTAAACTGTTATAAATGGTGACTATGACTATGACTAGTACAGTTTCGATGTGTGCAATAATCGAGAATGGGGGGCGAGTATAACGCAAAAGCGGCATCTCGCTACAAGTAGAATTTTATCTTTATAACCGCAATGAGGAAATCCGAAGCGCCGGCGCTCCCGACGGATCCGAACAACCGCATTATCGGCAGCTAAATGCCCGAAATTATTTCACGTAATAAATTAATTAGAGAATTACATGTGGGGGGATTCGGCGCTTCGGATTTGGATCGATGAATATATTGTTTTTTAGGTAATTGTGTAAATAGGCCAAGCGTTGAGAGACAGCGGCCAGGAACACTGCAATACATTTCGTTCATAGGTATTCTGTTAATCACCATCAATTTTATTCGTTGAAATTCATTTTGAAAGGCGAGCGAAATGGAGAAATTTATTGTGGTGGTATGCTTTCCGCTTGGACAACCATTTACAACATGGTACAAATAAGTAATGATGAATATGATTTGTAAACATTTACACTCTTTTTCTACTGTTTGTATATTTGCCTGCCTGCCCTGCTTGGGTCAGTAGAATAATACGGTGGATTACGGAACATTTGTATCATATTCTGTAGACGGATATCTAATAAAATTCAATTTCTACAGAGCCTATTCTTCAATAAATTTACAAATTTTTGCATCCGAAAGTCGCATCAGTCAAATAAGATCAATTTTGATAGCAAACACGAAATGTAGAGAGAAGCAGAAGGTGTAAATTTATTGTAGATGAATCGCTAATTTTATTGGATTCTATAAGTTTTATCTATGCGTATAACTTTTTATCCATTTTATGAGATTTAGAACTGTGTGAGACCTAATAGTTTCGAATTGGGTTCATGCACTTCGGTTTTTTTAATATAATTAGTCTCTGTATTTATTGGGAATCTTAAAAGTTGTATATTTTTTACTTTTCATAACGATCTTTGACATAAGCTTTTTTTGAATAAACGATTTTCAATGTGAGAGGACCAGGATTGCAGTCAATCACTTTGATATGGCAATCAGGGGCGTTCGTTTCCACCGCTCAATGAAAATTTCTTTGAACTTGCTCCAATTTATCAGAGGGATTGATTCTTTTACACCACGTTATTTGCTTGTTTTGCTTATAATAGATGAATAAGTAAATCGGCGGGAATATTTTGATGTTTCTCCGTGTTTGGAAGGCGACTTCTCGGTTTGGTAAATTCGAGCTTTATTTGGGATATTTTGGTTAGGAGTAGGTGGAAAAGAGGGTCTAATCAAGCAGCCCGTCACCATACGATTAATACCAATATCATAGGTATTAAATTGGTTTACGTAGTTACCATTAGTGCAATATAATCGGGCTGTGCCTATTGTGGATTTAGCCCACCTAGGGATAGTCAATTTTTTAATAATCTTATTATTGGCCGATTGGTTTTTCGGTTTTTGTCCGTTTTGTCCATTGGCTATTTGACTAAGCACCAAAGTAGAGTTATTATTTCGTTATTTTTTTGTAACTGTGTTTTTAAAACTATTTAAATTGTTTTTATAATTATTTTATACACTTTTATATGTTTGTTAGTCAATTTGAGGTAAGGTTTGTACAACTTCTTGGGAAGTTCCTCGTTTACTATTTTTGTTAGAATTCAGACTTTTTATGTTTTTTTTATAAATATATATATAAAATATAAACGTGTGCGTTAATTTTTTTCACACCCTCACTCCCCCTACAAAAACAACTACAACAATCTGCAAGTAGAAAATTTATTGGCAGCAAAATTTGAACAGAACAAAAAAAAATGAATAATATTTAACTTTGTTATAAAATAATATATTTAGCAAATAACATAATTTTATATAAAATAACATAGGAAATAAATATCAATAGAATAAAATTAACAATAGTTTATAATGAAAGCTTGGACGCCAGCTCGTTCAGCAGCACCGAACCGAACACGATGTTCTCGCAATGCACCGACAAACTCGTCGAATCGCCCATCTCTATTGCAACCAAAACCAAATTGGACGACGTCAAACTCTGCCCGGCGAATCTAAAACAAAAAAAAAATCCCCAATCACCAACAGCCCTTAAACAACCCGCCGATCTACCTGTAACAATTCGGCTCCGAGCGATCGCAGGGGCCCAAATTAGTCGACTCCTTGATCCTCTCTTCCACATCGGCCACGCATTTCGGCAAAGGCATCACGTGCTCGGTCATGCCCCGCAGCTTGCTTTGATGCTGCACAAACAGCGCGGTGCTCATCACCACAGGCCTCATCAGCTCCCCCAAATTGGGCTTCAACGAAACGTTCACGTTGCCCAAGGAAGACACGATTTCGAAATTCGCAGGCTGCGTGGTATCGTTGAAATCAATACCGAGAGTAGCGGGCAGAGAGCAATTCGGCGGCAATTTCGAAATGCAAGCGAAATCGTGCATGCTCATCCCGAAGGCCAGATTCTAAAAACGTACAATTATTACGCAAACTAACAAGCATATACAAACTAACGCACCTTTCTTCCTATCCGAATATCATCGATATCTTCGCCGTAATTGTTAGTAAACAGCAGATTGATGTTAGTCATGCTGGGGCTGTAGAGGTGCGGAGATCTGGTGAATCTAAACGTGGCTGAGAGGCCTTTACCGCCGATTTTATTCAGCAATTCCTGCGGCTTGGTGTTGGTGTAAACGGGCTGGACGATCTGGATAGAAGCTTGCTGCTCCAGCGGCGTGGAAGGCGAATAGAATCCGCCCAACGAAGGCGTCATGACCGGTGCGGGATTGTCGATGTCGTCTAAATCTAACAGTAAATCTAAATTAGATTTTTTATTGCTTATAGTGGTGTCGTTCTTGGCGGCGGGAATGTTGTTAACGGGTGCAGGTTTGACGGGTTTTTGTTCGGATGAGGATTCTTCGCTCGAAGACACCGACTCGCCGGATGAAGTGTTACCGGAGGCCTTCCTGAAAACAAAACCCGTTAATTACATGTAATACAAAACAGTGGAAATTTACTTCGAAGATTCCTCCTCCGATGACGAAGATTCTTCTTCGCTGGATTCCTCTTCTTCGGCTTCCTCTTCGCTTTCGCTCTCACTGGAAGAACTGGTACTCGAACCGTATTCACTCGTAGAAGCTCCCGAGCTGTTCTCAGACTCCCACATGAACTCTTTCTTCTTCTTATCCTATAAATATATTCATTAACGAAATCGTCACTAAATAAATGTAACTTACAGCATTCCTGCGAGTTTTAGTAGTAGTTTCTTCAACGATAGGTTCCACGTTTCTGACGTCTCCAGGAGGAGGATTGCTTGGAAACGGAGGCAAATCCTCGTAACCGTTGGCCCGTTGCTTGATGTAATGCGATAAAGAACCCAACTGCAACTCTTCATTGCCTGGAAAAAAATCGGTTCGAGGAAACGGGAAGACGAATTGCGCGAGTCGAATACCTGCAAATTGCATTTTCAAAACCGGCGCCGGTTTGGTCGCCAAGAAGATATTTCTCGCCTGCGATCCGATCTTGCCCTCTTCCTCCACGAAGTGTTTGAAGAACCGCGCTTTATCTCTGATGTCGTAATTCTGATCGTACTTGGCCAAATTGCAGATGTATTGACACAATAAAGAGGTTTGGTCGGGGTTGGTTATGTACAGCTTGATTGCCAGGTTCATCACTTGTAACTTAACGATATCATCCTAAAAAAATCGCAATTACAACATTGAATAATAGTTGTTGTAGATAATCACCTCGTCGGGGAAAGTCTTAGCTAGTTTTCTGAGAACATCGGGAGCGACTTGAGGAACTTTTTGAGAATGCTCGCCCAGCAACCACAAAATGGCAGCCCTAGCTTGAGCCACCGTTATGCTATCTAGCAATCTAGCCATATGCTTGATGATTTCTTTCGGATCGGCCGCCTGAGTTTGTAAGAGCCTTTTGATAACTACAACGCTTTCAGCAACGACAGCCTCTGCAATATTGCAAGTTTATTAAGAGTGAAATCAGAATATACAGAAACTCACCATCCCTATTCGACAATAACGAAACTAAACCATTAAGGCACGAATCAGTGACTTCTGAAATAGAACAGGCACATCTTCCGATAGCTTGAATAGTAGCAGCAACGAAATTCTTATCGCTATTCGAAATGTAAGTCTGAAGTTCTCTTAATATAATCGAAACATTAGAAACATTCGTAATATTAGTTAAAATCTCCAATTTAAGCAGCTTAACGTTAGTGGGATCGGATATTCTGACGAAGAAGCTCTTCAGGTACGGCTCGAACATGCCCTTGTTGATGACGCTTATCGAGGCTATGGCGCTCAGAACGACGCTTTGAACTTCAACGTGAGACCTCAGGAACCTCACCAGCGATTTCGCGGCCAGTACGCTCTCGCTTCGAGGAGATGCGTGATGGTACAACTGGGCGACAGACATCACAACAGCGGCGTTTCTGGATTGCAGCAGAGGCCTCGTAGATCTCAGCAATAACCGATGATCCGGATCCAAACTGGGTATGTGCTTTTCAGAAGCATCGGAATTGGAATCGTAGAATTCACCGTTCGATTCGATATTCTCCTGAAACGTTCGTTAAGCTCAAACTCATCCGATTTTAAGTATAATGGTGTTTATTTACGTGGAGGTTCGGGTCTGCGAATTGACTTCTGGCGTATCTCGTTAGCATATTTACAATGGTGACTTGACCCCACTCGTCCACATCGACCAGCAAGGCACATAGTTTCCTGAAGACCTGGTGGATCAGATCGACTCTTTCGGGGCACACTTCAGTAAAAGCCATCACCGCTGAGCCTATCACAAGGACAGTTTTATCCGCTAGGAGTTTTTGAATTATGGTTATCAGTTCCGGTTTCATGTCGGGATCTAGGCTGCAAACGAAACGAATATGAGAAAATGAGTTTACGGGGGAGTTTTCTGATGTACCTATTTAATTTAGGGATGGCATGTGCAGCAGTTTTTCTCACATAAGGCGACATGTCAGCCGAAGCGTCTTTGATAGCTAGCATTACAATGGGGCTGATCACTTTAACTCTGACGCTCGATAGCACTCTTAGTGCTCCTGCTCTGATTAGTTGGTTAGGTTCCTGCAAGCGATTAATTAGTTATCTAATTAAACGTGTTTTAAATCGTACTTTTAACGCCCGTTGGAACGTCGAAATTGACAATAGAGCCAGGTCTTGTTGCTCCTCCGCGTATCTCTCCAAATACACATAAACCAGTTTTTTGACTTCGATATTTTTTGATACGACGTTTTTGACTACGGCTGGGAATAGCATCGAAGCATCGCGACCTTTTGCTACCATCTGAAAGCAAAATTTGTTATTAAATTAGAAAATATAGCAAAACAAAATGGGTACTCCTATGATCCGTTTCATTGCTTCCAATTTTAGGCTGTCCTTATTGGAATCCAGCATTTCCTTCAGGTCATCGTGTCTACAACAAAATAAAACGTAATGTAATGAACAAACAAGTAACAGCAAAGCACTAACTTCTTGAAATCGGTGTTAAAGAATCCCCCAGAGGCAGGATCCACAGCATATTCGGCTTCAAAACTGGAGCCCCGGTCGTTGGAATAGGAAGTACTGTTCGTCATATTGTTAGATGGGGATGACAACATTTTGAATTTATTTATTTAGAGGGTTATAAAAGAAATAACTCATTAAAAAAAATTATTAAAAGTTTCATTGGAGACAACACTGCCGCATATGCAACTAAAATAACTCCCGTCAATTGTCTTGTCAATTAGCAGAGCAGCCAACATTCAATATTCATTGAAATTAAGTTTATTATCTTTGTTTAAGTAGCAATATAGATAGAGAGGAGAGATTGAGATTAGCGATTCTGAAATTGTATATAAAAGTCCCTATTGTTGACACTGACAATGACAGGTATTAAAAATAATAGGAAAAGAAACGTCATTTGTCAAAATTTATTTAATAAGTTTGGGCTTGGGTCAATAATCTGATGTTTGTCTATTAAAATGTAATGCGACAATCTAATTAATTAATTGACAATGTTCGTTGTATAAAAAATGAAAATATAAATATGAAGTTTAATCCAGAATGGATACAAACGGCAATGGCAAGAAAGGTCTACCTCGGCTTAGGGACATCATTAGACGTCAACAACAAGATTCTGATGTAAGAAACAAAACATATTTACATTTTCGGCACATTCCGGCTTACAAGCGATTCGAATTGCACCGAAAAGTGTTATTTTCAGGGAGGCGGCGCGGACTTCCCCGATTTGGAATTCACCTACGACGACACCGATAACCATGTTAACGAGATCGCTGAGCTCTACAGCTACACCGAACAGCCGGAGCTCCAGCTCAACGTCAAAGCCTTCGAGGACCAAATGGAAATCTACGACTTCCCTCCTAGCTGGCAGAAATTACCAAGTGAAAATCGGAAATCGGTAGTCATGAAGCTCCTGGACCAACTGGAAGTCAGCAGCAAGCCTTTGAGGATGAGAAGCGCCAGGTGTTTGTTGTACATAGCCCAAGGTTGTTGGGCCGAGATGCAGTCGGACGCCGAGCAGCAACAGTGGGCTAGGAACAATTCCATTTTGCTTTATCAATTGGGAGTTTTCGGTGCGTTTACGGATTTATTGAACATCGAGTTCGAGTAAGTAGTAGCTTGTTTGTTTTATTCGAGAGGTAAATGTATTTGTGTTTTTAGAAATAGCACTGCAGCGCATGTGGCTATGAGAAAAATCGCTATATCATTAGCTGATTCTCAAGACCTCAGGGTTATATTATCCGTATTATACACAATAACTGAAGTTATGAGACACGAGAAGAGCTTGGGTTCCACGGAATTCGAGGGTGATGTCGATGCTTTTTGTAACGAAATAGGTACTTCAAAACCCACTTTATTTGAACTCCGAATTTCATCGCAATTAACAATTCCAGCTTATTCTGCGAGCGACGACCTCCTCATCATTAAACTGTTGAGCATGGTGACGAGATTCTGCAGTGGCTCGGCCCCCCATTTTCCTATGAAGAAGGTGCTATTACTACTTTGGAAGCTCATCCTAGTTTCTTTAGGAGGAATGAATACTTTAAGGGACTTAAAATTAGATAAACGAAGGGAGTTCGGACTTCCCTACTACAATGAAGACACGATGGAAATAGCGAAAACCATGAGGTCTTCTTCGCCGCCCGCGAGCGCTTCGGATCTACTCGAAGCTCAGAATCAAAAGAGGAACACCAGGCCGTTCCGAAGGGTAACGAAACCGATCGAACCGTTGGAATCGCTTAAATCTAATCGATGCCATTTTAGAGTCTAATGAAACAGAGTAGTTTAGACGATCACGATACTTTAGGAATGGAGCTAGATTCTAGTATGGGAGGCGAAAACGGCGAAGACATGAACGAGCTGTCGGAATTCGACGAGAGAAGGCCGGCCAACGAGACGAACGATCAGATGTACACTTACAACCACGAGACCTACAGGCCCATTTCGCCCCCTTCGCCCAACGCTTTAGTGCTCCCCAAAGGCTTGCCTTGGAAACCGAAAGTTCGCCAGAAAGACATCGACCTGTTTCTAGATACTGCCAGATTAAAATTCTTAGGTTACAGCCTTCCGGGCGACAGGACAACATTGTTCGGTCTACCTGAGCCTATTCACGAAGGAGTTAAAACGTTGAACGATGTAAGTTGTTTGTTGTGTAATCGAATGTTGTGTAATTAATCGAAAAACGTTCCTAGCATATTTATACGTCTTTGGCGGAGTTGCAAGTGCAGAAAGAGGAGGAAATAGCGCGGAATCCCATTTCAACGAGCGAAGGCGAAATAGAAATGACTGCTACTGAGATTTTGTACCAAGCGATGCTGCCGAATCTTCCCCAGTACATGATAGCCTTGCTGAAAATCCTGCTAGCAGCCGCGCCTACTTCGAAAACCAAAACAGACTCCATCAACATCATGGCCGATGTACTCCCTGAAGAAATGCCGTAAGCTTTACACTTAATAGGGTGGAGATACGAGTTATTAATAATTAAACTTTTTAGGATGACAGTATTGCAGTCGATGAAGCTCGGTATAGACGTTAACAGGCACAAGGAAATCATCGTGAAAGCCGTTTCGGCTATCCTGTTGTTGCTGTTGAAGCATTTCAAGTTGAATCACGTGTACCAGTTCGAATTCATGTCTCAGCATTTGGTGTTCGCCAATTGTATTCCGCTGGTTCTGAAGTTCTTCAATCAGAACATAATGGCTTATGTAGGAGAGAAGAACGCGTAAGTTATGGAATTCGTCGATTGGTTTTTATTAATAATTTTTTTTATTTAGAATACCGATTTTGGATTTCCCTTCGTGCGTGATCGGCGATCAGCCGGAGCTGACCTCGGAGAGCTTGGAAATCGGCGATTCGGCCGCTTTCTCCTGGCGGAACATGTTCTCCTGCATAAACCTGCTTAGAATATTAAATAAATTAACTAAATGGAAACATTCTAGAATAATGGTAACAGCTACCGTTAAAATATCAATGCGTTTTTGCTAAGTGTATTTCATTTCAGATGCTTGTGGTATTCAAATCGGCGCCGATATTGAAGCGAACGTTGAAAGTTCGACACGCCATGACGCAGCTATACGTCCTTAAATTGTTGAAAATGCAAACCAAGTATTTGGGAAGGCAATGGAGAAAGTCCAATATGAAGACAATAAGTGCTATCTATCAAAAAGTTAGGCACCGCCTTAACGACGACTGGGCATATGGAAATGGTACTTAAAAAAATATTCAATATACGAACGGTTTTTATTCGATTTTTGTTTAGATTTGGATGCTAGACCGTGGGATTTCCAAGCGGAAGAATGCGCTCTTAGAGCATCAGTCGATAGATTCAATAATCGTAGATATACGCAAATAAATGTGAGTGTTACATTTGCGATTTTTATCTATTTTACTAATAGTTTGTTTATTTCAGGATAGCGATTTTGAGCCTGTAGATAATTGTCTGAACAGCGTGTTAGGAACAAACCATGACTTATCCGAGAGCTTTAAGAAACACTACGAATTGTGGTTAGAACAGGAGGTATTTGGTGTTCCTATCGAATGGGATAACTTATTAGAGGGTGATAAATATAAATAGTCCGCTTTATTTTTTGGTTTAATGTTAATGAATTGTGTGCAATGAAATGCTTCGATGTGTACAACATTCAAAAGTAATAATAATAATAATATATTAAGTGTAGATAATTTTTGTTTAGGAAGTGTTTTATTGCATATGGTAGTGATTAAATTTGAATTTGTACTGATATTGTATTTGTAGTTGGTTTATTTGTGTACACTAAATTTACTACGTTTCATACTTCAATTCATTTTATTTTTTTAGTAATATAGAATCTTGTTAAATTGAACTAAACTAAAGAATTCTGCCTTGTAGGGTATGTACAATGTTTTATTTCGTGTTATACTTGTAGCGTAGTAATTGTAAGTACCTATATGTTTGTAATAGCGCAGAATTCTCTACTAAACTACAATAATAAGAGCAACAACTGTATGATTAAATATATTTTTCAATACGTTTATTTCTATTGGATAGCATGTCACAACACATTTATTTAATAATAAAACAATAATAGCATATTTGGGCTTCGGCAACCGATATTCCTAGTCTTAACGGTCTAATAATCGCATCCTTTAGATTCAACATATTTTTCATAAAGATACTCTGACTTATCCGGGGACTTCTATCAGTCGATTCTTGAACCAGATCTGCAATTGCAAGTTTTCTTTCGATCAATAAAAATTAACGAAATGAGGAAACGTTTTGTTTTATTACGCTCAACTTGTACCTTCGATGAAACAAGCAATGCTTTTCTCCCAATAAGCGCCACATCGACAGAAACGCTCGATCATAAATGAAGACAATAAGACCTTATGATTTTCATATTTATTATATTTGACAAGTGTTCTCGATTAATTGTTTTCTATGTGTAGTGCTAGTTGAATAAAGGTTTCAAGGTAGGGAACAATAGGAACAAGACATTTTGGTTTGGTTGAGGGGACGAGAGGCGCCGCTGCGCCGTGGTCGAAGAGGTATATCACATCGTTAAATATTTTAAATACTCGGCGGGACGTGACTTGAAAAATGCGGGATAAGGGGTTAATAGAAACTATACAATATCCCTAAATTCGTTTGGTTTCCTTCAGGATTACTCGGTATATATATTTTTTTATATTACATTCTTATCCTAATTTTGATGATCTTAACTGTCGATCTGCATTGAAAATCAGTCGCATTGACTTAAATTTAATTGTGAAAAATACTTGTCACAGGGTTTATTAAGTTGAGAATATCATCAAAATTACGATATAGTGGGCATGTATCATCTAGATTAAATATGGACACATCGAATACATCAATTTGTAGTACTTTACGTGCTTATACGGGGTAGTTTAATCCTAAATTAATATTACCCTGTATGAAAATAAAGTACCTTATTTTAAACTAAATAGTTTGTACATATGTGTTTGTCCATTAACAGCTTGGCCCACACTTAACAAATATTACAAAAAAAAACCTATACAATTTGTATTATGCTTATTCACCAAGACATATTACGAATATACCTATTTCTAATTGTGCGTTACACCACTGGTGTTTTGATTTTCTCATTCAATTGTTGGAAGATTCCTTTTTTTTATCACATAAAATATTGCTAACACATATATAAAAACTGATTATTAACTTAATATTAAACATTAAATTATCTAATGATATTCTTTAGTATATACACTCAGTGGCGTATTTCTTAGGGGGGTTTACAAAAATTGATCAAAATGTGTCATTTTTAAACAAAATTATGCAAATATTGAAGTGTTAATGGTTTTTCGCATTGTGAAAATGACAAATTTTGTACTTTATATACCCAAAAAAATTATAATACTGCGTCGGTAGATTGAAACAATAATCCCCCTAATGTAATGATTGTCGTGATACGCCAATGGTTACATTTCTCTGTAACCAATCCGATATCGACAAATTAAACATTAAATAAATCTGTTCCGCATATCACCCTATAAATATTGCCAATAAATTAGAAGAATGTTTACATTTAACTTATTGGAATGTAAATGATTTTAATAAAAAATACATATGACACTTTAATAATGCCCAGGGATGTGTAGGTATAAAAAAACTAAAAGTGCATTGCGTAACAGAGTTAATTGAAAATATTTTTTAATGACTAATTAGATACAACTTTTTATTAAACGAGTGTAAAACATCCCTTAGAATTATTGCACAGAAATTTACAATTATTTTTTCTTATGTTACAAAATTGTTTTTTCTACCATTTTCTTTATTAATTCAAGTAAAATTTCGCCTTTTTTATAAGAGTTGTAAAACTTTCTTTATAATTCACAAGTATAAATCATCATAAACAATGGTTCTTGACAATATATTAGAATTTGTCTAAAATTCATAACGATTATTACTCATGCTTTGTAAAAATAAAAGTTTTATAGCTCTTAAAAACTCCCCTTAGTTCTTAATCTGAATTAATGTGGGTACAAACATTAATTTAACGAGATTATTTTCTGTATAAACAGTTTTTAGGTTTCAACTACAAATTAAACAGGTACATATTGAATTGTCAGATAACATATGTGCATTTTTCAATGAAAATATTAAAGCCTAGGATTTATTAATTTATGTTGCAAACATCAGGGAATTATTTATTCGCCAAGTCCATTTTTATATACGCGAAATAAATACTTATGCGTAATTATTTTAAAATATAAAAATTACAAAAATATGGAATTTTATTAAATATTAGGTAAGTTAAAACTAAAAATATCATCGTAGGCCTTCACAAACTACTTGAATAGAGTAGGTATATAGAAAATGGACTCTGTTGATTGATTTCATATTTACAGTGCAAAATTTACAAACAAATTATATGTAGAATACAATTTCGTTACACCAACAGAACATCATTATACCGAGCAATCATTGGTTAAATTTTATACTATAAATTAGTTTCTATTACACCCATACCTATAGTCGGGTAAAAAAGATTTGGACCCTAAAGTTTATCAAAACTAACTAAATTTTCCAGTGGAACAGTTACTCTAACAAAATATCATTTATAAAAATACGAATAAAGATGTTTGAGCTTATAAATTCGCAATTCTTACCTAACATTTAGACTTCTCGTACGATTACCACAATCGAAAGTCTACAAACCGCGTTATTCAATGTTTACCTACTCTAATAAGTACGAAACCGATTGCGAATACTATGCAGTGTTCAGTTTGCAAGAAACTACAGTACACCTCAAAATCCAGCATCTTGTACGGTGCGATAGCATTGAAAACTAATCTAATAGCAGCGAAATAAATGTTTTAAGAGGTACAAATAAGAATCTCCCAACATTTTCCGTCGAATACCCAGTTTAAAATCGTAGACCTTCAACTGCTACTATACAGGACCTCTTGCACCACAAGTATAATATACAGTAGATACATCAGGTTATTTTCAGAACATCATTAGATTATTTAGACATCTAAACTAATTCATTTACTTTAAACTATTATTAAATTCGGAATTTTATGTATATTGTCCTACGATAACCCTCATTTTAGTGTTACATTTATTATTTTTAGATTAGGTGCAAAAGAACCTTCACAGAGTATTTTTAGTTCACTCGAACTCTAAGGTGAGCGATAGAGAACCATACACGGCTACGCTCGTATGTGATTTACAAGAGCATAAAATATGTATTCGAAGCGATATGATTCTGTATCACTTGTTGAAATCATTCCACTAACTACTCTTATCTCCTAGGAACGTTGTTCGTAAGAATTTTGCAAAAAAAATGTCGGAAAAATTAAGTTCCTTCTGACTAGTTTTTGTTGCCTTTGACTGATTACATAGTTAACTGACATTTAGACTAAGGATTTTCAGACCGGTTCAAATTGATCACGAGAAATTCCTCTGCGGAAGAAGACGATTTCCGATACATTGAAGAGGAAGACTAATAAAATGAAAAGATTAAAAATAACACCGAAATTTTGAATGTTTAAATGAAAAATTTAATGCCGGTTTGAGATATCCTTTTGTACACTTTTTACTGACTTCCATTCAACATATACTTACTAGAACATATATTACATCACATCTATTATATTACCTATAAGTCTTTTACGTTTCAAAGCATCTTCAGTTAGTTATGTACAAAAAATTCATAAATAAATTCTTTAACGTATTAACAATAATAAATATATAATAATTCGAAATCAAACGAGGTTATAATTTATAAATAATCGTGTAAGTTAATTGACATTTTTTATTAATTTCAAAAATTATTACACTGATTAATTTATGAATTTTTCGGCTAGTGTGGACAGTGTAACTCATTCAGATGTCGTAATTCATTCACAACCAAATATTTGTGAATAAATAATTCCCTTATACTAAATATTGTGTTTGAAGAACTTAATTTTATCGTGATTTACAAGATTACATATTATTTACAATAATCGACATTTCTTATACAAAATTAAATAAATATTATCATCAGTTTCAACTGATATTTTAGAAGGATTTTAGTGGTGATGCCAGTATTTAATAATGGTACTTTCAAAGCCTTTTTTTGTAAACAAAGATATAAAGTGAAAAGAATGATTTAGTTTAGGTTCGAGGAGAATACAAATTTTTACCTCCCCAGTTACTCTCTTCCCGAAAATAAGTAACTTGAGAGAGATAGGGCTTAACAAATTAATCAATGAATGGAATAAGTAAAGAAATATATAATATTAGGAAGAAAGTTTTTAATTTGAGCGTTGTATGCATTTTTAAAAAAATAAAGAAATTTTGTTGCTGAAAATAAAATACTCTATGGAGAGAAGGCTTTTGAAACGATAAACATTAGTGAGGAAAGAACACTTTGAGCATTATATATTTAAAAGCACCACTGATTCTGAGTGATATTAATATTAACAAATGAGTAATAATTCGTAGGTATCATTTGCCTAATCTTAATACATGTTGGCTCAAAGTAGTATTCGATAATTCTTTTGTCGAATTATGGAAAGCTTCTCGTGTAGTTTCTACATGTCTAAACTAAAATCTAAGTGCTACCACATGACACAGCCAAAAAGGGATTGTGCAAATGATCCATTTGCATACAGGATATATCAGCATCACAACTACCATTCACCATGAATCGAAATTTGTCATGAGATATCCTCTATAATGTATATATAAAAATTTAGTTAGTCAAGTCAAACCAGCACCTCAGTTGATGTTGATTACCATCCAACTTTTTTACCCAGCCAGCAGTAAGAGATGATTCATATGTTATATTGTATTTTTTTTGTTATTCGTCGTTTGCACAACACTAAATTTCATTTTGTTTCAAAGAAGTGAGCGATTATGAGGTCCAGTCCAGAATGATTGGTGTGGTGAAGTACAGAGTGACCATGTGCCGGCGGAACAGACCTGCGAACACATCTCACAGCGTCCTCAAATTCATGCAATATTTTTATGGGGTTTGTGCGGCGCTGTGGCTACTATGAAAACGGTCACATGTCACTGTGCACTGTGCGAGGAATGCTCCGAAGGATCGGCTAAGAGGCGCCGGCCGGTGGCTATCTTGTTTTTAGACGCCTTGTTTTGTAGTCGACCGTCGCCCGCCGAGGTTATTGTCGACTGTCGAGTCTCTTGTTAGGCCGCCTTGAGTCTAATGGGGACGGCTTTAACCGTCTTGGTCCCTACCAACACAATTCACGTTATACCACACATTGCTACGAAATCTTTCATCCCTAACACTCTCTTTGGCGGTTCCGCAACGACCTACTAATCTATCCTAAACAATGCGCTCAACTCACCCAGAAGAGACCGTCGTGACCATGGCCGTTGTCACACCAGATTGGGGACCCGAAGCACCACTCTGTTGTTGAGACAACGTACGGTATAACGGTGAGTTGATGAAACGTGGATAGCTATCCCTGTGCATGAGAGTGTATATTTGAATCTGTGCCTCTTCGAACATGTGCGGAGTGGGTTCCACCATGTTGCGGTTCACGATTTCGCGTACTCGAGCGTCCAACGATACCTGAATATTTAAAAGGTTGGTGTTTGTTTTTTTTTCTTTCGATTACGAATGGAAACAAACCTCCTTTGGAGAAAGTATGGAAATGTAATCTTCGTATATAATTCTTGCTCTTTCTTCGATGGTTTCCGGATTTGTTTCGCGTTTGAGTTCTTCGCAAGCCAACCAAAACAGTATGTTTTCTTCGGAGTATTCTCCTCTTAGGAAATCTCTAAAGTAATTCCGACCGGCTGGAAACGAAGCGAGTCAATACCACGATTACATAACGATTATTTAATAACGTACCAGCACTTCTCATTAGTTTATCGAAAGATCTGCCCCAGCTGCGTATTTCTTCCAGAGATGGACTGAAAAAAAAAAAAACATCGTTGAATAATCGGTAATAAAGCAGAGGGATTTGCGGACTTACGGTGGTTCCATTTCGCAATTGGCCGCGGTGTCGGAATTGTTCGAATTTCTCGCTGGTCCGTTGTCTTCATTCGATTTATTGCCCGGTGTAGAACTGAAATTCCAAAGAAATAAAATATTTATCGATTTCGGCGAGAGCTCCATATACTAACCGAGCGTACATGGTCGAAAGCAAAGCTAAGGACTGAGGCAATTTTCCTCCACGAAAAGGAATAATTTACACACAATTCAATATTTACTAAACTATAATTTATCGGGAAGTTTTTCGTGTATAGAAATTTTATTTTAGACTTCAAGCAGCACTGTGCAATTACTGTAAATAATTTATGAATTTGTGCAAAGGCGATCGATAATTTCAATTTACTAAAATTTCAACGGAAACCTAAACATTTACTTATTAAATAGGTTGATGTGGATACAATAACAACACAATCAGATGGAGCGACCGAAAATTTCGAGAGGACGTGTATCGAAAAGTTAAGGAAAATTTATTTTACTCTTTCGATGTGTTAATGCAAGATCCTCGAGCGGCATTTTCGACGTTCCGAAGGATTTCCTTTTCCCCTTTTTAATTGAATTTTTGATGGGAAATTATTTTCACAATCAACTCGAAGCTTTTATGTGTTAAGATTTTTTAAGGACGAAAAGTCACGACCGTATCTTTCAACCAATCTAGCGAATCAACAACCGTAAAAATCGCTTTGTTCATCGCGAACCAGCCGGGTTAAAAATAGCTACTATTGGAATCCCATATCCCTAATGGAATTATTATTTGCATAAAAAACATCCAGCCGCCTCGTGAATGGAACACGACGAAACGGGAATAAATTAACTTTAAACCGGAGCACCGGAACAGCATAGATAATTTGATATTGTTTTCCTGGGGCATAAACATCAATACGAATGTTGACACTGGATATATTTTATGAATGAACCCGATATTTACGCTAGCCTAACAATCTCATTCACACCTACAACATATTCGCATTTTATATGACGCACAACCACGAATTTAATATTCCTCTCTTCATCCTCTCTAATAAAATTATAAAAAACGCGCCGCGAATTTGAATTCATTGTGCTTACCATGGGCATTTGCAACAGCAGCACCACAACAAACAGCACGGCTTCGGTCTGAGGGATGAACCTTGACTGCTCGACTGAGGGCCATTCTGCGATGTTGGTAGACTGCCTCTGGAATTCGGCGAAGTCGCCGTGCCTCTTAGCCTACATCCTGACCCTCCCACGGTGTTCGTCCCCACAGGACCTACGGTGCCTTGGGGACCCACAACTGCCGCTCTATTGTCCGGAACCCTCTCGGTAACGCTACAAGACATCTGCAATAAATTAGATAGGAACCAATCTATGATAGCACCATGTAGAGAAACACTAATCTCCTACACTAATCGTTCATTATTTCTTGGGCTAATTTTGAATTCATATATAAAGGTATAAACACCCTGTGTGTGTGTGTGAAAAATTGAGTATATTTTCATGAGATTAAACGTCGGTGGCATCCTTATTTTGCGAAAAAGCGGTTAGGCGGACATGTTTACCTGCTGATAATTAATTTTGATCGCTTTATTGGACACGGTGAATCGCCCTCGGAATGCAAACAAAAGTCCGTCCGTAATTTAAAGCGTTTAGTTAGCGTTCCACGCAAATCCAATAAAAATTTTCAATAATTAATCCTGCAAGGTGCGCACGCCAGAGCACATAATTAGCTAATAATGGAATTATTTTTTGACAGTGTTAGGTAAATACTTCGTCGCGGCTAATGAGCGTCGTTCACAAAAAAAAAATATTCTTAATTACGTGGGTAAATACAAACAATCGCGCCCTGTATTTCTTTAGGGACGCGTTTCCACGCAAAAATAGTGAAACGAATTTCGAAATTGGCCTTTGTGCTTGCCAACACATGTCATTTTCATAAATTGTGGCCTTCGGTTTAATGCGTTTTCTTGGAAATCGAAAATTACTTTCGTTTCAAATTGGTAAAGTTACTTATTAGTAAACACCGGGGGTATATTTCTGATCATATATATTTAATAAATTATTTGTCGAGTAAAAGTGGGTACGTGAACGAGAGGACTTGTTAATGACGGCAGTAATTAATTCCAAAACACTCGCAAACTAGAATTTCAGTATACTGGCATAAAATTTAATAGTCTGTCTAAAGCTTAATTATTAAAATGCTGTTTTAATTATAAAACTGTGTTTTCTAAAGTCACAACCAGCCGGAAAAAATTCGTGCCGTTTTAATAAAATCAATTTAAAATATTCATTACGGCTCCGCCAAATTTTAAAACACGTTCATCCGCCAAAATTTCAACTAAATTTGTTATTTAATAATTTTCCGGCGGTGTTTGTATTTTACGCTATCGGGGTGAAAACCCTGGAAAATTGCTTGACTCATTCCAAGCAGCACGCCAACATCAAATTACCGATACATCTAAATTATTTTCGTCGATAACACTACTTTAAAATGTAAAATAATGGAATGACGTTAAACGGCTAGCAAATTCATTCTTAATCAAACTTCACCCCGGTTTGCGACCGTTATCAGAAATTCAACTTTCCCTTTATTCTCGACGTTTCCTATCATATTTTATTTCACACAAAAGCACGCTCTCTTTGTACCCATTAAATTTTACAAAGTGGTGGTTAATTCAATTCGAGCGCCTCGAAAAATACACCGTTTAATTACATTTAATGATCGAGCTATGAATGAAGCAGTACGATGAAGCGATGAAATGAATTTTGAAAAATCACCGATGAAAAAACTGGGAGCACAGAGAACTTACCTTGCAGTTTTGGCTACTATTCGACAAATGCTGCAAGGGATGAATTTTGTAACGGATATTTATAGCCTGCGCACGTGGCTGTAATTAATGAACTATTGTTTTTGGGCGAGATTGAGAGAACGCCTGTCAGAGCCTTTCGGCGCGGCGCTGTAAATTCTCTTCGCGGCGCCCACGGCGCCTGCCCGGGAAATTTATCCCTATCTCAAAAAAACACGCTCTTTGCGTTAACTGGAAATTTTAATATTAACGATTAAAATTTAAATATTTAGAGGTGCGAATGCTTTACGTGCTGCAGTGGTGTCCTTTTCGCTTAGAAAAAAGATCGTTCTTTTGAAATTGAAATTAGCTCTTCAGAGATTTAAGTTCAAGGCCGAGCCTTTGTTGAGTCTGCAGTATTTTCGAGATGCCTATTGAACGGGGAAAAATACAATAGAGTGTTTGCGAATAATGCGGTGGAAAAGGTCTCCGGTTTCGTCGCGCACTGAAGAACTAGGTTATTTTCTAATTTATTAAATCGAATTCACACTGAACTAATTACCTAGCGAAACTTTAATTAAACTTCAATACGATCTAGCACACTTTGTCATTGTTGTTATGTCACGACATGTAATGCCTAGTTCTAACTTTAACACGTTGAATTGGAATGACTATTGGAACGTTTCTATTCAATGGAGTGTTTGTTGGTGGTTGTTATATCTTCACTTAATATACAAGGGAAAAGAGTAGGGGATTACATACATATATACCCAATTATGTACTTCTTTTTTTTTTGAAAATTTGGATAAATATCCTTCGATTCGTAGGAAGTTACAATTTTCTTTTCATTAAAGATGTTTGTTGCGGCACAATTTGGCCGGATGAATGCTGCAATTTCCTTAATCACACATTTATCTAAGACAGGCTTTTTCTATATTTAGACATTTCTATAGAGGTAATTTCCAAAGTTGTGTATAAGGGATGATTGATTCTAATAGCGGTGAGGATAAATTGTAATAGCATACAAATTATCCCTATTTTGATAAACAAATTGATGGTTCCACAATTTGAATCCAATTCAGGCTATGTTTCATTTAATAAACGCCAATATAATTATGAATCGATTAAAAATTTTTAGAGCACGTTTACAGTTTCGCCTTGAACTACTTGCGATATTTACAATTCACTATTATTCATGGGCTAAAGTGTGGAACCAAGTAAATCACTCCAGAATTTGATATAAAATTCAAAATACTTAAATATTACAATATCAAGCTCGTGCATTCCATTTGGATAGCTCTAAAATATTCAGATATATCTTTCGAATCAATTTAATGATCCCGAAACGTTCGATTCTGTTCCGATATTAAAATGAATGCAATAATCAATCATATTTCTTTACCGTAGACTAACGTCGAAGTTGACATTGTAGTAGTTATATTGGTTTTATTACTGCTCTGTGAGCAGACACCAAATATCAATATACTAAATAAATAGACAATTTAGATACTCCTGCAAAGCAAATAAAAGCTTTATAAAAATATTATCTCTTCGAAACGAATCCAGCAATTGCCGGTCAAATTGTACGGCAATGTTTTTACAAATTCCACGAGCAAGAGGCACTCGTAATAAATTGGATTTTAAATTAATATCTACCCACTCTCGTTGATCCAATAAAATTTTAATTTGTTTCCAAATTGCCGAAAAATATAATTACGTGTAATTAAAATATTGAAATTGGGTTAATTGCCGCAGAAAGATGATTATCGCGATGAGACGCAGCGAAATTAAATGTTAATAAACAATTAATCCGATGAAAATGACATCGTCGTTTAAAACAAAAATCGCATCCCAACGAACGGTAAACAAAAATGCGCAGATCCGATCTAATTGATAAACGCTATCGGTTGTTATGAATCATTCGGAGCCGAGAGCGTATCTACCTATTTCTGTTGTATTTTTGCGTGGGGTGGTTCATGAATGGGAATCCTGCTTAGGGGCGATCGGGGCTTCGTAGTAAAGAGGAAAATGGCGTCGGATGTTCGACGTGTGGGCGTCGAGGGATTGTAAATATATTTTAAGAAAGCACTTGTTGCGGCTCGCAACTGTGGCAGCTCGACCGGGAAGCCGAGGTTTCAGGAGGCTCGTTCCGCGTATTGATCGATATATGGAACGAGCAACGGGAACGTGCAAGAGAAGAGAAGGGCCGTGGGGTGTGCTGTGGCGCGGGTGACGACTACATAAAGGAAACAACAAACGTCGCGTCGCGTCGTACCTTTTATCAATGGCTGTGGACGAAGCCGTCGGCACGTGTGCCCGCTGCACTCTCCGCGAACCGGACCATGGCAGAAGGTGGTCGAAATCGACCGGCCTGGCGCTGCCCCTGCACCACGACTCTCAACGCTCCAGGTGCATTGTTAAACAGCAATGTTTACGTCGAACGATGTGACCTGTCTGTCAGCGTCAGCGAGCCCGAAACGGGGGGGTAGTCGACTCACTCGCACATCAACACAACTCCTCGCCGCTGCCGGACCGCGTCGAATCGGCTCGCCTGGACGCCCATCGGCCGACGATCATCTTTCGGTGTACGGCACCGGTTCCGGGAACCCGTGAATCTCTTCCGCTTTTGCCACGACTTGCCACTTACCACAGCCCGTTAGACCGAAATGCTGATGGGCTCGGCTCAGCCGTACCGTGTTCGCACTGCAAACAGTCAACCAGATGCGCCTTACGTCTTGCGCGCTCCCGCCGTTCCAGGGACGCGTAGCGCATGCAGCGTCACGGCGCCGACGCCGGTCGCCGACGACGCCCGACGCGCTCCACCTGATACTCTCGTCTTCGAAAAATTGCCCGTCCATTCATGAGCCCCGTTGCCAACTCGACGTCGACCGACATCAATCAGCTTCTATCGTTCTTTGGCTATACCGCTAGTAAAGCGCTACTCGAGCTTTTATTCATCGAAATACTAATTATATTACAATAAATAAATCGATGTTACTTATTATTACGAAATATGTAAATTATTTACTATATATTTTTTTAATATAACATAAACTTTACTTACTATATTTCAAAGGAAAACGATCCTAAAAATCGTTGAATAAATCGTACTGTTTTTTAATATTATTAATGAAGTGCTATTTGTTTGTATTTTTATTTAGAGAAATGATTTGACAACGTTGAGTATCTGTGCTCTTCGTTTATCCACCGTCATCGGCGATCTCACGCCAATTCACAAATCCTCACCACCATTGGCGGGGGTGCAAACTCAAAAAAAGGATTTTTTTCTTATCCTATCCAACAACAAGCACTTGCAAAATTTACAATTTTTGTTCAAGTTTAATTGATATGAAAAACATTAGCGATATCAAATAATTCCCTGGTTGGAGGGAATCCCTTCGGTGCATGTCCTGTAGCAATAATTTGTCATTGTTGGGGAATAATTGCGAATTTGAGGTGGAAGGAAACTCGAATGAATCACTGTCCAGTGGAGGCTCCGATTTCAGATTAAAAACACTCCGGGCGATTAGTTGGAAATTTAATACGCCACTGTGTAATCGTACAAGCTGATTGCCTTGGCCCACATTTCACTCTGAAACTGGAAACATGTTAGGGTCAGATGGTGAAAATTTATTTTATTTTTCCGGAAATATAGAAAATAAAATAAATACGTATCCAGCAAAAATACCATTGGCGTGGCGCTTACGTGAAAATTACGGCTACAAAGAGATATAATTTGCTGTTGCACAATATTACGAATTTTATTCGCAATTGCTAAACGAATATCGCATAGTTCACTAAGCAATTGCAGTTAACGATCTTCACTCGAAAGCGAGCCCTATTCTCCTTCGAAGTTCGAATATTAAATCAAACGAGCCGGTTTTCTTTTTTTATCAAATGCACCGGAATCATTCGTGCAGCTTGCAGCATGCAGCAAACGGTTGATGTAGGTGTATGTTTACCAGATTCTTTTATGTTCCGTGTTTCTCTCTTTGTTTTACGCCCGCCGTACGGTCCGTACCTACCCCTTGCATTAGCTCCCCTTCCCAGTCATTATAATTTCGTTGCCAGGCAACCCTACGACCCAGAAACTTCCCCTTGATTTTGCCCGCGTGTTAGACTTAATTTTTCCTTTTCTTCGGGTTTTCTTTACTTTGCTTTTAATTTTCCGCCAATCGTGCCTTCGGAGCGTTTGTGTCGTACTACGCTTGTTCTCACCCGAACATGTAATGTACTTGACGGGATGTTCGATTTACGCTCGGATTCCTCATTATTTTTGCCTTCAAATATTTTCTTTGTTATCGCCGATGATGTTTTTCTAATAATATACCAGCGTTTATTACAGTAATAACGGACACACAGGAGAAAGCAAAATAAAAAGCACATTCCCGTTTTATCGGTTGATTGGATAAATTCAATTTGGATTAGACCGTCGTCGGGTTTATTTACGTGGGATTTTTAAACGAAATTTTCGATTCGACATCCGCGAATTTCGGCCCAACGAACGGCACTCGTGCCGTCAGGAGCAAATGACGGAATAATTAGCTCCGTCGAGAGATCGAACGGCGATAAATCAAACCCAGACGGCGGGATACAATTCGAAATGTATGACAAAAGAGTAATTTCTTATCATAAAAAGGGGAAGAGGTGTGTGGCAACGTCGCGGGGCGAGGGCCGTGTAGCATGTTAGGTGGGTGGCTGGCGAGGGTAGTTGGGACGGGCGCGATAGTGGGGTGGTTTCGGTAGGGGGAGGAGGGAAGGAAGCCCTAGGCGGGCAGTGGGTGCCGCAGTATTGGGTGGGTCAGACTTCGTAGGAGTAAGCGTTTCATGCGTTTGCTCCTCAATCTATGAATTTTTCGGTGTGTTTGTGATCGATTGTGTTTAATAACAAACATTCGGTGTTTTCAGTCGATTCGGACGAGAGATGCTGTCATGTCTTTACGCAGATTGTGTACATTTAACAACGTGGTGAGTACGTTTATTGTCGCCTTTCGTTGTCGTTTGGTTTCTTTTTAACGTCGCTACGGCCGATAAAAAGGGCACAGGGTGGTGTTTTGACAATTATTCTGTTGCGTACTTCACGATTGGTTCAATTTTTTGACTTGACCGTCCGATCAATCCTACGCAATTTAGTGACGTTTAAGACAGATGTCGTTGAAGCCGATATTGATAGAAATAAATTTGTACGATCAAAAATATCTACATAGTTACTAAAATAGTAATTATGAATACACAAATAGCATACTATAATCCACGATAAATATGATTTGGTTGATATTCTCAAAACCTGGGCACATCCAAATTGTATTATTATGCTTATCAAAATCAAATTTACCTTCTTTAACACAATTTTTAATATATTTACAATGCTTTTTATAACTCAACGTATTTGCGCGTTCAATACAATGCATCTACCATAAATTATTAATGAATTTTTTTTCTAAATTGTAAAATAATTGAATTTCAAACAACATTCATAAAATATAAACCCTCATAAACATACATACAATAGTAGAATTAATTATTGAAATTAATGTGGTCAAACATAAAAGAGAAATTTCAAAACGCGCGTTTATTATTAAATTTTCCTTGATTAATTATTAAAGCCGATTCGATACAACAAAATTAAATTCACCAAATTCGTTACCCAAAGGAATCGTTTCGTAATTAACGCATTCATTATTAACCTTCGATAAAATTGTATAAATAACAGGGCGGTATTTTGCAGGATCTGAGGCCTCCGGAGTGAGGTAAATATCCGATAAAATGGAAGTGGCGATGCCTATGTCGGGCAGCGCCATCGACTGCTATGAGGACATGTTCAAAGAGATCACCCGAAAGTTGTACGGCGAGGACGGTCTACCGGACCTCAGCTCCGCCGATCGCGGCCCATCGAACCAAGAACGAGGCTTAACACCGATCGATTACGACGTCGATAATCCGATATTGAAACCCGACGATCATTTGACGGCCTTCGGCTTGGCGGCGCTGATGCAAAACGGTTTTCCGCCGAGCGGCATACTGAATCCCAATTTTCCGGTGCACAAGCCGTCGAACGCGGCGAATTTGGTGTTCGAAGATAAGTGGATCAACAGCGAAGAATGCCTGCAGTGGACGCAGTCCAAGATCGCCTCGTACAATCCGTCGCAGAAATTGTTCCGGTGCACTGAATGCGATTGCGTCGGTTATCTCTTGAGAGTCGCCGAACATTGGTTGGGCACACATTCCAGCGTGAGGGCCTTCCGTTGTCCTCAGTGTCCATACGAAAGTGCCTGGGCCAGGTGTGTGAGAATACACTTGAATAGACAACACAACATCAACACGGACGAATCCTGCGATACATTCACCAAAGATAATCCGGTGTTACAGGAGATCATAAAGTACATGCAAAAGTTGAAGAACAAGTTGGAGAATAATTGCAACAAAACATCGAGCGCAGTACAAAATGAGGACTTTCAAAACCAGTCTATCAGCAACAACGCTTCCTCGAACATTTCCGGAGTTTCCCAGATAATGGGGAACTCCAGTAGCGCTACCAGCACGGAACAAACCGCCACCACGAAACGCTACAGTTGTACTTTCTGCCCTTACGCCACAGACAGAAGAGATTTATTTACGAGGCACGAAAACATCCACAGAGAGGAAAAACCGTTCCAATGCTACGTTTGCCAGAAGCAATTCAACCGAGCCGATCACGTGAAGAAGCATTTCCTGCGGATGCACCGCGATCACCCGTACGATTTAAACCGAATCCGAAGGCACCCGCCGAAGAACGCATCGGGGATGTCCTACTACCAAAAATACAACTCCAACAACAACATCACCAACCAATCGAACGATCTCTCCGCGATAGGCTCTCTCTCCATACCGGGTTTCAACAACATGAATCGCACGACGCAGATGAACCAGCGCGTGCAACAACAGCCGCAACAACAGCAACCGCCGGACCTGAAATCGAGCGCGAAGCCGGGCAACCTGTCGCGGAACAGCGCCAAGAAGAAAGGAGAGAAGCGGTTCACTTGCTGCTATTGCTCGTGGTCGGGAGTCGACAATTGGTGCCTTAAGAGACATATGAACACGCATTTGAAGCCGTTCGTGTGCGGTCTGTGCGATTACAAAGCGGCGAGATCGGAGAGACTGGCCACCCACGTTCTGAAAGTGCACAATAAGAGAGCCTGCAGCAAGTGCAGCTATTTGGCCGACGACCTGGCGCAATTGACTGTGCACCAACAGGAGCAGCAGTAAGTTTGTTTATTATTTTATTAGTATCGATTGTGGTTTATGTGATTTTTTTTATAATTTTCAGTCCTTTAGAACAAAGAAATAGAACGAGTAATAACAATATTTTACGAACTAATACGTTTAATAATGGTAGTGCTTCCACGTCAACGTCTAATTCGATTACCAACGCGAATCCGGTACCTTGCAGGTAATGTACATTTGTTTAACTTTTACTTTTGAATATGTTTGTTACATTTTGCTGTAAAGTCCGTTTCAGGTTATCCAATTTCTTGTACAGGCCAATAGTTCGTTGCAATCAATCCGCCGTTGCGAAACCGCTAATTGTCCCAAAGTACATTGGGATGGGGCCGCCAATACGTGAGGCAATTTCCAGTTCCGCACCGACGGATTAGTTCGCGACATTACCTGTACAGAAAATTGGATAACCTGGAACGGCCTTTTTTTAATTTCTAGCAGCCAAACGCAGCTGCTGAAGAGCCACGACTTGAGCACGGCGGCCGCTTTGATCCAGCAAACGAACCGGTTCCTCCAGACCGATCCGAAGGCCTGGAAGCACCCGATGCCCAAGCAGCACGGTGCCGCCCGGCTGTTCAGCTACCTCGAGGCGAGCGACGGCTCCGATCCGGAGACGGAGCCGCGCTCGGCGGCCGAGGACATGAGCAGGTTGAACCTGAGCCACAGGATCCAGTCGGATTTTCCTGAGGCGGGAGATGTTGGCAATCAGGCTGACGACGAACCCGGCGAGGAAGTCGAGCTTCCCCTGTTCGTCTGTCACACGTGCGGTTGCGAGTTTGAAGACGACCTATCGCTAGAAACCCACCAGTTGACGCACAACGCAGCATCTCCCGCTAAATTCAAGGATTCGAAAGAAGGCGATTTTGAATTCAAATATACATGCAAAGTGTGCGGTGCGGGCTACGATGTCCAGAACCACATCATCGCTCATATGACTATTCACAATGTGCTCGGATTGAAGTTCTCCAGTCCGTCGCCACCGCCGCCTAGAACCAAACCGAGGAAGCAGCACCAGCCGAAGAAGGTCTATTTGCCTTGCTGGGATCCGGAGGAGGTCGAGGTATTGGGACACCTCACGGGCAAGCTCAGACGATGGAAGGGAGCGCTGTCGTCGACCAACACGGGCATTAACCGGTTGATAGACAAATACATGGCTCGCTTGGTCACTCGATTGGGTCTGTCGTGCAATCTATGCAGAAACTTGAACGTCAGCAGGTACCATACCAAAGGCACGCTGGCCTTGCACCGCTACTGGAGACACAGCAGGAAAAAATTCAAATGCGAACATTGTGATATGGTCTTCTTGCATCGATACCAAACCGTGCTGCACAGCAGCCGCGTGCATACGAACCGCTTTCAAAAATCTCAATTCGTGCCTACGGTGCTTCCTCCCAAAGAACCAACGCCATTAGCACTTAGTGCTGAACCCGTGTGTTCTTCACAGGACACCACCATTTATTTTAACAATCCTCATACTGTATATGTACCTGACGCAACTATGTCAAATGCACATAAGCTGGGAATGTCATTCTTCGATCATTCCTTTATGCATCCGAACAATTCCATTAATAACCATATGCCAATTATTATACCGACGTTTCCACCAAATTAAATCGACGTAGAGATATATTAGTGGTATCTACAACAGCGCGCTGTTTAGTGTATAAGACAAATTAGGCTGAAGGGTGATGGGGAAATTAGCAAATTGCTCTCTAATTCCCGATTTATGTGTAATTGTCAGGAGAATGTGCGACACCTAAATAATAAACATTTTGTTTTGATGAAAGCCTTTGAATATTGTAAGACAGTGAGTATAGGCAACCCATTTCGCAATTTTGTATTTATTTTCAGAATGTAGGGGCAGTTTTTGACGAAAATTGGGTATGGGAAATTCTCGCTGACTCAAAAAATAATTAAGAAAGTGACCTTGAACATTTTCTTTGAATTAGTTTTTGCTTTACCAATTTGAAACGAGTTTTTGTTCGATTGTACAGATGCATTGTAAAATGTTGAATGAAAGTTGATAATTTTTATATCTATATTCGTCCTTAGCATTTTATAAAATCGAAAAGTGTGCAATATTCGTTCATTTGATTATATTTTGTAATATTGTATGTAGATATGTATATTAGAAATATGCAACATATATTTATCATTTTTATAAAATGAGTGAATGAAAACTGGTTGTTGTGTTGGGATCAATTTTGTCGCAAGCTCATCACAAAATTTTAATCTTAAAATCCCAATATGTTGCGCATTATTATTAGTGACCATATGCAAGATTACATTAAAATATTGAATATTATATTGCTTTTTCATGACCACAAAAGTTGCATTCTTTAGACAGATTTATTGCAGCAGTGTCATCCCCGAAATAATATTGCATTATTAGGGTCGGCCCCAGTAATATATTGTGCAACATATTATAATACAATTGTATTGAAGATAATGTGGTAGCTTTATATTTGTTTTAAAAACGTTACTGTTATTGTTTTAGTGAAAAAATGCCTACCAAAATTAGTTACATTATGTTGTATATTTCTATTTATGTATAATGGAAACCTATGTACTGTGAAGACTGCAATATTTTCCTATTTAAATATATGTATGTTTTTTTTTGTTATTTTTTTATCATTAAAATGATATTTTGTTTAATATTACCATGTCTTGTAACGTGTTTTGTATTATTATTGAAAAATAAATATGAAATTACAAAATACTCACCGCGTTTATTTCTTATTATAACAACTCGTGAATTAAACCACAATTAAGTTAACAAAATTTTTATTAACAAAACATAAATATCTTATTGTACACTAAATATTTAAAATTTATTTTTTTGTGTTCCCCAAATATTGACTCGGTTAAAAAAGGATTTCTAGTGAAAGGCATTAGCAATGAGCATTTAAAACAATTCACGCATCTAAACTATGTTATATCACCTGACAATGTAAAGTATTGCGCACAGTGGGTAAATCATTTAGGTTGGCTTATATTATTGCATTCAAGATCACACGAAGCACTTGGCTTTTTCTCAGATGGTGCTTCAAAGTATAATTGAGGGAATTTTCTATACTTAAATTTATCGACTTTAGAATGTATACCTATACAATGATACTTCGATATCATTCGCCTACTTAAATTAAGTCACTTGATGTACTTAATCTTAATCTACGCTTTAACTGGTTCACTAACGAATAAAAGCTTTATCTTAATTGTTAATTATCTAATGAAGCTTTAGGAAACTTTCCTTGCAGTCCAAAAATAGAGTGATGTTTTAAAAAATTAGACTTTAAATGAACCTTAAACAGGCCTAGTTCAAGAGGCGAAATGCACGAAGACCTATTGGAGTTTTCGGAATTTTGGCAGTACTTGCCCTAAAAATAAATAAATTCAATAAAAATTGGAAATAGCCAAAGAAATAATTAATGGCAATAAACTTAATGATCAGGTACTTTAGATTACGTCTCTAATTAAGTAACATTTCTGTCGTATATATATTTTTTTAATTTAGTTCTTTATATGTTTGAACTAAATAATCTAAAAAATACTTTACTTTATTCGTTTATAATATATTTTTTATAGTTTCTGTATGATATATAGAACTAAAATTCCGTGTATATGTGGAGCTACTACAGACTTACGGAATTAAAATAGTAGGTTGATATCAACACGGAATTACGAGTCACCCTGTATAATATACAAATAGAATTTAGATATTGTAACGAGTTCCAAATTTAAATGAACCAAACGGTCACCCCCGGAAGCGCTCTATTATTTTATATGTTCTCTATGATAAAAATATTTTGTGCTAATCTTTGGCACACTCACATCGATCTAATTTTCTACAAGGGGACACTTCTAGCGGTACATCTACTACTTTTACAATTTCATATAACGTCGGTGTCGCTTAAAATATGTCAGGATCGGTGTATTGTCTCTTCCAGTAGTCGCCGTTGTATAACCAGTCCTCTTGCTTCGTGTAGGGGTTCGTGTCTTGGTAAAACCACCTAAAATAAACGTAATTACGAACGTTATAAAGGCGCTAATCGGTGATTACTTTCCTCGGAGTCCACTCGGATGTTTTCTTGCTCTTGCGGTTCTTGTTGGTGTCTCTTTGCTTCTCTTCCAATCTGGTTTTCTCGAGCGCTGCTCCGTCGATGTCGCCTTGCTCGAGTTTTCTTATATCAGGCCGTAATCGGGAATCCGTCGGGCACATGTGCCCCTCCATTTCCGGCTCAATCTCGTTTAGAGACATCGCGAATTGAGTAAACTGGTAATACTGTTGAAAGAGGTTAATAAATTTGCGAAATTTGTGGTTGAAATGGTGCTTACATCGCTCGTTTGGGCCGGTCTGGGGTTAACTTGCCAGATGGTGATGGATTTAGGGATGTCTATGTTGTATGCGGATTCGCTTTTCGGGACCGAATTCTCGCCTACGTCTAAACTCGCATCGTCGACGCTCTGAAAATTTGTCGTTTATTATTCGAGCGGAGAAATTCGAATGCTCACCTCTGAGGTGGACATGGAATTCGACTTGTTGAACGAGCCGACTTTGAGGCTGTTGAATTTCTGCAGCATTTTCCTGGAAGTGTGACAGGGCGAATCGTTGGGGCTTTTGCTCTTCGAGTTGCTGGAGAACTTCGACGAGTTTTCGCTGAGGTACTCTTCGTACGAGTTGATGTCCGCGCATTTGATGAACTCCGTCCATTTGCCGTAGATGAATTTCAGTTTTTGCTTGCTACGGAAAGTCGTTTAGTGAGTTAGATAGTTACTGGATGTTGGTGTGTATTTACGATTTGTCGTAGAGGAACCCTTCGACTCTGTGGAGATCTTTGCTGTTGCTGTTACCTCCGGCTTGTTTGAACGTAAGCTGGGCTTTCAGCCCCGAGGCGAAGCTGGTTATTTCCATATTACCGACCTGCTCCATCCACAACTTCCCCACGATTATATTATGAACACAACATTGCACGTTCGTCCACGAGTAAGCCTCGTTCAGCCTGCAAAGGTCCAGAGTAAATTTCTCGCCGGCGCAATTTACGAACGATTTACTTCGGAAATTCGACGGTGACGGTGCCTTTGGGTTGGATCTCCACGCTCTTGCCCCAAAACTTCAGCTTGGGGTGTATGGAACCGTGGAAAATCCAGTCGCCGCTCTCGGCGTGGAAGGCCGAGACTGGCGGATGGTGGCTGACCTGCTCGCATATGATCTTGAATTCCTTGCGTTCGAGCTCGTAAGTCTCGCCCAGCAGAGGATTGAACGGCTTCCCCAGCCTCTCCCAATTCGAGGCCAAAGCGCTAACAGCGAATCCTAAACCGAACTCGTACATAAACGCTTGTTACATCAGCATTGTTTGTGTTTAACGTACCTATAACGTACTGCATTCTTATGACTGGGTCTTCCTGTTGCGATGCTAATCGGAGCAAATGGGCGTATTCCATGTACTCTGCCATGCGTTGGAGGAAACTCAAAGGCTCGTTGAATACGACAGGCATGGTGATTTTGCTCAATTCTTTACCTATGCAGTTTTTCAATACCGACCAAATGTTGTACTCGCTGTGATACATAGGAACTGGCAGCACATGTCTGCAATATTCCAATTTTTAGTTAAATAAAACCTCTTCTTCTAGCTACATTTAAAAGGGGTTAATAGCATGTGAGCTCGATACGTTAATCGAATTAAACTGAAAACTACGCGCTTGCAAATAGTGCTGTATAATTAGCTTGAGGTCGAGGACAGGCAGGACACTAAACATTACACACAAATCCTGTTTAAAAACTACGTACTAGAAAGCAACACTGTGTAAATTGGACAACACTAACTACTTTAATATCGATTGTAAGAGAACATGTAATATATTAAATAGAAATTAACTACGCACCTATATTCCTTTTCGATTTCCATCTTGCTTCGCTGTGAAACCCCCCGCGGATTCCGGAAGAATTAACAAACATTGGCCTTCCTCTTCGCGAAATGTTTAACTCATATTCACTCGTGTAAAAAACGCACTGGAAAAAAAACAATTCCGTTACTATAGAATTATCGATTGGAATTGCATCTGTGGCGAAGCGATGGCTTACCTTTTCGCTTCCTGGAGCAGGGCAATCGATCGTTGGAGCGCCTTTGTTACATCAGGATTTTGCCGCTCTGGAAAAGTAAATGTTTTCAATTCGGAACGCTGGGAATATGGATGGTAAAACAGCCGCCGGAACGGAGGAGATTCCCACAAGGCCTTCTCCGCGACTCATGCGCGCTGCTGGTCCGGAATTATTTAATGCAACGTATCTGTATTATAACAGGTTCGTAACGTTCTACGGGCACAAATTTCATTTCGTTACAATCTTAATGATGTTGACATTGTTCAATCGATATTTTGTTATAACAAATAGAGATTGATATGTATAGTCAAAACATACGTTGCATTCTTATTGAATAATTCAATGTGTGGAGTTATCAGAATCACGTTCGATGTTGGAATTAATTCTTCTACGTGTATCGGGTTAAAGGGAATTGATTTTTAATTAGGGTTTGGGTAAATTGAATAAATTACAACAAAACCCCTACAATTCCTGTTTAACCAAATTTAATCAACGTACATTGAGCTAAAGTTCACAGGTTAATTTTGCAATAAAGTCTCATTCGATTTTTATCTTCGCCAATTAGATTTGGCCGTGTTTAATTCTCGGTAGAACGTAATTGAATGACGACGAATTGTTATAATTTACGTTTTTCGTTTTGATTCAATCGCATTATCCCATTTAACAGCGACGAACGTTTATTTAACCCAGTCGTTCCCAATTTTCAACTGGAAAATACTCTTTTTAATTCCAATCGCCTTAATTGGACGCGTCTTCTTCGCAATTCAAAGTTCCTGCGATGAGTTAACCTTGGCTATTGATATTTATTGGTTTTAAACGGTTTTGCGAAAACTATCCGGGTTATTACCAGAGTAGCATTTCTATTTTCGTTCCAAAGCGAAGTTTTAACTAATATTTACACATGCACTGTTTTTATGTGTTATCATCTTTTATAATGTACTATATAGTAACTTATTTACCCTTGTTATATTCAGGGATTTATTGTAAGTTGCGATTAAAACATGATAAATAAGATAAGGAAATGACACATTACTATTTTTATTGGTTATTTGTTCTCATTTAAAAATGAACTATGTATAAATAGATCGTTACACTTTGTTTTGGTTTTTGGGTCCAAGAATTGTAAAATTTGGTACATTTTCAGTCGATCTGAATATTCAACTTGGATTGTTGTTGGTCGCAATTAATTAGCGGATGTGGCGACAACGTTAAAAATTCCCCGAAGAAAATCGCCGAGGGTTTAATTGAATAACGCCGCACGTTAGCGAAAACATGTTAATTGGAAAAAGGTAAATCCGCTGAATTAAACGAGGAGTTGTTTACACAACGTGCCCTTGATAGAGTCGCTCGATTAATCGAATATGCAGATCCGAATGGAAAGACGCCGAGGAGCTTTCAATAAAATACACAAAACGGAAAACAACATTTTCCGACGTAAAAATAAGTCCCGGCGACAGTGAGATTTACTGGTAAAACAAAATTAATTTTAGAACGTAGAAATTCAATTTCACTGTGACACGATTATAGTATTTTAAAAATAGTACATTTATTCAACGAATTAATTACAACGAAATTGCATCCAGAAGTTGAAATTTACGTTATTTTTTTATCTCAAATTTATCGACTCCTTTTTCCCGAAATTACGTATCTCGTTAAGGCTCATAATTTAAATTCACTGAAGAATCGCTGTTATTATTAAATCAGTCGGTGAGTGTGATAAGCTGGTCAGTATTTAAATGTGCTCGAACTAAGAAACTTCCCACATCTCCTCAGTTATAAATTACATGTGAATAAACGCTCAGCGTCGATTTCGAATATGACCGCGGACCAAAAACAGTCGCCGGATTTTTGCGAGCCGTTCATCGTCCGGAAAAAGAACCCCATCAGGTTCTTCTCGACTTATGGGGTCGCGTTTTTGTACGTAATCATATTCGCCCTGTTCGTGTTCAATTACTTGACCCTAATCAGGATTACGGTTTTGGAAAGTGACGTTAAAAGTTTGAAAGAGAAGCTCTCCAACGTTAGATTGTTCGATGATGATCTAATTAACAACATCATCAGAGCCGAAGATGAACAGGTAAGTCGCATTCACTCGATAATTTTCAGTTTGAATTTTGGCCAGCTCGGTTCTGTACCTATCGTAAACTGACATATAGCCTTTATCAGTATTATGTGCAGTCGGGAAGAATCGTTCGAAATATTGATAAGTTGTCAGTGTTCCGTACGATTCAAAATATAAATAGCGTTGTTGATATTATTTTTATCAATGTTGCATGAAATTTCGGAATTATTCGATTCGAAATTCCCTCTTATCGCTCGATTTATCCGTTTCGTAAATAAAGGGGTATTTGTTTGGGACGTCCGTTAAGTAATATTTTAATGATCGAGTTCAAGCGAATCCTTTGTCTAAACGTTTCGATTATATTTCAATTATTTAATGGATTCTTTCTACTGCACTCATTAAATTAAAGTATTAATGAAATATTTGTATATTTTTTTTAAGAACGATGATGATGATACGGAGGACGATTCAAAAGTTATTATACCTGATGATAATATAAACGAATATACAGATTATGATTATTATGATACAAAAAATAACGAAAATTTCACATACAACGAATACGATTTGTTCAAAAATCGCGAAAACTCCACTAAAACTGAAGAGGAATTATATAAGAGGAAGAAACGCAGCATTGCATCTACAATAAGAAAGGATGATGATATCGTTATTTCTAAGTACAACTTAAGAGGAAGAAATTCTACTGGAAGGTACCTACGATTTATTATTTTTTTATTTTAACGTAATATCCCTTTGTTACTTCAAGATCTTCAGGAACCAAAAAATACCATGGCGAACCAAACGATTCCAGTTACAACACGAAGCAAGCCAGTTACAAATCGTTGGATTCCTACCAGGATTCGTATGTAAGTAATAAATTCCGTGTAAAATTATTCGGAGTATGCTTCTAATGAACCCAGTGACTAACTCCCGTTTCGAATCGATTTATTGATATACATTCATTCAAACAGACACTCCCACGGGACGAAATACCGATCTCGCTATGACGCGAATACCCAAATATTTTGCATAATGAGTAACGATCGTTTTCACTTAACCCGCATCCCGAGGAAGCGAATCTCCAAAAACGGGAATATGTCGTATTCTCCCTACCTTTATTTTCGATTTCCTAATTCGCATATAAAATTTGCAGCATAAATGATTCTCACCGCTATCGCGAAACTTGATCTGTTTGCAGTGTAGTTTGCAAAAAAGTCTTTAATCAGCTTCAGTACTATATTGCAGATACTGCATTAAAATAATAAATATCCGAATCGTAATTTATACTTTTTTTTATTTAAATTGCTCGAATGGCCGAGCATCACGTTTCAACGATCCATAAACGAGTCGAGACGCGAAATTCGCATATTATTCGCCTGAAATGATTAAATGTGTTTTAGGAGGAGACGACTACTTATTCCCCGCCGATTACGATAGTCAGAAACACGGGATATCGAAGAAGAACCATCAAGCATTTACCCTCTGTCCATTACAGCGGCGACACGTCCAAATATGTCTACGGAGTCCACGACAATTTCTACGGTAATAAAATTCCCCAAAAAAAAACGCTCGTCCTATTTAAGCCGACGTTCCATTTTCTTTATTAGGAAACAGTCAATTAAGACACGTAAACGAAATGTTCGTCGATTGGACGGCGAAGGATTGGGTAGACACTTTAAGAATGCACTCTCATTTCACCATGGACAACGGTTTCGTGACGGTGAAGCAAAGCGGCCTGTACCTGGTCTACGCTCAGGTATAAAACAACCAAACAATTCCCGACTGTATTTGCTCAGTAGCGCGTTTCGCAGATATACTATTTGGACACCCACGACAGGGTGGGCTTCAGGGTGCTGAGGAACGACAAGACCATCCTCGAATGCGCCATCACTGCGCCCAGCATCGGCGGCAGCATGAAGAGCAACACTTGCTACACGGCCGGAGTGGAGCACTTCCGCGCCGGCGATAAATTGTGGCTCAAAGACATCGAGCAAAGGCTGTCATTGTTCGCCAACGGGAAATCGTTCTTCGGAATGGTGAAACTAGGAAACATAAGCGTCTAGACCCGCTAAATGTTTCGATTAATTTATTGATAATTGTTGTTTACGGAACTGATAAGTATTTTATAAATTTAGATTGTAACCCGCGTATAAGCATAAGCGCGGATTGTTGCGCCATAGGTTATTAGGTACAAGTTTTTTTTTTATAAAATTAAGTCGTTTATGCCAAAGACAATCGCCATACCTATTTAAAGTACTTTTATATAATGCAAGAAATATATTTTAAAAATACATCCACATCGAGTTTTGTTTTGCGGAAGGTAATTCAAGGTGACATCGACGTCGTTAAGGGCTAAACTTGGAGAAGTCTGGAAATAACCGGACTGAAGTTTTGACCGATTCCAGGAATAATCCCCGTCGTGTTTGTTACTGAGGTGATAGAAATAAATACATCAAAAAAGATGTTGATGTAATTGGAACTCGAGCGATTCCCTATGACAATCGCTGTCCACCCACACGCTCTAAAGAGTAATTAAGGTTTTTTTTACATAGATGTTATCGACCAGATTCACGGCGCCTGCGCGTTTTTATAAACAAACCTTTATTCCGATTCCAGGCAATATTCCCTCGGTTGAAATCACCAACATCATTCGGTGTTGCTAATAGTTCCTAAGTTAAACATATTTATGTTTATCTAGGGGTAAGTTTCGCACTCCTAATCTAATTAATCATATTATAATAACTAAATCTGCACGCACATACATTCGCTATTAATGCTTTATTCAATCCAATCAAAAATAATCGCTCGAATTATTTCTATCGATATATTGCGAATTAATTGCACTTTGGATAATATTATCGAATATTTTGCTCGATTTAAATTCAACAGGTTAGGATTCCTCGTTTATTGATTTTGTCATTGCGCTAAACACAACTCCTCCTCGTTCTCAAGCAAGACAAGTTAACCATTGCACAATATTCCACAGCACTATGCGTCTCTGTGCATGGTTATTGCTGATTATAGCAGTACTAAGAGACTCCAAAGGTCAAGATGATTCTCTGCGTAGTGCTGTCGAAGCACTTGGTCAACGCCAAAGGGAACTAGACTACGAGGACAACGCTGAGTATGGATACACTCTGGAGCGCCCCGAAGACCTGGTGTTCCTCAAACCATCCGGCTACGGGAGAGGTAAGTACCACAATCCGCAAATCCATTCGCGGTGCGAGCGGGTTCGTAAATTTCAGACAGGAACTACTACGAGCGCGCTCTCGGTTTGAACTACTTGGACGACGACGTGGAGGTGAGCAAGAGGATATCTTCGGCTTTCCGCGAACGCGTCGAAGAAGACAACCAGCGGCAGCAGCTGGAGGAGATGGCCGAGAATTTGATCAACAACATGGACAACAGAGGTAGCTACAACGTCGAAAGCGAAGACTACGACGACATCGTCAAAGAATTGTGGGACAAGTACAAAAGACCTAACAAAGTCTACGCGACGACGGTGAACAAACGATGGATGCTTCCCAGATTCGGTCTGGACGGTGCCGGATTGAAAAAACGAAATTCGTACGGTGCACCGAGCGGTGAGTATTACGACGACACTTACGCTTCCAACGACGACGTTTACGACGACGACGACGAAGAATACCAATATTTGAAGAAGAGATACGGCCAGAATAAATCCAACAAGGCCAGACGGTACTATTCGAAAGCCTACTCCGGAGCTAAACGTTTCCCGGTAACCAAACGCAGCAGCGACAACGCGGAAATTCACGAACGCAAGCGTTCTACAACCAAAAAACAAACCGACCCCAAAGTCGAGAAAGAACTCAGCAACATCTTCGGAGGCGGCAAATCCGAAGAAACCACCATCACACCGGTTACTAAACCGCCTAACGCAACAAAACCGACCATCAAAATCGATAACATGATGCTGAAAGCTCCGACCAACAAAAAACCGAGCTCGGTCAACAAAGAGGTAGCCGCGATCAGCGCGAACCCTCCGGAGAAACCGCTCCAGATCAAGAAGAAATCAATCGATTGGTCCGATTACTTCGGCTTGGACAGGCGCAAGAAATCCTCCGAGCCCGACGACCTCGACAAGGAATGGCTGATCGAGAGATACCACAAATCGATGAACAAGAAGCGGAGCGGCGACCAGCAAGGGTCGCCGTTCCGCGGGCGCGACGACCCGCGGAAGAAATCGGCCGGCGGGGCGGAGAAGCCGCTCACCGACGAGCAGAAGATCAACGACATGGACTCCAAGCTGCGCGTGATGGAGGACAAGATCGTCGACGACGCGCTGAAGTTCACCGGGTCGCACGAGGGCGAGACGGACCCCAAGGAGGTGCAGGAGATCAAGGACAAAGTCATCTCGCGGCTCGCCGCCGCCTACAGCTTGGAGAAGATGAGGACCGCTTTGGGGGAGTACAGGCTGGCTGTTGCCAAAGAGAGGGAGCGGCTGAAGAACAGGCGACCGGCGACTCCTGCGGGCGATGAGGATTATTTGTTTTTGGAGGAGAAGCGGGCTTCTTTGCCGAGGAAACATGTGGTGGATAAAGACAGGGAGGAGAATCCGGAGAGCGACAACAACATCAAATGTTCTGATGAAGATGATGATTGTCACGAGCAGAATTATAAAACTCCGAACGAGATCATCGAAAATCACTATGGAACGGGTACGTTTTTTGGATATCAACGCTATAACATCATTAAAATATTATTTTTTTTTTTAGAAGTATGCCCGGCTATTGTGAGAGTTTGCAGCGACGGTGCTGTGGTAGCTAGAGAATACGGGCAGATATTCCGCACGGCTTGTCACGTGCACGAAATGTGTTTGTTGTGTGTAAGTACTAAGGATTTTAACACTAATTAAAAATTAATGTTAATTGTTGGGGATTATTATAGAGCAACAACAGCTGGTTTTCTCCGACGCGCCAGTGTCACTCCCTTTTCGCGGCGAAAGCTTTCGATTTGTGCAAGGGCGATCCTGAGTGTCAGAAGGTGGCCCAGCGTTCCCTTCGCTATTTAATCAATGTAACCAGGTCCTTGCGCGCCGAGGACCCGTCTGCTATTAACGACTGCGAGAGGTCCTGTCCAGAAACAGACGTAATGCTAGAACCTGCATCTAGATAAATTACTTGTCCAGAAATAATCGATGTGTTTTGTATCCATGTGATTTTGCATCAGACTTCAAAGTACGTTTAAGTAGTCAAATTGCATACTAAATCATTTTAGCTACAGTGTATCTCTAAAAGGTAAAACTATAATATAAATATTTAAGGAGGGCCAAAAGTGCAAGCGGTAAGAAATATTTTTAGAGATGTACGTTAGTGTTAAGTGCTGGTATTTTCGGGGTACACTGTGTTGTAGATTAGATGTTTGGGTTTTTATCGACTTAGGTTTTTCAATTTTTATATGCTGAAACTTTTGACAATAAAATTATAACCACTATTTTGAAGGGGTTAACTTGCAAAGTGTCCCCTTCAATTAACTTGTGTATTGCAAAATGTTAATCAGTTGAATTTTAACAATTTTCTTGTGGGAAAAGCTACGGTTGTTAACGAGTTAGAAATTGGATGAGGTAACACATTTAGTATGTGACAGTTGACAATAATTGCAAAAATGAATGCTAGAGGTAAAAATTGCAAAAGGGTGTAAATTCGTGGTGTAAAATTATCTTTCGACAGGCAACTTTACATAACAACTTTAAAGTACATATCATACTTACACCGATGTCTCTATAAAACACACTATACACCTGGGAAGGTGATTTTAATCGTGGAATTACATCGAATACGATTTACGCTAATTTAAGGAAGTGAGATGTGGTAATTTGCACTAGTTATCTTACTTCGAAAAGTCTCCTGCTTTTTGGTTTGATTTAAAATTACATGGAAACTGATATTTTCCTGAAAATGGCTGACAAATATTTGTCCTCCGGTTTGTAATATCGAGATACTCTTATTCGATCCTTGTTGTATCTGTCAGATGTTAAAAAATCGTTCAAGCTATTATCATTGTAATCTTGTATGTACCTATAGTTAAATGTAGCTTCAAAAGAAGTATTTGAAATTGTTACTTGGAGAAAAAATATGTATAATTTTACTTAAACAAAGTTATATTTAGTTACGTTATTTTTCATAAATTGATTCCTTAAAGGTTTCAGATTTATTTTTATAACATATTTAAATTATTAAAATGGTATTTTAAATTAGCCTACAAAAATAGGAATTTAATAGGCATTTATTGGATTTATTATCCTACAGTGCTGTTCCAAAGCGTCTATTTTTTAGTATTTTCCATACTGAAATTATGTTTCTCTAAATATTTTGTAATGTTAAACTTTTATTAAATGTAACAAATGCATAAGGCTTTGATTCCTCTGTATATTATTAACCCTAACTGAACCCACTTAAATACTTCTGTTCGTAATTGTTTAAAAAATATTTGTAAGGATCTTCAAATTGAGATAGAATGGAAGTTATCTGTTTTGACTCGCACTTAATCAGATAATACTATATTTACTTTATTAGTAAAATTGGAAAAAGATTAAATATAGAAACAATGTCGAACATCGACTAATTCCTTCAGATTAGATAAATGTATCAGTCAGATAAAAAACGAAGCACAGTTGTTCTTACCTGTAAGGGCACATCCTGAATTAACCAGTAACAAAAAATAATGAATAATGATAAATTGTTCAACAATATGGAAAGTAAGTACCTATATTATATATTGAAAATAAATATAGCGATTATAGTTCAAATTTTGCGACAGCAGTCACTCAGGATCATTTCTTTCAGATATTGAATTGCACGAATTACCCATGCAAAGAAACAATACAGGTAAATTGGCATCTTCTGTCGCAAAGTTACGAATGAGCTGTTTCGCGAATTAAATTGAATGTAAATTAATTTTAGATGGCGTAGAAGAAACCGCCGTAACCAATCAACCGAGGAGCGGTACGTTAGCAGAAGCTGGTATATCAGAAATTTGAATTTCTGTTATTTCAGATTATCCCGGTTCCCGACGTCCCATTCCCGTTTCGCTCGTCGAGCAGGATTACAGGAGAACCATCGCCCCCGCTTCGGGTTTAGAGTTCCTCCGGGATGTAAATCAGCTGATAATACAACAAAGCATCGAGCTAAATGATTGTAAGATAATTGTTTGTATCTAGACGTGATGCTTTTATGTTTATTAACAAGTGGTTCTGTATGATTTTTTTTCTTTGTTATACGCTTAGTAATTTCGAATATATCGTCTGAAAACCGTTACATCGTGAAGGTTCCCCGAAGAGATGCGATATATTACGCTACAGAGACATCGGGTGATTTCCAAAGGAATTGTTTCGGGTCCGGTCGAGCTTTTGTAATGAGATTGTTCGACAGGACCCAGCAGGAAGCGTTGATTTTGGAAAGGCGATTGGCCTGCGGCAATTGCACCTTTTGGTGTTACCTACAGGTAAGCTGCGCAATTTTTGTTGCTGTGAATGATTTTAATAGTTTGATAGAGAATGGAAGTGTGGATTCCGCCTGGGGATTACGTAGGGGTCGTCAGGCAACAGTTCTCGATGGCGATGAAGGCGGTTTTCTACGTTTACAACGACTGCGAGTTGTTGTACAGAATCGAAGGGCCGAGTTCGTTCGGTTGCATTTTGGGCAAGGCCCAAAACTTTCAGATATATAACTACGATGGTTCGACTCAAATAGGAAGCATCATCTATCAATGGGACCAAGTCCAAGTGTGCTATAACATGTTGCTGCAAATGCCTAGCAACATTGCTAACAACAAGCACAAAGCTCTTTTGTTGGGATCTGCTTTTCTTCTGGTGAGTTGAACAGGTTGTATTTTAGAAGGGTTTTTTTAAGTTTATTTTGTTTGCAGGAATATATGTTTTTCGAGAGCAGCAAGAAGAGGAGCCGCTGCTGCAGGTGCATATGCTGATTTTGATTAGGGATATTTAGTATATTATATTTTTGTGAAATAAATAAGCGAACCGGTTTGATATTTTTGTTTTAATTGCTTTTAGGACCACAGCTACAAATAAACTTTTAAAAACTATCAATTGAGGTTAAAATAATTTAATATAAACAACAAAAATATACACACATGTATATATAAAATATAACTATTTGGATTTTTACTTACAAAAAAAAAACAACAAACCCATATCGAGTAAAAACATAAAAGCCTTTTTTTCCTATAATAAGACCAAGAGTTATAACGATTTTTTTATTTACATTTACATATCCAAATGTACAATTTATTACAGATAGACCAAAAAACTACCCTTTAACATTAGTACTTTCTATTACACAATTCATTTAAAATTCAGCAGCTACTTTTTTGGCCTCGTCTGTGTCATTTTGAATCTGATTATTTTACTTATACAGAGTGTAAAGATGATTAAAGCTTTCATTTTGCGGAACTCGAATAATTATATTTACCTTTACGTAACTTAGAATGATATCAAATTTCTAATATTGTTATAATTGAGAGGTACAATACAAAAAAATTTATACTATATAGTCAAAATTGTATATTGAAACGGCGTTTTTAAAATATAAAAACAAAATGCCGCTAGTGTGTCTTAAGAGCCACCAAATTTTGATATTCAATTATTATTGCTTCAGGTGATAATCAAACGCTGTTATTGCTTTTAAATTCCGACTGAATTTTCTTACGTGAGCAGATGAAATATAAAATATTGTTATTTTTATTTAAACATTGGTGTCTCTTAGCCACTAATGCGTCGTTGTTATAAATTAAAAACCCCTTTTTCTGTTGATTTGCACATTTAGAGCATCCATATTCATTTGATTGTAGTTGTCGTGCAAGTGGCTTTTGTCATACGAATTAGATGGACAAAAAATGAAAACCCACTTAATGTACATGTATAATAAATTGGACAGATTGATTTAAATTGGACAGAAAAAGGTCTAGTATATTATTTTGTTGACTGGGATTACTGACGAGGTTATGAGAATGATAAACGGGGCTGATATCTTTACCATAAAGCTAATTATTTAAAAAATTATTAAGTAACTACATGTAAGTATCCTTCGTTATTTTTGAGGTTCACATGCTCAAGAGGTGTAATTAAAATAAAATGATTAACCAAAAATATAAACGAACACTTATAAAAAAAAACCTCCATGTTTTTATATGTACAAGCGAAATTAAAATTAATACTTAATTGATGAATAATCAAAGGTCGAATCTACGTATTAAAAATATTTGCCTAAATAAATTCGTTGATTTATAGCTTCACATAAATTAAATTACCCTTAATAATTAGGTGGTACCAACTAGAACTATTTGCAATGTAAAAACTGTTTGCTCACATTCGCTTTGCATCGCTGGAAATATTTTTTTTGACAAGACATTTCGACGGAACGCTTTTTATTCTAAAGCTCGACTCTTCCTAGATGGTTATCATTCTTATCCCTTCAGTCACAGTCAGTGGACGACTAAACCTTACATTGCTGAACAATAAAAAGACAAAGACTAGATTATTTGCATTCTAAAAATTAAGTCATTTTTTTATGGAATGTTGGAATTTTTCGGGCAACCGAATCGCGACGCAGTTAATTTTTGTTCGTACACAACTATTTTGGAATGCTGGCAATGAACTGAAAGGCGAGGAGGAAATTTCAATCACTAAAAATGCGAATTTAATACTTAAATCAGTCGTAATGCTCGTTTTTAACTAATTGGTAACCATTAGTAATCACATTAAAATCAACTGCGCCGATTCTTCGATTGCTAGAAAATGCGAAAACGATCAAAATATTTGCATCTACTTCTTTTAATCTTAACGCTACATTTTTTCTAAAGACACTGAAGTTAAATACTTTTTTTTTCATAAGCTACATGTTGTCTATTACAATTACATATTTCTATTAATTCTGTTCAAATTACAGCACGCAAAAATAATTTATTAACAACATTAGAACGAAGGTGCTCTGTATACACTAATTATATCACAGAAAGAAATGCTTAAATTAAAAAAAAGAACATAGTATTGTACAGAGGAAACTAGACAACATTTTAGTGCGCGTGACCTTAATCATAATGCTCTGATTTCGTTATTTGAAGTACTATAATGTGCAGAAGTAAGCCAATCGACAATTAGTGATTTTACCAACATAATATATGTGAAAATATATGAATTTAATGATTTGATTTGTGATAACAACGCAGCAATAGCATTGCTGAACGTTTGAATTTAGAAATGGTTTTACCACGAACAATCTAGACACAAATTAACTATTATAAAAAATACTTTTTTGTTTATACGTATGTCTATTCCGTTTCTGTGGCAGCATTTCTCTTTTTTTAGCACTATTATTTTGCGCAGTTTCCCTTTTATGTTACAAGGCAAAGAAAATGCTAAGGTTCATATAAGACAATGATTCAATCTGAATAAACTGGGTTTCAGATTATGGACCACATACAGGAGGTAGATATTTGGCTGAACTTAGACACACCGATGTGCAACAGAGCTTAAAAAATAGTCTTAATCGAAAAGCTACAGCGAGAAGATCGGGTATAAAATTATATCTTTTTTTTGGTTATTCAAAAAATATAGCAGTCTCGCTGTAGCCTTCTAATTTACGTAATAATTAGCTCATATAAATTTCAAATTCACTACGAAACGATTAAAATACAAAGCTAAGTGTTCGCTCTTTGAAAGTGCAACCAAATACGCGTACTAGTCATCTATTTCTGAACGTCGAGAATTTCAAAGTGAAATGCAATCTGCCCGAAAACATTTACAATATTTGTGTATATTTTTAGGTTTATGCATTCACCCAATTCTCTCTTTCTTTTTTTTTAAACATTCATGTAGGTGGATATTAATAGATAACCCTGTACAGTGAGACACTACAAAAGGTAAATTACTTAATGGCAAGGATATATAACACTACGCCATGTAAATGGACGGCACACAGTTTGTGTCGTTAAACACGGCAAAATGGCTAAAAATAGGGTGGACTATTGAAGAGACGTTTCGGAAAAAACTGACTCGTTTACTTTGCTTTCGAACTAGCCCGGGTACCAGCCGTGTTCAAACCATTCCCCCTAGACCGGGACCGCGAAAGCGATTCTAAAATCAGTTTAGTCAGTTTCTGCAAGCATTTCTACGTGTATTTAGTACCTTTACTCAGAGAACATTTATTGCTGTTGGCAAGAGTCTCGGCCTTGTCGAGCCTCATGGCGCGTCCTCGTCTGTCTAATATCAATTTGTCGGCCTTCACGAACATGCCGTGCTTCGGCTTGCACGTGAAATATCGCACGCCCTTTATGCTGCCGTCGTTTTTACCTTTGGGAGCGTCCAGCTCCACTCCCACCCAAATGCCGGACGAAAACTCCGTCTCCCCCACGTAGGCCACCACGCCCGAAGAGTTGTACGGTCTAATGAGAACGCTTTCTCCTACTATCACCCAATCCGGGACGGGAACTTCGTGGAACTTGGATAAATCAGGGCGCGAACCGAAGCTGTTTTCGTGCTCATCTTGAAAAAAGAACAATAATTAGTGCTAATACAATTATGCCGAGTCGTCCGCCATTTTGACGAAAAAATATTTCTAATCTGTCAATGTTCTGTCAATGACAGATTGAGCTGTCAAATTTTTAAATAATTTTATTAATAAAATTAAAAAAGGATTTGATATAGTTTATATAACTCATACAGATCAAAATTCGCACAAATTTGTTCATTAAATGGACTCATTGTTACTTTTTTTTACTTTTTTATCAGAAGTTGGCAATTCGTACGAACTTCATGTTAGTGATGACGTCATTCGCTTACCTTCCAAGCGATCGGTCGAGCTATCCATGCCCTCATCTTCGTTGGTCAAACCTAGATTCTTGCTGGTGAGGTTGTGGGCCGACTTGCTCTCGGACATGACCGGCCTGGCCAGCGGGAAGGAGGCGCGGTGCGGGTGGGCCCTGGCGCTCTGCCGTTTCCTGCGCACGACCCGTCCGGGCGACAGGTTCGTCTTCACCACGGAGCTCGATTCGTTAAGGTCACTTCCAGGTTGGTGCTGATTCGAATCGCTGTCGCCGTTGATCACGTCGTCCGAGCTCTCGTCGTTGTTCGATGCGTGCTCCTCGACTTGCGACTGCTGAAACCAAACCAACGCGGCGTTTTATATAAATACCTCAACTGTCAATCGAGCGCTGTGACGTCACGCCACAGCCAACTTTTTTATCGACGCCAGATTTGACATCCGGAACAGTCATTTTTAGCGTGTCGAAAATAACAAAATGGCCGAATAGTTTACCTCGATGTTTTTGGTTATTTCGGTGACGGGTTCTAGGTAGTAGTTGATTTGGCAATCGAGGTCGGGGGTTTCGTCGACGCTGAGGCTTTTGAGGGAAAGGGCGTCGTCGCAGAGGTTCGAGGTGGAGACGGCTTGGGACCCGTACCCGCTGGAGCTGGAAGATGGCGTGTTAGGTTTTGGAGCGAATTCCGTCAGAGAATCGAGGGTGCGGGACATGGGCAGCATTTTCTTGGCGTAAGTCTTCTTGCGTTGGATATACTGCAATCGATTAATATGTTAGAAATTAGTAGGGTTTTAATTAAGAGTTATTTACGTGTGATTCGGGTTTTCCGGTGTAGCCTTCGTCCTGTTCCTCGATGGGATCGTCCATTAGCAGATCGAACGAGTGCTTCCTGGGTAACATTTTCGTCGGTTCCTCGTGCAGAGTTGTCATTCTTAATCCTAACTTAGCGTTAGCAGGAGACACCATTCCAGGGAACACTGAATAAGAACGCGATTAATACCACAAGCATCAACTCAACTAAACAAATAGACTAAAATAAACCGCAAAATTTCCGAAAATAAAAAATAATGGCACGAAAAGCAACAAAAGAAATCATGCTAGTTCAAAAACTACACGAATAGTTTTACTGAACATACGTTTCGTAGTTGTCGGTTGTTGCATTCTCAGCGAATTCAAATTTATGTTGAGGTTTAAAAACGTAGGTCGTGCTGAAAATTCAAGATAATTTCTTTAGTATGGCGGTCTCTGTGCGTTGCCGTAACGTGCGTAGACATACCGTTTCTACACGGATCAAATCGAATGGTAATACAATCGGTTTTACAATCGGTTAAAGCCACGAGAGACTTAGTTCGAATCTAACAAATAAATCGAACAGAACATGCAGGTTGCCAATTGGAAAAATCGGTATACGGTTCTAATTTCTGTACAGTCACAAGATTCCTTTAGATTTCTTTATCGTACGCCTTTATACTTGCTTTAAATCGGCATTTATTATGAGTTGCTTGAGGCGTTATTAAAAAAATCTGAATTCAGCGAATCTTATGACGATTTTTAAGTGATATATAATCTATATTCACTACTCATGCTCACGATGCACCCGTTAATGTTTTTTGGGGGAAGGTTGTCTCGAATAGCCTAGGTCTCTGTGACTTCATTACATGAACACACCGGTAAAATTTGTACATTTAAGGTAATTACTGCCTCTCCATCCGTCAGTATTCGGTTAACTCAAGCTAAAACTAAACTGGCAAATGATCCACAACATGCTGTTTATTTATATCTACAATTATCGTTCTAACTACATTATTTTTAACACAGATTTGAGATGCAAACGACAATCTCAAAAATTGTTTTCCAATTTTTTTTAATTTCAAGCAGGTGACTATTTTGATTTCGTCACGTATTAATCCACCTAATATAGCAAACTTAATATGCAAGCCTCCATTTTACCTGAAAGAATGGAGCCTTGTGGTTGCACGAAGGAAATTCAATGAAAAATTAGTCAAATTTCTGAATTTTTGCGATTAAATCTTAAATCTACGATACGTTCGTCAAAATATTACACAAACGCACAAGTTGACACAATTGTGGATCTTTTATATAAAAGGCATTTCGGATAAAAAATATTCTTATAAGGTATTCATTAAAAGTTGCACAAAAATGAGATTTAAAGAAGGAAAATTATTTAAAGTCCACATTACATAATAAAACGTGTTAAAAAAAGTTACATAATGTAGACCCATTATTAAAATTCTTCAACTATTTCTACCATAAAACCCCTGCCCCTGTCCTTTCTATTATACCAATATCGTTAACTACCTTATTACTTTTCTATCCTCTATCTTCTATTTAATCGTTTCACTGGTAATATAAATGAAATAACGGAATTAAATATTTACCTAGCCCTCCGTACTTAGTCGGAGTTGCGTCTGGGTCTTTCCCGAACGACGATCGGTTTCTCAAAGGTCCCAAACCGAGTTCGCTGTTTAGCTCTGACACGCTCTCCGATCTGGATATATGCAAAGATTCGCTGCTAACGTCCAGTCTCATGATCTAAAAAAATCACACGTTACTCGTATCAAACTCGATACCGTTCATATAATTCGTAATCTAACATGCTTGCGTAACAAGTATTTAACTAGAAAGTCGACTCAAGCGTGAAAGACATACCCCATTTTTGTTTTCCAAAGTCTAGCAGCCAAAATAATAAATAATAAACTCGTTAACAAAATCGTGTGAGGGTAAATACATGTAAGCTTGAAGTTGTTTCCACGTACAAGTTTAAAATGATACTAAATACTGTGTTTGAGTGCTTTTACACATTTTATATTAAATAAAAGTGAAATATTTTGTGGATCTATACGATTTCCTTTCTTATTTGCTTACAAGAAACTAAGTGGAAATAATTGAATTATAATAGTTTAGAAGATAAAGGGTGCTTCCCAGTCGCATGAAGCGAGGTGAGGAAAGAATTATCACGTATATTATTCCAAATTATAAGAATTTTACCTGAGAGAAATTCGGTACACTAACAGTCTTCCTCATGAGAGGCTGCCCTCTGGCTTGCAGCAATTCCTTAACAGCAACACTTTGCCTCAATCTATCCAACGTCAAGATACTTTCCACAGCGCTCACTCCTCTTGTATATTTTTCTACAAAACAAGCATTATTTTTACAATTTTTACAGTTGAATTAACTCATTACCTATGTAAGTTTCGCCGTCGCACATGGAAGAATTTTCCCCGGAAGCCGCCAGCTGCGCCAGGCTCTCCCGGCCTTCCAGCTCCTCGCTGGCCTTGGGCACGTTGGAGACGACCAGGTAAGTCACGCCGCTGGTCGTCACCAGATCGGTGCGGGTGATTTTCGATTTAATCTGGTTTTTGATCATGTCGGTGAACCGCTGCCGCTTGTACACGTTGATGGCCAGTCTCTTCCGCAGCACCAGGTCCATGGGGGCCGGGTGAGAGAGGCGCACCGTCACGCGGAGTATCATGTAGACCCTCTCGTTTGCTGCGGAAAACGAAGGATTGGTATCAGAGGGTAAATGTAGGGTGATTTGTGAGTTACCTTCGGTGACTTTGTTTAAGTTCGGGCTGTCGTGGATCGAGGAGTCCCAAGCTGCTATAGCGCACACGTCCTTTTCGAGGTGACTGAGAATGCGCAAACTGTAGAACTCCTTCCCGTTTTCCTTGGGGAGAATCGAATTGACTCCTGCGATTGTTACCTCTTCTCCGGCAGGATTCGTTGATAAATCGTCGGCTGAAAGCACGCAAATTGTAATATATTTAGGCAATATTATATGAATTAATTACCGTTTAAATCTAGGAAAAGTACTGGTATGTGGGGTTCCATACCAGGTGGTGGGCTCCACATTGCCGGTGCTCCAGGAATACCAGTTCCCGGTTGCGGTATGTACACAGCGTTGCTTTCTTCTGTTAAATTCACTAATTGCTCCATCAAGCTCTTTTCTCTTTCGGTTTCTTGCTCGGTTTTATCGGTTTTTTCCGATAGATTCTGCAGCTGCTGGTTCAAATATTGCCTTCTCTTTTGCAACGCGTCGCTCCATTTTTCTCTAAGCACGGTGAGATCCTCTTCTTGATATGAATCTAGGGGTTTCTGTAACCTACTTCGCACTAAAACGCCGCCTACTTCGATTTTGATGATCTCTTGACAGATGATAGGCAGCGTTCCGGAGTTCTGCACAGGCTTAACCCTAACTTGGATTCTTCGTTGTTGGCCCTGCCTTAGTTGATATATGCCGCCCGTCAGCATGTCGGTCCTCATGGCGACCTCGACGGCCCCGTACTCGCCCTGATCGTTCAACTCTTGGATTTCCACCCACAATTCGATCTTTCTAGTCAGCTCCGACCATCTGTCCAGCAGCGATCTCGCCGTCGCCAGTTGCTGTTCCACCACCTCCCAGCCCGGCTTGTACTGCGAAAAGCCCGAACTCCTGTTGCCCCACACTTCGATCGAGAGCGCTCCGCCGTCCGAGCACAGATCAATGAGCTCCTCCGAGAGGTTCACGGTGAAATCCTGCGTGTGATCGAATTTAACGGTGGTCGGCTGGCCGTTGGTGTTCGGCTCCGCGCTGTCGGGCACCACGACGGCCTCCGGGTGTCCCCAGAAGGAGTACTGGCAGAAGACGAAATTGGCGAGGCTCAGCGGCAAGCCGGAGGCCTGTTTGATGCTGACGCGTATCGTGACCTGCGAGCTCGCCGACAGGTCGTCGTCTTCGTGGCTGCATTCCGACGAATTGTCCGACGCGGCCTCGCACATCCTGTCTTGGGGGAACGAACCGGCGACTCGGCTCAATTCGACCTGCAATCGGCCCGCCACCTCGCCCTGTTGGCTTATTATAGGCGTGTGATAGTCCAACGTGACGTCGTGAAACAGGCATTCGAGGAACACGTTGGCTACGCCTATCAGATTGTGCTCTTCGCGCGACTCGAAGAACGGGTCGAGTCCTTTGATTTCGTTATTGTTTTCGTGGTCGTTCTCGATGTCCCTGTGCTCCTCGTAGAATTCTCTCATGTCGATGATTTTGTTCTCCAGTTTTTCCATCGACCACACTTGACTAGAATTGTTTCGTTTCACTAAAATCGCCGGTTCGCTGACGAATGCACCTTTCTGGAATATGAAGAGTACGTGGAATAAAAAAATACCACAAAAGCGATTGATTAACTCACCCGTCTGTTGGGGCTCAAATTAGCCGGAGGGATCTGCAAGGTGACGCTGAACTTGGTCTGCCTGCCCATATTTTCGGCGAGGCAATTGGCTTCCTTCACCAACGAATTCGCCCTCAGTATATCCTCTTTTAATTGACATATGCTCCTCCTGAACATCTCGTCCGTCTCGTGGGCCCATCGCTCAACTTTCATCTGCGTCGTGGGCGTGCAAGGCGCCGTCTTGCTGAGGCCTATTCGCAGGGGATCGTAGGAATAGGACGAGTAAGGAGTCGACGGTGAGACCAGGTTCCTGAGCTGCTGGAACTGCCTTTCGTACTCCACGCGCTGCTTCTCCAGGGCGACTGAAAGCAAGTACAATGACGCAACGGTAGAGGTTAAAGGGTTGTGAGTTTACCTTGTTTGTCTTCCTCGTGGCGTTTCTCGAGCCGAGCGATGGCCGTCTGTATCGGATCGTTACTCAATTCGTTCGTCATCAGCTCGTCTCTAGCGAAGTTGTAGTCTATGTTCTGAGCCGGCGTTTGAGGTTCAGAAGTTGCTGCGACATAAAATATGAATTACGAATGTTTGTGCGATGTGGTAAGCGACTTACAGATCGATCTGGGACAGTTGACTCTGAAGTAGTGGTGATTGCCCCATACAATCCGATCGCCGTGTCTCAGCTGGGTTTTTTCATTGACCTGCGATCCGTTCACGCAAGATCTGGCGTTGGTGAGGGGCTCGAGAAACAGCCCGTTATCTTCGATCGTTATGATGCAATGCACAGGCTGTATGCCTAAGCCTGAGAGTTGGATGTCGGATTCTTTGTCGTAGCCGTTGCTACTATTGCCTACTACGGTTACATCTTTTAAATAATACACTAGTAATTCGTTTAAGTAAGGGTCGGCGTTTAAATTAACTAAATAGTATTTATTCTTTTCTACTTTTATACCCGAATCTTGCACGCTAATGCCCATCTTTTCTAAAGCTTGCTGCCGTTCGTTTTGTATTCTTTCGGTTTTCATCAGCTTCTCTTCCCAAGTTTGCGACATTTCTTTGTACAATTTTTCGCTTTCGCTGAGCTTTTGGTGGATATCCACGCGTTGGATGTCGCCCACGGGGGATCCCGTAGCGTGCTTCAGCATTTCTCTGAGCGCCTCCACTTCTTGGGTGAGTTCTCTGATAATCCTGGCGTTCGGATCTTCGTTAACCACCGCGTGGTTGACGATTCGCTTGGCTCTGTCAGCGTACCGGAGTGTGGAAAGGGTCTCTTCGTAGTTATCAGCTGCCGGGGATATGGTAGCAACCATGACTGTTTTACTGTTGCCGCCTAAATTGTCTTTGAGCAGCCAGGTCAAAACGGAATCTCGGTATGGCACGAACTTGTTATCTTTGTTTTTGCCAGTGGATTGATCAGCTAATTTAGAAATGACTAGACCTAAGGTCGTTAACGACTTATTAATATTAGAGCCTTCTTTGAGCCGTTCCCCGACTGCTCCGGTTTTCACAGCCCTCTCAGAACCTGCTAAATCTACTAATGACATTCTGCTAACTTTCTCTCCCGTTACGCCTGTTTTATGGTCTATAAGCGTTTGTGTCAGGATTACGGTAAATACGGCATGAGATCTGGATGATTCACTGTTCATGTTCGTTGCTGCAACTGTTCTCGACTTGTTGCCTTCCGCCATTAAATTGTCGATATCCTATAAGAAAACAATTTGCTTGATGATCGATTCCACGGACGTTTCGCCCGTATATTATTACCTGAAACGCCGTTACAGCCAGTTGGGATAATCCATCAACGTAAGGACCAAGGACGTTGTGTTCCCTCACTTTTAGTGATTGTTTGTTTGTTTGCGGATCCAACAAATCGTGTACCTTAAACACAAGTTTCGATTTAAATCGCCGAATACTAGGTAAATTCGAGAACGCATTAACATATTATCGATTGCTTTATATCCGACTGACCTTTTCATTGTAAATTTCCATATAACTAACTTCGACTTTGTATGTTAATTGAGAGCTTTGTTTTTCCGCTATTAGGCCAAATAACGAATCACAAAGTCTCGGAATAATTCCCTTGCTGTCTTGCGAACCCATCATTGTATACGATTTTCCCGATCCTATAAAAAAAATCGGTTAAAATAATTTTCAATTCCTATTTCTGAAATGTATTTATGGTATGGCCGGCGATTACGAGAAAGTTGGGTTTTGTAAACGGTTTAATATTTTTCGGGTTCAATTATTACAAACAATGTAATTGTGTAACCAAGTTTCTCCTAGGTGAAACAAACTATTTATAAACGAAATGTTGCAACAAATGAATCATTTTGTCATCAAGTTTTTTTTATTTCGAATAAAGTTTTCATTGAATTTAACGCGAGTAAAATATCGATTTTGTCATACGTTTTATGATACGGTGTTTCTCGAAATGATGAGTGAAATTTACGATAATGATCTCAGCGTTCGTGTTTACTACTCCTGTTGCAAAAAAGTAATATTTCATTGTCGAGAAGGTCAGAGGGCAGAATAAAATCGATACGAACTATGAATTTGAGGATATTCATTGTTGATATAGCCTACATTCGTTCCGACGTTGGGCAGCGGGATTGAAATGTGTCGGATGATATAAAAGCACGGATTCGATGCGAGAATGCCCCGGACGTTTTTCCGATATCTCTAGATTGAAACTCTGGCTCGTCGAAAAACGAAAACGTATTCAATTTTTTCGGCCACGCGATTATTCGCAGATACTTTTATGTTTTTTCGATTCCCATTTGTGTAACTAATAATGCTAATTTTATGCTTGTAATGCTCCAATTGCTACGTGTATCATTTGTTGTATAGCAAATGATATTTTCGAGGATTTATCGCTTATAAAACTTTCTTATTTCATATAAATAAATCGTGTTCAACTCGCTCAAACAGTCAACCCAAATATCAATCATTTATTTGTTAAGTTAATATGATAATGTAATATTTTTTTCATGAAATTAAGTAGTGCATCACAATATCTTTCCATTTATCGATCGCGTTCGTTATTTATTTAACGACTCTGTTAAAAGTATTGACTTATGGCGGACAGTTTGAAAAAAAAATCATCTAAATTTACTCAACGAAATTCACAGTTACTCCTGTTACTGTTTGTTCAGATAATGCACATATTCTTGCGAAGAGCGCAAAGTGAATATTTTTAAACGAATTTACACCGCCAAATAATCCGCTTCCTACTTTATTCATCAATACACCAACTGTTTTACGGAACATAGACGAAAATGTTTAGTCTCGACTCGATGCCTTTTAAAATTTAATTTACGATTGTTCGAGCACGTTAGCTGTTCGAATCTCCACTCGGGAACAATAAGAATTTTGTACAAAAGCGAGTGCTGGTCGCTGAAAACCAGCTCGTTTCGAATATTATTAAGAAAACAAGGATATTTCGAATGCTTCGCGTGAAGCTATTGAAAGCGCTCGGTTTCTCGTTCGAGATAAAATTCATTTCATAAACACCAAAGGGAACGGCTGCGAATGCATTTTGAAACGTACAATGAATCTCCTAGCTCACAGCGAAACGCCCACGTCGAAGATATACCGTTGGTTGTCGTGATTTTTGTAACAAAAACGTCAGCCGTTGCGTAAATAGTTTTGCAATTAACCCAGTCAGTCGTTACAAATGGGTTTTTATATAGAATTCGTAATAATTTACCCATTATTGTAAAAAGTAATTGTTTGTACATAACTCGGTAGTATGAGGTTCGAGTATTTACAATTTTGATACCTAGATTTTTTTTTATATTGATAAACGAATCGTTATTGATTTCAAATCATCAATACACCATATTGCTTCGCCCTTATCAGATGAATAACCCGGTTTATCGCGCTTTTAGATAACGGAATCTTTTTTTAGAAAAACAAAAATTTTATTATTATTTAACAAGCTTTATATTCGATGTTTTTTATACGATCCGATAGTTGAGTTTTATATTTAGCATTTACAATCGCATCAGAAAGGAAGTTCGTAAACTAAAACAAAATAAAATTCAGATTATTCACATGTTCATATATTTTTTTCTTGTTAAGCAAACATTAGATTCGTACAAGTTCAGTGGGGTTTACATTACTGAAACTAGTTTGTTTACAAAACAAAACGAATTTTAAAAACAAACACGTGTCAAATTCTCGTTAGCGCTTCAACGTCTACCGTTCGCAGTAAACGTGTTAATTAGCGTCTCAGGAACCTTCACCGAGAGAGCGTAATGAGCATTATCGGCGAGTCGGTTCATTCGAGCCGATTATTCGATAGATTCGGGCGGTGTACATTTACGTGGAAAAACGAAGTTAGACAACGACATGCAAATGAATCGCCCGCCGCGTCGGGACGCTATTTTCGTAAATACGAAATGATTTGTTCGAGTCACGAGAAATTCAATTCTCTTCAATGACACATCTGTTTGTTTTTCGGAAGTTCGTTAGCTTCCTCTTTAAAAATAAACGCCGGTCCCTCGTCGGGCGCGCGCCGAGAGAGGCCCTTTAACAATGTCGAAACTAAAGCAATTATAATTTTTTAGATTGGCCAAGTTTGCGTTCCGAAAGGATCAAAGACGCCCGTCGGGGGGCGTTGTTAGAAACAGGGTCGAATGGAGGTATAAATTTTCTTTTTATCTCGCGTTGCTTGAGAGACCGCCATTTTCCCAAATTATCGCGCCACGAGAGGGGTATTAAACGCGAAAAGTCGAAGTGGAGTTTCGAGTTTATAAGCCGAACAACTCGGAGCTCTTTCGCTGCCGTTACGGCGAAAACGAGGTGATTGAAGTTCGAGGGCTTAATTGGGTATCGGTTCTGTAGGGCCCTACATCGCCCTTGTTAGAGTAGATACTTTTTTAAACGGCTTATACGAAACTTCATAAAATTAGTGGAAAAAATTGCGCTGTTCTTTTTATGCTAGAACTGTTCCGCTTAAACGAATTGCTAGTATCTGACAGGCGAGCAAACATTGATAGAGCGGCGCGTAATTCCCGTTTCTGTCCAATTCTTGTAACGAAGGGAAAAAAATTAGAACAGAAAAAGAATTATCTCGCCCGTTTCCCGATCGACCGTTAACAGCGATATTTCTCGAGTCTCTTAAGGATTTTTAATTGAAACAGCTGTACTGTCGAGCTGTCCTGTCGTGCTAAATGAAATAAGGGTCTGAGAAATCGGTTTCGCAATAAACGGAAAGCTTCCCATAATTCCGAATTTTATTTCTTTCATCTGAATGTAACGAGATTACCGAAAAGCGACAAGAATATTTTCGTAATAATCGAGAAGATGAGGTACTTTCTCAGCTTTTTTTTTTTCATTAAGTTGATCCTGTTTATTCTCGAGTTCCCGGAGGTGTATAAAATTAGAGTCTATCTCTCGCCGGATCCCCGACGCCTTGCTGGAAAATAAAAAAGTAGGACTTCTATATTATACGCCGAGGGAAAATTCCGAATTCGCTCTTTTCGCCAAACCCTTTTTATTAAGGCCGCCTCGAGTTTAATAAAAATTAACTGCTAATGGCTGCTGCTGATGTTAGTTGTTGCCGCACTAAAGTTAATTGAAGTATTTTAAATTGCCCATTTTCGTTGTTAAATAAATACCAATTTTATTAGAAAATGTGCGCATTATGAATTTTAATAATCCTGCATATTCTCAAAGAAGTTAAACGAGATGTAAGATGAAATGAATGAAATCCTAGAATTACAAAAAAAAAGAATAAATCAATGGTTTTGCAATCATCTTAAAATTGAATTCTATTCGTGTCAAATTACTATAGTAATGTAAGTAGTAAAACGTAGTAAATTCTTTACAAGGACGCTAAATCGCTCACAGATTGGTTGTCACTTCGCGGTTTTTTATTGTAACAGCATTTGACCTATAAAAATAGGCATCTCGCTCGTGATAAATACGTTTCATATTGATTTACTTTTCTTTTATCGCTTGTATGAAGATTGATACAAAAAATAGTACCGAAGAATAGTTAATTCCTTTCTTCCAATTAACAGCATTTTGCCGGTGAGCGATTTCGCGTTTTATTTATGAACCAATTACAAGCGATTCTCCGTTTAATCCCCGCAACATTTTTCGAGGCATTATCTGGTTAATTGCGGTGCTCGAAGACGAATCCTCGTTATTGCGCGATCAATTACACAGTTTCATCTTCCTCCCGTCGAACCAGTTAATATTTTCCAATATATTATTTTTTATGGTCGTTCACATCGAGGGATCGCCGTTTTCTCAACTACATTTGCCTCACACAGGTAGTTTCATCAACGCAAACTGATTTCGTCACCTCTCGGAGCAGCCGTTTCCTCTCGAATTTCGCAAATTGGAGCGGGCAATTAAGTTTTTCGAAACGGAGCGGATTTTTGTTTTGTTTTGCTATCGATTCGAGCGCGTCGCGTGCGCGCCGTTGTATTAATTTGCGGAATAATTTTGCGTGTAAAAGGTGTTTGCGGGGCACACGCGTAATTAACCCCAACGCAAGGGCAAGGCTACCGGCGACCTGGGGAATTAGACGAAATTGTAAATTTTCTGACTCACTGTAATTATTCCGAATTAATTAATCTTGGCGAGCAATCGCGACCGTCATGCGAAACCCTGCATTTTTAATACACCGTGTGCGCTATAATTCACGATTAACAGCAATGAAATAATGGCTGCGGTAAATTGTGGATCTTACCTGTTTGACCGTAAGCGAATATGCAGGCGTTGTATCCTTGAAATGCGTTATCGAGGATGTCCCTTCCTAGGCAATCGAAGACGACCTCCTGAGAGGCGAAATCCTTTTTGCTCGGATCCACTGAGCAGAAACAGTGGTCGAACGCGAACGCTTTCGGGTGTTTTCTATAACAATAAAAATTGCTGTGTTTCACCTGCTCGTTATTTCTGGAATTTCATCCGGTCGATACTTGGCTGTAAAACCAGAGCCGGGCAAATTCAAATTGAAACCTCGAATTTTAACGAACATTTAATTACGGCGGACGCGATAAGGGAAGATTACAGCCGGCGTAATTAAACGGCCGTTAAATGCTCGGATGTAAACGAATGCCAAACATTGTAGAAAATTGCAAGAATGTTAATTGTTGCAGTTGTACGAAATTTATAAGTTTGTGCCATTTTTGCGCGGATTATTTACGATTTTTCGGTTCATTTTTCGCGTCGTTTGCTGCGAAAAAATCCCACGAGAAATGCCAACCGCGTTTTATAACAAATTTTATCTTCTTTTATATCACAATGAAGTTAGCTGCGCTTTTGAATGGACCAATCAGACATTTACAGCTGTCATTTACTTGTTTACATATAACATGGAACATAAAGAAATATAAAAGGCCTACTGTGACCTAGAGACCTTCTACGGCTGATTAATTAATTTGACGTTGACAGATGTAGTTTAGTTATTTTTACAATTACAGAAATAGCTGATGATAAAAGTCGTAAGTTGTAAGTTAGCATTTTCAACAAAGAGGTTTCACTCGATATTTTTTTTAGATGAAACGAAATACATCTTGAAGAGTTTATCTTTCTAACAAGTAAGTAAGTTGCCTTGTGAAACGGCACGTGTGCTGCCAGAAAAGTTCGTGAGTCTTAACAATATTTGTAACAGATTTTCCCCTAATACTTTCTAGCGATTTTAGCAACATTTAGGGGATAATAACTTCGGGGAAATAGATTATGTTAGTACTAATAGGGATTTTCAACTGCATCGAGAGTACCTAATTACGTTTTCGTTATGCAATTATACCTATATACTCCATAGATTTTAATATGTTTAATGACCATTTTATAGTCTGTTTCTTCTATTCTTTACTTCTACTTTAATTGTAAATGTGGGCAATAAGTAGGTATAATACCATCGCTGTGCTTTCTATTTATAATTTCATGAAATTTAACTTCGGTTTTTAGCGGTTTATAATTCGTTGTTTGACGATCAACGAACGGAAACAACTTCTTGTTCTTTTTCTCATTCAAGGTTCAATTCGAATTTTGAAATGTCGTTTTATAATCGTACAACTTTGACCTTATCGCTCTTACCTGTCCAGTTTATCCAACGTAGTAGGCTGGTGGATGATTGTTTGATCTTGTTCCATCTCTACGACACTTTGAGCCCTCATTTCTAATTCTGAAACAGAGCAAATTCAGTCGCCTTCGTGCCGATTTCGGGGAATACAATGTTTAATTAAAAAGGGATTCATGCCGTAGCGGAAATTCAGTGGATATCGTGTAGCGCCGAAAATTCGATCAATCCGTTTCGTTGGTAATTAAAAACGTATATCAGAAATTAGCTGGTGTGAGTGGCAAGACGGTAGGAACGTCTTGGATGGTTTCTTTTGTTGTTATCGTCGGTATCTAGGATAAAAGGCTTTGTGGTTTTGCATAGGTTCACGCCAGGGTCGAAGGGGAATGAATGAATCGAGAATAGAATCGTGGTAATTGATGATTTAGGATACCTTGATGTCGCAATCGCGATAGCCGTGAATCATCGAAAGTAAATCAGTAGATGTAGGTACATTGATGATGCATTTTTAACAGGAAAACAAAGCGCCGAGCGCAGGTATGAGAGAATATCGTTTCGGGTGATTAATTCATTGATTTCGTGGGCATAATTACCTCTTCTGTTAAAAGGACGGAGCCGAACGGCAACTTTTATTTTGTCTGTAGACATTTTCGTTTCGTTTCACTAAAATTTACAACAAATATGTATATTTACACTACTATCACACTTTCTTTGTATAAATAATTGCTTTACTATCCATTTTCAAACATATTAAGTCACAAGGTAGCACTTATCACAACACGTAAATTCACAACTATCGCCATATTCGAGAACGCAGTATTGGACATTGCGCTGTAACATTCATTTTCTATGGACTGCGCAAATTTTCTCTATATTCACTATTTTCATTCTTGAAATGGTCTTTTCAGAGACCTCTGCCCCTTATCGATTGAACCATCCGCGCCGCGCCATCTACCGTTCGTTTTGATAACAACTCCAAGGACTTCAAGGAAGCCAAATATCAACACCGACGTGACACCTATAGAAATTCCAAATCGTTACTGTTGGTAATCTTACAGTTACCTACAAAAATAAAATTCTCTATCAAAATTGGCTTTTTTCTAAATTTTTCTCACTTCAATATTTTCTTTTAATCGTCGAAATATTCCTTAATTTTTTCGTTCTATGTTGTGAAACACCCTGGATATTTGAATTTGGAATTAAAAAAAAATAAATGAATAAATGCTACTTTCAATTATTTATTAACAATATAATCTCAAACAATATTTAAAAGTCTAAAACAGAATAACAGCGATCATAATATCTATACCCAATCACATCACATAAAAATTTCATTAAATACAATATTTGGCTTTTTTTGTAATCTAACAGTAATAACAATTTGCAGCTAAATCCGAGCTAAAAAGGCACGCAGGGCTTTTTTCCAGAACGCCTCCAATGTAACATCATAAAAAATATATAGCAGCTTAGGAGCCTATTTTTTTTTAAATTCATGTTAGTCTACAATATAATTAATCACTACATATTGATTCTTACTGTCATTCTAAATCGTACATCAATCTAATTGCATTTCTTATGGGAAATACGTGCTTGGTAACGCAGCCGAATATGCGGTTGAATTTTTCAATTTTTGACCACGACAGTTTAAACAATTCGAAAAAGGGTATGACAGAATCGAAAACTCTCAACGTTTAAGAATTTCCTGGCCTAACAATGGACGTTTTTTTTTGTGGACGTGTTAATATTCTAGAGCGAAATTTCGAAAAAAATAACTATTTTCAATTCAGAGCCGTTGTGTTGCTTAGTTCAGCGCTGTTGCTAGTTGCATGTATGTGTCGTCTTTTTCGAAGTATAGGTAACAAATTATGAAAGAACATTTCTTAAGTTAATAATATATAAATATAAAAAAATCACACTTATTTATAATACCGTATTTAGTATTAATTTATTGAAAATTTTCTATCGGTTAAAATGATAGCGAACAACAAAACTCTGACAATTTGCGTTTTTAAGCTTATTTACGCGGTAATCAAGTAAATATTTATAAAATTGGTCTCAGAGTTTAGCTATTCTTGTAGCACCTATTTGTATAAATAATGGAAAATTTGGTGATGTAGGATAGCGCTTTTCAACAAACATTTAGATCCAGACATATTGAAAAATCACCATTGCAAAGATATGGTTGACAGATAATACCTAAGTATCTAAACAGATAAACTAAAAAAATACCTACCGCTAAATAGGTAAGACTAAAAATTCCATCGACAAATGAAAAACAGAACACCATAGGGGATACTTCGCAATCCACATTCTTTTACATTGATCTCAAGAACGTACAAATTGTGGGAAGAATAGATATTCTTCAGGTTCATTGCACCGGTGCAGCAAAATCAATCCAACCAACAGACAAACTGGTTCAAATCGGACACTCCTTGATCTAGAGATCAACATAAAGGTTTTCATCTGTCAGAGTCTATGGTCTATCAGTGTATACTATGCTATCATATCCATATCCAGCGAATCAACGTCCTGGTCGATATGGCTGCTGGGCGTCGGCGTCGGGAGGCGTTGTTCGCAGAGAAGAGGATCTCCGGAACCGGGATGACCAGGAGATGCCAGCAGCGTGTCCGTGTGCAAGGAATGAGGCGAAGACAGCATCGGGTCCCCGTTGACCCCGTAGACGAGATCGTCGTCGTCCATGCCCTCGTCCATGGCGGACAAGTTGAGGGAATCCGATATGACGTCCGGCATCTGCCACAAGATAAATCCAGTTAGATGAAAATTTTTGGAGGATTCCGTTCAAAACAACTACGTTTCAGTATCTACGATTTTCGCAACGATACACTTACATGCGACAATAAAAATTGATGTCGTTATCAACTTTCACGTCTCCATGAGATGATTGTTCACCTGCAATCGGTTTTACAACGAAAATAATCAAACGGAGTGGATCTATCGATGGATTCGTGAGCAATAATGCGAATAACGCGGTGCGAAAGTTTGCTCAAAATTATACGCAATCATCGCAAAAAATTTTATCAGGAATTTTCTTAAAAATGATTCGACCTTCGCAATTCGCTAACAACTATAAATATTATTATGTGTTATTATTAACGCGAAATTATATAATCAAAGCAGATGTGTAAATAATCGTGTTTAATACTGCATAGATGTAGTTCTACCCCGGCAATTAACCTCGCCGGGTATACTCACTTTTCGACACGGGTCCGGCAGGACGATCGGAGGTAACAGAGTAACAGACTGAGGATTCTGTTGATTACTGTATGTATTGTACGGTTGAGGCGTCGTCACTGAAATGTTCTGCCAGTTGAAGTCGGATACCGGAAGACCGTGAGATTTCGCTTGTCTTTCAAGTTCCTGAAAGAAAACCACCAAAATTGAGAATAGAAATAGATAGGAGGAATAGGTAATTCGAGTAAGTTTACTGACCTGTACTCGCAATTGTAGTTTCCTATTTATGCTCTCCATTTGCTTCTGTCTAGCCTCTTGCTGTTTCAGCCTTTGAACCTCGTTTTTCAGACACTTAATGTATTCGACCGACGATTTCAAAATCGTCCCTTTGTTGGGGCGGACGTCCCGGACGATTTCGTAGTATGGATCGTTGTTTTTCGGCAACAACGTGCCCAGCTCTTTGATTCGATCGTTTATGTTAAATCTTCTTCTACGTTCAACTGCAAACAAGCCGAAGGTGAGGATTCGGTAATGGTAATTAGGCGGTTTAACGCGTGCTTACTCATGTTGTGATTGTCTTTTTTCTGACGGTCTTTGGCCAGGGCGTGTAATTCGGCGTCGCTAAGTATGTAGGGTTCGTTTTTGATATTGAGATCGCCTCCTGTGAGGGAATTATCCGTTTTAAAGCCATCGGAAGCTAGAGAACTGGATTCTAATGATAATAAATCGTCTATTAACTCTTCAGCCTGTAACAAACAACAAACCATTGGTTTATATTCCACACATACTAATAATTTAATATTCTATTATTGTAATGTAAAAATTCCTACATATTATCTTATGTATAATACAGTATAACAAAAGAAAATACCCCAACAAAACTTTTGTAATGTAAGTAATTTCAATCTATTTATTTTTGTAAAACATGTACTTTTTATGCTTTACAATATTTCTGAGTAAACAGAAATAATATTCACGGGTAGACAGAAAAGCAATAAGCAAGCAATAAAGCGATTATTATCGAAAAATTATTGCATCATTGTGGAAAACAATCTAAACATGCTATCATATAGTAACGTATTTGCACGTTAAACGAAAAAAACGCACGCATATTGCGAGTGATCTGATCGATTTATTGAAATATTTTCTCCTCTCGGGGATTTATTTAAATTTTTTTGTGCGTAATTAATGTAGGAATTATCGAAAATATTGTAAATTAGGCGCGAATTCACAATTGTTGGGCGCGTAATAAATAATTATTGTTTTCTTCCAATGGTGGAAGTAACTATTCTCACGTTTTGACAACGCTAAATTACTTTTTATACTTCAATTATCTGGGTGTTGAAGTAATTGAAGGTCGTTTATTAAATGATTATTTAAACTTTTTCTTTGGATTAACCATTGTTAACGTATTCCTAAAGAACACCGAGAGGATCTTGCGATTTTGCATAATTTTTAATTACAGGTAGTAATTTATTATGTACACTTCCAGCAATTAAATGTATTAAAAATTCAGTCCGACAATTAGCGTAATTATAAATGCGAATGTATATGTTTGTATAGAATCTTAAAAAGTAACTGGTTAGTTTTAAATGATATAACGGAAGTAAATTGGTTTATTAAAATTAAGAATTAAAATTGTATATCAAACTTAAAAAAATGCAATAATTTTAATTAGATGCGCACCTTCATTTGAAGACTTTGATTTTGGTACATTAATAAACTAAATAAAAAAAAACAATAAATATAATAAATAATTAATGGTTAAGCTAAACCGGCCTCGAAAACAAAAATATGACCTTAGAACACATCCTAACAAAACGACAATGAATCCATTGCATATCCGCCATCAAATATAATTTTTTTCAATTACATATTTCGCTTGTGTCACTTCAACTGAAATAACGACTTCGACGGGCATTTGTATCGCTTGTTATGTAACATACCTGGTATTGAAAATTTATTGTTGATCGAATAACTATGTTACGGAGTTATTAGAACCGTAGAAACGTTCATAGCCGGCGAGGTTGCAGCGCTCGCTCGTTCATTACATTTACATTGACAATGAATCCCGAAACGATTTATCAATAGAAATTAGAAATAGCGCGACGGGATTGCGCCGAGCGGACCGGAGGAATCGCAACGGCAATCGAAACAAGTAAAATACCATTAAAATTCAAACGCGTTATGTCACCGAAGGTCGAAACTCCGATCGAAATAGATAATATATTAGATCAATAAATTACGAGTGATGTGTTTAGGATGTTAGGATTATTAAGGGCGCGATTTAATAAAATATTTATTCTGATATGACGGATATTTATAGTCGTTTTAAAGCTCCTGATGCCGATACAATAAAATTTAGCGTGGTTTATTATAGAAATGGAATTATTATTACCCGTCAGTCATAAACAGGCGAAAAAATGTTCTAGTCTCCTAAACTTTTTCTGCTTATTATCTTAGATCGTATAAAATATTGTATAACACAAAACATATTTTATAACAAACGTGTTCATTTATAAAACGCTCGATTTTTATAACGACCGAGAAGATCGCACTCAAATTATCCGTAATACACTTACGGCACGGTTTTCAAATTATCAGTTAACAATAATTGTTGTTAATCAACTTGTAAATCAATTATTGATGAATTAAAAAAATTCCATTCGACAGACGAATACGTATCGATTTTGGGCGATTGCGCGCGAGTAGGAAGTTTTCGACGAAAACTAATCAACTTTTAATTTGTTTGCTCGAGCATATTGTAACGTTTAGAATATACCGGCAAATATCCGAAGCATTGTAAAAAATAAATTTCTCAACTGTTGTAAATTATGTGGTTTGTATACGTATAGTGATAAGTCAAGGAGCCGATTAATTTATTACGGTTGTGATGCAAACTTATCTTAATTAGGAAAGAAAATATGGCACACATTGAAATGTTTAAATTCTATTCTTTCAGAAAAAAAGATAAAAACTTTCTTAATGCTAAGTTAAACATTGAAAATTTTGCTCGCACTCGGTTTTCCGAGTCCCACTAGATTCGAATTCTCTTGATAACCTTAAAAATTGCAATTAAACGCGAATTATTCATGCGAAATTACCGCATAATAATGCTTGGGTACTATCAAGCTTTTAGGGATTAGAGGAGACTTTTACAATGTAAATGAGCATAAAAAAACAACTATACTCTAATAAACGCTACAAATATTATCTACACGTCTCCTTCATAACTGAAATTTACATTTCAAATTTTCATAATTTGCCTACTATAGACAGTTAAAATTGTATAGTTAAATAGTTATGTTACGGTTGGATTAGAAAACGTTTACAAATTTAAATATATAGAATTATTTTGGTATTTTTCTAAAATTCGTGCGAAAAGTAGGTCACTTACATTAAATTGTTCATCTGTTGCAGTGATTTTTTTAACGCAACCACAACAAAAACACTTATTGCACATAAACGATTATTAAACTCGTTTAAAAAATTCACCATGAAGAAAAACCGGTTTTTTATAACCTTTGCAACAGGCATTTGTTATGATTATTAATTTCTTTTTTAGAAATTGTACAACAAACGTCTGCTAATTATAACCGAAAAAAAAAACAAATCGAAAACTAATTAAATCAGCTCGTCTGTTACGAGCATATTCTGGCTTAAAACCGAGATTCGTTCAGACAATTTAATTTGAAGCTCCGCTGAAATTGGTCCATTAGGATTTCGATTACAGTCCGAGAAAATAAATACCTACGCAACCGCAAAAACAGATTTTTGGAATCTTTGATGTCTAAAACCCCTGATGACGTAAAGGTATTCCCTATAGAAATACATAAGCCAGATTCTTTGAATTAAAAAAAAAACTATCCACCCAGTTTTTCCAATTAAAAACTGCATTTACATTCCCACCGGATTTACCAATAAAAAATCGGTTTATAGTAAATTGCGAAGAATATCGGCGATCACTAAGCGATTTACATATAACTGATAATATTATGTAACGTATCCAATAATAATAACAACATCCTGTGAATGAAAACAAATTCACATGAAAATTATATTTCAATGAATGCGTGTAATTAGTGAATGATTTTTATGTTGGATCGACCTTGACTTACAAATAGGCTGGTTTTAAAAAATCGTCGCTCACATTTAAGAAGTTTAACGCAAAGTTATTAACCTACATTGCAAAATGTTGATCATAACGAAACCCGTTTGGTTTTTTTAATCTGATTTCAGCCGGTACATAACGTACATATGTAAGTTGCATATCAGGATTCATTGTCTTATCACCAGTAAAATAATACGTTATAAACAAGCCAGTTAAAATTACGTACTAAACTACAAACGGGCAATAGAAATGAAATTAGGTAGCTGAAAATCGGGCATTAGTGGAAACCAATCATTATAAATCAAATCTCAAGTCGGATTTGCCGATTGCGAAGCGACACACGTGTTACGATTTTACACATCAATCAATTCCGATTTCACAGCAAATAACAATGGGACATCTCTAATATGGATTAATGAGCTTGTAAAAGCTTCCTTTTCTAGTCACAAGGTTTATTACACGTAATTCCAGGTGCAAAAAATATTCTTACTTCTAGTAGAAAACTATAATTTTTCGCTGCCCGTTTCATAATAATGCTCATTAATCCGATGGTGTTTGAATGGAATGAACCAATGACATATTTAGCCAATTATCTACATACATTCATTCAACAGTTAATTTGACATTGAAAGTTGTCATTTAGTTGTTTACGTACAAATTCGAATTAAATTCGAATTTCGAAAATAGAAATTAAGAATTAAGAGATGGTCAAAGATAAAACGGTCGTATATGCAGCTTGCACGTAAACATATCTATTAAATTCCCGAGCAAGAAGTAAAGCTATCATTACGAGCTCGTAGGCAAATAATGCACAAAACTAGAATATTTCGACAACTAACTAGTTATAGTCTTAATTGCAGCGTGCGAATATGCAGGAAACAAGAAGTTGGCTTTGATTAATGGATTATTAATAAGAAAATTCGCCAGCCTATTTGGCATAACGTCCTTTTAGCGATGCATAACAATTTAACCGCTTAAGTAATTGGCAATAATCCCAATTTAAATCGGTTCGATCTTGACCTTTCTTATAGCGATTTGTCACTAAAATTTCTCGCTTTTTTTATCTGAAATTATAATTCTGTCGGACTAAGAACGAATTGTTATTCTCGGTTAGTTTAGTACGTTTTCGCAGCCCCTCCAGCGGTGTGATGCTTGACTGCATCCGGTATTTTTTATTGCAAAGTACCATTTATTTGGCATTGATTTATTACAAAATAGTTTTGACAAATTACGTTTCGGTTTTTTTTATTTCTGTGAATGAATGTAATCAAAAAATTATGAAGGTATTGATGAACTGATTTCCAAAACTACTCAATATTAATCTCTGCCTATTGTTTTGCAATGATTTAAGTACGAGCATTTTCTCTCTAACTGATGAAATTGTGTAAAACACTTGGAATTGCGATAAAAATTTATCGCACTTATAAAACATGATATAGAAATTTTATACATATTTCAAAATTATTATAGTCAATTAAAGAAATATTTACAATTCGTGGAAAAAAGGTTATAAAGGAAAATGTCTGTGTGTTGGTTATTTTGACAGGAACTTTCTTTAGGTATTACCCAACAAAAGGTAAAAATTTTGTATCACCAAAAAAATTTAAAGATCGTTCAAAAAAAATAACATTTGTA